ACCACGTGCCACTGCCCTTCTCACGGACCTCACAGACCCCGCATGAGCCCCAACAGGACGTACGGCATCATTAAGCATAGGGCAAATTGTCCCATACATTGGCCGAACGTTCGAGATGGCCACGTGGGCTTTCGCACAAGCACAGCACTCACCCGTTAAGAGGTCCATCCCCAACGCTGTGTAGTTCTCCCCAGGCGGATAAACTAGCCGTACGACACCCGCCGGGGCGAGCTGCAACCTGCCAAGCAGGATTTTGCTGCTATTGCGGCTGCTACTGCCGCAACCGATGCTGTTGACGGACACCTGGGGGTTGACGGGAAGTTATGTTTTCTTAGGAGTTCGGGGCGGACAGATTCCTCTGCGGGCAACCATTACCTGCTGAAGCGCTTTCAGTTGTATCCCGAGGTGAACATAAGGCGAGGGGCTGGTCGCCTGAACGACTGGCCCACGTTTTGGGGTTCGACACGGCACACGCCGACTGTGAGACAACTTTCCGAGGTCGTCCAACGTCCCACCTCATTTCACCTTCTCGTACCCTGGCGCGCAACCGCACGCGGCGGGCCCACATGGCTGAGGCGACCGCCATACTCAAGGGAGCTGCTACAAGATGCTGTTTCACCAGTCGCACTTCGTGAACTTAACGAACGTTTGCCTCTGGCAGTAAGCCTGCAGCTGCGAGCACTTCCACAACTGCCTGCCGCGCACAGGGGCGACCCAAAACGACCCCATAACTCATTCGGCCTTGGAGCTCTCCCCGTCTGGCGCTATCGTGGCGCCCGCAAATGCTGGTGAGGACCTAGCTGCAGACCTCGTGCATGACTGCGGACTTAGGGTTTTCGTTGCTCTTTTTTTAGTTGGGACAGCGGCCCCGTCACACACCTCTTCCGTGCTTGGGAGAGTGCGCCCGTTACGTCGGTCTTTCCGTAAGGGGCTAAGGTTAGGGGTGTTTCTGTGCTATTGCGTCTGTGCGCGCAGTACGCCGTATCGGGCGCAGCCAAACGATGTGGCTAGCACGCGCAACTCATCCCCCAAGCCCGTAAATCCATTACTACCAACTCCGCCACCATTAACTACCCTGTCGCCACCAAAGCCCCGCCTCCTCCACCGCCCCACGCTCACACCCGCCCCGCACCCACACATGACCCCTGCCATAATCTCCTGTTCATGTACCTTGAAGCCCCATATGCCTGCTGCTGCAGCGGCGGCGGCGGCCTGCTGACCAACGGTGCCTACCTTGCTAATGAGGTCATGCACGAAAGCAGGGAAGATTTCTTCTAGGAGGCTGTAGCTGATGTTGCTTTGCACCAGTGCAGCTACAGCCTCCAGCGGCAAGGCAGCCGCCTGGAGGTCTTGCAGGAGCGATGTTGTCACCTCCGTGGCTAAGGCGGTGGCGCGGGCCTGCCGGGGCCAAGGGCCAGGGAGGCGCGGGAAGGGGTGTTGTTGCACCGCATGGTGATAGGGAGAGGCGGAGCGTGTGCGTATATGGTCGATAGGAGGCCAGGGAGGTGCAAATTGAGTTTAGGCAGAGGACAGGGCAGGCCGATTCTGGCTACTATGGAGATCTCCTCTCTCAACGCTGAGAGCCTAGAAAGCGCATGCGAGCCGTTGCCACACAACTTCCATGTAAAACCAGTACATGTTGCGGTAGGTTAGCAGCACCAGATGGGCTGTACAGCCTAAGAAGGTTGGGATACGTTCCGAAAAAAACGTCACGTCACTCCCAGCCCAGTCCTCGACGAGTCGCCGACTGGCGGCCTTGGGAATGTTCCCCCAACGAGCTGTTGCAGCGAGCCATGCTGCCCCGTACGGGAACGGAACACGGCCAGTGCGTGCTGGTGAGCATATCTGCGTGCTCACGAACGGACTGGAGATGCGGGAAATCTTGCCGTACATAACGTATTTACCTTGGCGCCCTGGGTGTCAGCTTGCGCTACGCGGGTTGCGCCCCACACGCCCACCCCCACAACCACAGCCAGCACGAGCAGCGGGTACACCAGCGTGGATGGGTACTGCCGCACCAGGCGGAACAAGCTCTGCGGAGGACGGGGATAACCGGAGCGAACATGTAATTCTTTATCCTATTCTGGGCAAGGCGCGTTCCAAGTCCTGATTATTCCCGCAACGGTCTGGACCAGAAGCCAGACGGCGCAGAATCTTAGCGGCCTTGTCAAGGCGAGGAATACATGGACAGAATTAATCAAGATATAATTAACGGAGTGCATGAATTACTCCGTAACAAGTGCAATAAGCCCTAGAGCCGCCCAGTCGCGTCCATGGCTGTCCGAGATGTCGTAACCTATTAAGGACAGGCGTGCTCCTTTGCAAAAGCCATTAATGAACCATAATTTCTAGCATTTATGAATGACGCACATTTGCATTTGCGTGTACCCGCTTAAAGCAGCTGCCTCTCTTCCTCATGTTAGCGCCAGCTCATTAAGCATGCTATAAGGCATCTAAGCATGGGTAATTTTCACACCAACTATCCATAGAATTAGGCAGGCACCGCCCATTATGCACAAGTACAAGCACTGATCGAGTTTTGGGGCCGTCTGAGTAACACAGACATCAACTATGAGTGCCAAAATGCAATTCTCCAACTACAATTGCAGCTGTACACAACTTTTGCTGCAAAGGTAAATTTTGTGCTCAATCGTACTTCTTAACCTGCCATGTTACGGCCGGCCGTTCGTTTGAGGATGCTGTTAAAACCTTCTCCTTTGAGGAGATGTAAGTTAGGACATACTTGTGACGCTTAAAACAGACTTGTACCACGGTTATCAGCTTATGTAAGCAGCTGTATGCTTCGACGGGCGTCTCAATTGAGTTTCTTCTTGACGGACAGGATCTTGAAGTTTATGTCAGCCCAATAAGATGGAGGTAAAAAGAAATATGAAATATGAACCTTAGCTTTGTGAACGGCAAATATGAATTTCGCTTACTCTCGCAGTGGATTTGACTTCAGAACAGAAGGGGTAATAAAAACATCAAGGAGTTTTATGATAGTGACATTTACATGGCCATCAATCCTTGCAAGCCCGATGAGGGCAGCAACGAGCAAGACCGGCAACCGTTTCGGGCCTTCTATGCAGTTCTATGTCGGCAAGGATTGAAGGGGACATTGTACACAATAAACAGGACTAGAAGTTTAAGAATAAAAATCATGATTATTTGACTGCCGCATCCATGTAAATGACTCAAGTTGTTATTTAAGCCCAGCAGCTGACACTAGTGAAGGTCCCTACGCTTTGCACCCCGTGCAGCATCCAACTGCGAAATGTGCAAAAGCACCCTCTACGGAAGATTTACCGCTGGAGTGTTAGCGCGTTACCTGTTACACATGCCTATGGCAGGTAGGCTTCATGGTCCTCTATTTCCATTCCGCTCCAAGGAAAACTGTTGTGCGCAAAGTGCAGGCTGCTATCGCTTCGAGTTCACCCGTTTTATTTCAAAGGTACGTTGCCTATGTGATCTTCTTGAGATGCTCCCAAGACAGTGTCAAGGAAGGGCCGTATTGCGGCTGCAGGTTTCGCCTGCCGCAGGCAGGCCTGAGGCGGCCTCAGTGCGTCAAGCACAACACCGAGGGCAAGGATCGCCGCTCCATTTGGATGCCGTGCACACTGCACATACAGTGTATCAATCCAAAGCCACACCAGGCGTGAGGCAAGCATGCTGTTTCCACGAACATTTTTTTGACACAACTTGTGTGTGTGTGTGTGTGTGTGTGGATCCCCAGTTTTCAGCCCCCGCCGTGCTGCACCCAGGTCCAGCAGCAGGGAAGCGCCCAAAGCCTTTCCATTAGGACAGAATTTCCCGTACTCGCTAAACTGCGTCATGTGTGTGTATGTGTGTTACATGGTTGGGGGTGCGTGAACCCATACCTGTAAAACTACCCATACGAGCCGAAGGCCCAAGGGCAATATCTATACGCCTAAAAGCCACGGAGAACAGGAAACACCGCGTCATGTGTGACTCTGACCACTAAAATGCGATACGGGAGAACACACGCGCGTGCGCAGAATTTGAAGGAAGGCTTGATGACATCGTTTCGGGAACCGAACTGCCAACGTCGGTATGATGGCGCGCCCAAAACGTCGAGCCTCTGTGAGGACATACGTTACTATACGGCCGGGGATTCACTCCGTTTGAAACCGGGGCAGTACAACGACCTCCACGACCGCAAATTGAGGCACATTGCAGAGCTGCCCCGGCGAGGTGAAATTCTGCAGGACAACGTCGCCGAGCTCTGCACGTAATAAAACACGGACGGTTGGGATAGCTGTAGGTTTGATTGGCATTGTTTAAGAAGACGAACTCGACTTTCAGAGTGGGTGCGGCTGCTCAGCATTCTCTTGCAGAGGGAAAGCATCCGTACCGATACCCGAAACGCAGATAGCTCTTCTGCGGTATTTGTTCGAATAATACCACATGACGTCGTGTCTTGGAAAGGACTGCAGCCGTAAGCACGGTACTGCAGCGAGGAAAACTGCTGTCGGACCGCCGCAAACGCGGCGAGTCCGAAATCGGTCGTAAATATGCCTGTAGTTGCAGATTGGCCCGGATAGGCCCGGCAGGGCACCGTTCTTCACGGGCTGCACATGTTTGCCTATGTGGCGGAGGCTTTGCACCTTGTAGCAGTCAACACCGTTGGGGGATTACCTTCAAGGGGTGCGCAAGGACTCACCTGGGCCCGGACTTGCGATTCGTTCGCTCCTGCCGTCCTGCTCTTACCGTCAGCTGCACATTCATACAAGGAAATAAGATTAGGCATTAGATGTCACCACCTAACTAATGCCCATCTTCTCGTGCTCGGCCCATGAAACAGTCAGCTGGACTCATGTGTACCGGTAATCAGTATGACTAGTACCAGCAACGACTATTTACAGGGTCATGAATGAATTTATACATATAAAGTCCATAAAATCGATATCTGTAAAACAAAAGTGTAAGAGAGCTCTTGTTACGAGTGTATAGGAACATCAATTGCAACTGCAGCCTTGAAAATGCCGACCCTTGCCGAGCTCGAATTGGAGGTGAAGGACAGCCTGACAAAGCTAGCATACCCTGATAGGCCTTGGGTGAAGAATGTGGCTGCTCCAGATGGGAGTCATTGCTACGATGTCGTTATCGTGGGTGGCGGACAGTGTGGGCTCACAGCAGCTTTCGGCCTCGTGCGGGAGCAAGTGGCAAACATTCTGGTAAGATGCATGAAAATTGTAAGCTTAAAGTAGTACTTCTTTTTGAATCGTTGACAAAATCGGTTTGATTACTGACAGGTCCTCGATGAGAACGAGCCGGGAAAGGAGGGCCCCTGGGTAACATATGCTCGCATGGTTACACTGCGGACAAATAAGGCTTTGACGGGTGAGTGCGCGTAAAAAAACACATATATATTGACTGAGTACAACGTACCGGAACGTTGACGAGCAGCGGCTATTTCGTATTTATTGTTCGTAATGCTATCCCAGGACCTGACCTTGGCGTCGCCGCGCTCACTTTCCAGGTGAGGCTTCATGGTAACCGCAGCATTCACCCCACAAGAGCTTACGGCAAAGTTCGGTTATGATCGCAAAAACTACTTCATCACAAAATCCCAAGCATGGAGGCTTCCCAATTCATGCAAACCATAAGAATCTCAGCGTGTAAGCATCAGTTTCCTCACCCAACCCATCCATCTCAGCTGCTGTGTAGCCCTGTGTGTAGCTCACTTTACGCGCCTGTATGCCTCCCTGCCTATCTTCCCAAACCAGTCTTTCTACGAGGCCAAGTATGGCTCTGAGGCCTGGAAGAAGCTGGACAAAATTCCACGTGGCGAATGTAAGCCTCCTTGGCCGGAAGTTGGCAAGCACAGCCTGTATCCCGCGATGACTCTAGGGTATGCTCCAGGCCAAGGGTATTACTTAACCTTGGACACATCCCTTCCTGGGCCGTACACACTTTGCTGAAAGCCCCGCAGGGCCTGATGCTTACTTCGACCTGTGAGCGAACAACACCCCATAGCCTGCGCAGGCGTGTACGATAACAGCCCTTTGGCTCGCAATCCCCTAGGCATGTTGTCTATGTGATACACAATTCCCCTTCTGCCACGTACGGCTAATATTTATGCCCACTTAAGGTTTCCGTGCACGCCCGTCTGGTCACACCGTGTACAGGGATGGATTACTTGACTTGGTATCGTCGCGTGCTTGACCTACCTGTCCGTAACTCATGCAAGGTCGACGTCATCCGGCCCCTGCCTATGGTACGTCGTACAGCAGTTAAGGGGAAGAGCTGGGGGCGGGGGACGTCAGTTGTGGGTCTTTGGGCTCGCCCGATGTACGTTAACCCGTTTACGATGAGCACGGCCGCTTAGGACGGCTATGAGGCGTACCGTCTGGGCCCTGATGAGGATTTTGTTTTTGCGCTCGCCCTGGAACTTTGGGGGCCGTGTTAAACCGGCGTATGTGATACGACCAGCTGACGCGGTGAATGTTGGAGCCTTGGAGTATTCTCTCATGCACTGTCGCGCTTATGGCGCTCACCAGCGCCGCTGCTGCCTACCGCCCTCGCACTCATCCTTACCAACCACCGCCCGCCACCGAACTCCGTGACTCGTCGTCGCTGCAACGCCATCCACCCAGGCGAGCCGCGGTACCATGTTCGAGTTGAATGTCAACACATCTGATGGGCCGGAAAAGTTTTATGCTCGGAAGGTGGGTGAGCTCGTTGAGGTGTGCGTGTATGGACGCGTGTGTGTGCGTGTGTGTGCATAGCTCGCGACTCGCGCCGCGTACCGTTGTCCCCATGCTGCACACCTGCCTGACGACGGCACTAACAGTATCCCTCCCCATGATCCCCCATGACGCCAGGCCACAGCCTCCCTGCAAGGACCATTCCATATGGCTTTGCCGGCCCTGTCGTAGCCCCTCTTTCCGCCCCTCTACGTTGGCCGCCCCCACCTCTCCCCGCGGTGTGCAGGTGGTTCTTGCCACGGGCATCCAGGGCGGTGGTGAGTGGCACGTGCCGGCCTTCATCAGGGACTCAGTTCCCCGCCACAAGTACGCGCACACGAGCGAGTACATTGATTTTGAGGCGCTCAAGGGCCGCAAGGTGGCTATTTTGGGCGGCGGTGCGTCCGCTTTTGACAACGCCCAATATGGTCTGGAACGTGGCGTAGGCGAGGTGGGTTGCGTAACGATAGGTGCCGCAGCTGCCGCAGAAACCCATGGGAATTACTGCGGTGCAGGTAGCAGTAAAAAGAAAACATCACCATCACCACACACCACCACCCTCACGAACAGCTGTAGGAAGGCACACCATGTCCGTGTCAGCGTGTGTGTTTGCGTGAGCAATAAAGCTTACTTGAGCGCAGAACGCTGAGTTTTGCAGTGGAAAATGTGGTGTGGTGTTTCCTAATTCCTCGGGGTTTAGCACTGTGACTGACTTCTTGACGAGTTCATGGTTTCGGGTTGGCCGCAGGTTCACGTGTTTGTACGGCGCCCGGAGCTGCCGCGGATCAACCCGATTCGCCACATGGAGTTTGCGGGGTAGGGGGGAGAGATACCTGGGGATGCCGGAGGGTGCAGCTCATCCTAACTTGAGCGGGGACCAGCGGGAGATGAATGTTGCTCTTTTTGACCAGTGGGCCTTGCGCCGTAGGAAGCGCTGTTTGTGAAACCCGGAAGCACTAAGCATCGGCTTGTCCCACACGTCCAAGCCAGGCTCAGTACAAGGTACCGCCTTCACCTCCCACCGCCAAAAAGTTCTCTCGGGATGATGCTAGAGCTCTTTAACGTGCCTATATTATTATGTGCCGTACTGTACGACGGCTACACTTTTTCCCTCACCAGGCGCCTCGCATTTTCCCCCCTTTTACCCCCCTTGCTCCTATCCGCAGCTTCCTGCGCCACTTTGCTGACTTGGACGATGCCACCAAGTATGCGGGCATCAACTTCTTCCTGCAGGTAAAGTGAAGGCCGTATTGACGTGTGTGCTGTACAAGAGAATGTGCATGGCTCGCACCTGTCATGCTTGGCAGCTTTCTCTGAGCCGTCCGGAAGCTCTTTCCTGTTCGCCTACTTGAGGCCTGCCTCCATGCCCACCCATCATTAGCGTTCCTGCCTCCCATCCATTCCCGATCCACCTTCACTCGCGAACACAACGGCCCCGGCCTGATCCCTGTTCCTACGTCGGTTGTGCCTCTCCTCCCGACCGACCGCAGTTCAACCAGCCGCCCACCAATGACACGTTCAACCGTGCCGCGCGGTTTCCAAATTTCTTCTTGCACACTGGCTCTCCATGGCAAAGCTTGGAAGCGATTGGTGACCAGGTGGGGTCAAGGAAAGCCGAAATAAGTGCGCACGCAGCGGGAGAGTGCAGAGGAAGTGGAAGTTCAGGGTCAGAAGATGCGCTTAGGATATTCACGATAAGCTAGGCCAAAGTTAATGTGGAATAACGGGCCAAGAGGTAAGAAGAAAAGTGGCAGACCGAGCATGATCGCGAGGGGAAGAGGTTAGGGAGGGCTACTGAAACCAAGCCATCTGAATTCTGACCTCCTTGCCACGACCCCGCCCCTTGTCACCCCCACGCCATAGATCCGTATTACGACACCGAAGGGCTCGGATCTGTACGACTTTCTTATTGTCTCTACGGGCCTGCTGACCGACACGCGGCTGCGTCCCGAACTGCGGGAGGTTTCGGAGCAGATCGCCGTGTGGTCAGAGCGCTACACGCCGGCGGACCCCGCGTTGCGGAACCCCCTCATTGACGTGCACCCGTACCTGGGTCCGTCCTTTGAGTACCAGCCCAAGGTTCGCACCCTCCTAGCGGATTATGATAAGCGGATGTGAACGGGATGAATGATTATGGATTCCCTCCTTTTGCCAAACGCGCTAGAGCGCTTCTGCGTGCCGCTGCAGATCCATGTGGAATGGCTTCGCATCCTGTGATCGGCTCGCTTGCCCTGTCCCTAGGCTTTGTTAGGGCCCCTACGCCCTCCCTTGGCCCCAGGCTCTTAGCCCTAGGTTCGGCTTGGTGCGGAAATTGCACTGGGACTATCACCCCACTCTCCACTTTGATCCATTCTTTTCCATCGCAGGTCCCGGGCACGGCACCGTACCTGTCCGGCATCTTTGCATACAACTACTCGGCACTCGTCAGCTTGGGACTCAGCGCCTCGGGTAGGTCGGGTCGTGCGGCGGGTTATGCGTTGTGGGGATATTTGTCGTCGTCCCACATGTCCGTCCTCTCGCCCGTGTCGTAAACCTTCACTAATTGCTGCTTCAGCTGGTGCTGCTGGTGCTTAAAATGCCAGCTACTCCCGATACGGCCCCGCTTTGCAAATGCTCTCTCTTGTGCCGTTCTCGTGGATCCATCCCCCCCCCTCGGGGTGTGCTCACTTCTTCCCGACCTGCAGCCCTGTCCGGCATGAAGTACGCCATTAACAAGCTGGTGACGGGTAAGGGAATGAGGGAGTGAGCCGGTGGATGTTGAGGGTGATTCATTTGCCGTAACTTATGGGCTCGTGACCTCGTAGGCTGCCTTATGCACGGTGGGGGCCTTGGGTGGTACGCGAAATATATTTTTTCCGAAACGAGCTGGACGGTTTATTGTATAACCTTGGTATAGTTTTTAGTCTCCTTTTGGTATTTCATCCATATCGGACAGCCTTTAGACTGGCTCGTATGGGCCGTTACGCCTTCGGATAGTAAGTTAACTGTAACACACACACACACACACACACACAACCCGTCCCGGCCTCCTCTTTTACCTTCCCCGGAATTATTGCCTCCCCCACGCCGCTGCTACTAGGTATCACTCGACAGCTCTTCCTGGACGATAAGGAGCAGTTCATTGGGGAGTTCCTGTCTTACAGGGACGAGGAATTTAAGGGTGTCTGGCCGCTGCCGACGGCGATGCCGGCGGTGGCCGACGCGCCGCCTGCCCCGGCGCCGGCGGCAAGAACGACGACCCCGGTCTCTCAGCTGGTCACCGCGCAATGAGATAGGTGATGCTGGAAGTGAATGGGGGACACGGCTGGGGGGTTGGGGCCCAAAGGGCACCACGGCGGCTTGCACTGGCAGCGGGAAGCCGCGCCAAGAACGCCACACCGAGCGACGCACCACGAATACATGCTGACACTGGCACTGGTTCTTTCTTTTGGTGGCTATGGTATTAGCTGCGCATGGGTCGGGAACGTGCTGCGTTTGTAAAACTATGAAAAAATATGTTGAATAACCCGGGTAGGCCTTTGCGTTTCTCCTCCGTGGACTTTACGAGGTCGGGAGGGAGATTGTATAAAAGCGAGCATCGGGAAGATGCGAAGGCACGTGGTCGGAGGGTGTCGGTTAAGGTGGCCGCCCACACGAAGCGTCAGGTGGGTGTCCGAAGCCGATGCATTTGCACGTTATGGACTAGATTATTCATGGCTTATAATAATATAAAACTGCGATATCTTTAATAGCAAATGAAAGCGAAGGTTACGAAGCAGCGGGCTGAGGGAGATGTGGTCACTTCGGAGGGCTGAAAGCAGCAGCAGTTAACTTAATGAAATGTGTCTAAGGCTTCTATTTTCATCGAATGGGTGTGGCTTCGGGGAAGCCATGGCTACGAAGGCAGGGAGGCCCTTTTCCGTTGCATTTAATCTGGTAATGAGTGCGATGTGGCGGTGTGAAGTAATGTCGTGATGTCTGGTGAAATATTTGAAAATGTATAAATTTCAGGAAATGTGTGATCTGTGTATGTCGGCCACTGTCGGCGGATGTACCAAAAGAACGGGTGCCATATAAAATTTTGGTCCCCAGCCGGCTGTGAGCGAATGTGTACTTTACCGTTGCCCTGGACGCCACGGCGTTAAGGCAAGATGTTTTAATTGTTGCTGTACTCGAGGCCCCAAAGCCAACACTGCTTTCCGGGATTTCAGGCACGTTGGCCGGGTGTCATTTCCGTGTTGCTAGACTTGCTTCGCTTCGTTTGTGCTGCAACTTACATTCTTGAGAGCCAAACACATTTGTTGCAATTTGGTTGGAATCTTCTTATCTCCTTAAGTATATTTTTGTCCTTGGCTGCCCCGGGCCGTCAATAGACTGTGTGCATTGAGTCAGTGTGCGGCTGTGTATCTGGAACCTTTTCATGTGAATGAAACTGTTTCTGCACCCTTGGGCCGGCACCGTATGGTCCCCTCAGCATGGTAATGACTAATACGAATTCAAGAGCGCCTGACATGTATGCGACCCCAGACGGGCTAAACGGGCTCATCTGCACACTTCGCCCCGACTCGGGGGTCAAGCGGCTTACCAACTGTTTGTGAAGTATAGCTCGGTTTTAAAACACGGATGTGCAAGTTGCACCGTGGCCCGCTGTCTCACCTCCTTTGCCGACAGTTACCGACGATGCCTAATTAGGCGCAGGAGCTATCGTCTGGGGAAGCTCAACAGGTCCTCTGGATAAGCTGGTGGAGACATTCCCTGATATTCTGCCGCTGATGCCAGCTCCGTTGGACTAAGACTGATGTCCCCAACAAGGCCAAGCCGTACAGGGAAAACGTTTCCATGCGCTTAGGGCTGCTCATTAGACTTCGCTGTTGCGCTCCAAACGCAAACCAACCAGTCCTCGCGCGCGCCGCACTCGACATCCCGCTGCCAACCACGTCACGCGCACACAAAACACGTGGGCCCGCGGGCTCCTCCAAAGCTAAGCCCAGCGAGCTCTCGCCTCCTGCCATGTGGCCCACCAAGCAAAATGAAACACCCCCACATGCCCCGAATGCGGGGCGCTGTCCTGTCGCAGCTCCAGACGATCTGCAATACTTTACAGCAGTAACACAGCGAGATCCGGACGGAGGAGGAGCAGGACGGGGAACATGCGATCGCCATCTGCCCAAGGGAGCCCCCTCCTGCGACGGACAACCCGCGCCGAAATCCCTTCAGCACCCGCCCGTTTCTTCCATTCCTGTGTCGGCATTCGTGCATGGGTTGGCTGTATCCGCTGCAGTCAGGCAATGAACTGGGTCCGGACTCGTTGGGTCCATTCTTTGGTCGCGGAGCATTCCTTGCACTTCCCTCCCTTGTCTATAGATATTGGCATGTCTAAGTATCGGGAGAAATCCCCCCTCTGCCAGCCCCGCCATCACAGCCCAGCCAGTCAGCCCTAGCGTATGTCCTAGAGTTTGCGTGCGTCGCCTGAGCGGTTTGTCATGCCCAGTCATCTGCACCCGGAAAGCCCAGCTCCATGTCACCACCGTCTCCAAAAGGGTCGCCGCCGACGCCGCCCAGCCCGTCAACCAATCGCCGCGTCATCTCTTCCTCTTCCTCCGCCGCCGTCGCCCCACAACCACCGAGTCCGCCGCTGCTATTGAGCCCCAAAGGACTCAATCCGCCCACCACCATCCTCCTCCCATCCTGCCCCTGCTCCTCCCAGTCGCCTGGCGTGGTGCCGTCACCCATGCCGCTAGCTCCACTGCGCGCCCCCACGGAGAAATCCCCTCCCCCCACAGCACCTGCCTGACCCAAGAGCTTCGTGGTATCCCCAACTCCGACCCCATCTCCTTGCATCTTGGCGGCGCCCCCAGATCCCGGCCAGTCCATCTCCATGTCGGCCTGGGCCTGTAGGTGATTGCCGTCAGCGCCATCACCATCAGCCGGAGGGTTGGCGGGATTGGGCTGCGGCTGAGGCAGCTGCTGTCCCGGCGGGTGGTGCTGCTGCAGTGCATGTCGCCGCACACCAAGCGACAGACGGGAAGGAGGCCGGAGAGCTCCCGCACTAGGCCCCGCTGCCACAGCCGCCACATTGTGAGCTGCGGTGGCGCTGTCGGGATGTCGGGGCGGCAGTCCGGCGGCGGCTGCAGTGCTTAGATGCGCTGCCGCAGCAGCAGCAGTGAAAGTGCCGCTGCCGTCGCCACCGCCGCTGTTGCTTGGTTCTAATACTTGTCCAGGAATCCCCGCCCCTGACGCCGGTGGCGCTGACCGCGCCCCTCCCGTCTGTACTGCACCAGAGGACGCCCGTGCACCGGCAGCAGATACCCCCGCTGCCAATGCGCTCAAAGCGCCTCCGCCGCTACTGGCGGCCCGCCCTGCCACACCGCTGCCACCGTTACCGCTAGCGGCCTCAGCGGCGGCGGCGGCGGCGGCGCCTCCGCCGCCAGCGCTTGCGGAGCGGCCGCCGCCAACGGTGCTGCTCCCCCCACCGCCGCCGCCACCGCCACCGCCGCCAGTCTTGCCGTACACCGCACCTGGTATGCAGTTGAGCTCCTTTAGCGCCCGCATGTCCTCCTCAGGCAGCCCCGTACCAGTGACCTCGTTACCAATTGACACCCAGTAGTCGCGAAGATTATTCTTGCGGGCAAATATCTCCAGATAGCGACCTGCCGCGCGCGCATGTGCGTGTGTTTTACTGATCTGAGCCATGAGAAGGAAATGACGAAGGTGCTGCGTGCGTATGTATGTAAGTCTGTATGTTGTTGTGGATGTTATAAAGGGATTAACAGCACAGGGTGTTGCGTTTCCTTGGGCTGTTGTCTTGTGTCTTGGAAGGCGGGAACACACGACCTAGAGAGAGGCATACATATACTTAGGTTAGGCACTACTGGTGACGCGCGACCATTGCATCCGGGAGATCCCGGGATCGAGACCTGTTAGGGTCGAACATCCTTCCGATGGTGGAAGGTATTGCGCCCCTAGTTGATGGACGGTGGTGACCTGGGATAAAGTTAACCTGCGAGCCGACCAGGAATGGAGTTGCGCCACTGTCGACCCGGCAGATTCCGTTGGATGCTGGTGGTGGGTGTGGAACCTGAGGGATCCACTGATAAGTTAACAAGGGTGACTAGATGAGGGTGCCCCGAAATACCGGGGAAGGCAGGGTTTCGCAGGGTAGCTACCACGGGTGAAGATATATCCCCCTGTTTCACACATCATACAGAGAGACAGGCGAGAAAGGGCGACAGACAGACAAACAGGCACATACGCATACTGCGCTGCTTGCTTGCCCACCCAATACTCCCACCATTCGGCACCAGCTGCTCAATGAGCTCGTAAATTTCTTCGGGCTTTTGGCTCTGACCGCGCCGCTCGCTGAAGATGATGTCCGAGCCCACCCCGCCATCCGAGGCCGCTAGCGCCCGGGGGTTACCGCACTTGGCCACCAAACACACCTGCAGCGTGTGTGAGCTATGACATATGAGGAGACGAGCGATCTGGAAACAAGTACACAGAGACGGTATGTGGGTGTACAGTCTGTACGCGCCGGACAGAAGCACGGAATGCCGCTTTGTCGTTTTTCCATGCCAGGCCGACCCTGGCAACCTACCTTCACTTACGAGTTCTCGTCATGCTGCTTATGCAGGATCAAGGCAGCAGTACCTGCCTAGGGCTGCTAGGGGTTGCAGTGGGGAGGGGGCCGCTGAGGATGTCCCCATACCTCCCCATACCTCCTAACAAACCCAACCCGGGGTAGCCCCCAGCCCACAGAGCTCCCGCCCGCACCCCCTCCGTGTCTCCTGCAATTGCCCGCACAGGGGCTTTGTGGGGATTTCGTGCTTCCTTCCCCCTCCTCCTCTCCCGCCCCTTTCTCCTCTCCTTCCCCCCTTTCCTCCCTCCCCCTCCTCCTCCTCCTCTCCTTCCCCTCCTTTCCTCCGCACCTCGCCCTCCCCACCTCTTTTGCGTGTTGCAGGTAGTACCCGTGGCTCTTGGCCAGTCGGCGGTTGACCGTCATCTTGACCCAAACCACCTCATCAACCAACCTAGGGAGGGGGCCGGTTGGTGTAGCCGGTTAATCGTCGGCCGTCTGAGGTGGTGGCAATGTGACGCCATGGACTGGTGTTGTGACGTAGAGGGGGCGCGGTGGCTCGTGCTGGGGGTCTATAGCGGCTGGAGCCCTTCGGGTCCGCGATGGCTGGCGGGGGGGGCCCTACCAACATTGCTTCTTACACGCAGCCGACCAGCCGACAACGTGAAAACACCGAACTTGCACACCATCGCCGTGGCATCGTCCCCATTCCCGGGCCCCCTCTCAGGGCCTTCACACAAGAAGTCGGCATCGTCATCATCGTGCTGATCATCACCCGAAGGCCCACCCTCGTGGTTCGTCCCATATGTCGTACCAGAGACCCCTCCTATTCCATTGTACCCTAACGACATCAGCACTCCACCCTCCTCCCCCTGCAATCTCACCCGAGCCAACACACGCGCCCCATCCGGGAAGCTAATCCATCCCACCATCCGACCCCACCCGGCCCCATGTAACAGTGTACTGCTACAGCGGCATTACAGACCCCACATCCCGCCATCGTAGGGCCCACACATCCCATCACCACTGCGCCTCCTTACCCCATCACCTGTATCCCCACTTGTCAAACAGGTCCAGGGTCCACTTGTACTTGGCGTTGATGACCCACACGAACAGGAATCCCCCGTTGCGCTGCAGCTGAGGCACCGGAAGCCCCGAGATGTGGTCATCTGACAACTGGCTGTAGCCTAGCGCCACACCTCTTGTGGGATTGGCAGTAGCCAGTTGCCAAGGCGGGTCCATCATGACTACGTCAAACTGGCAGTGTTCGTACAGGCTGGGCCAGTCAAAGGTGGTGACGTTGGCATGAATGGGCACGCAATGTGGAGGAACCTGCCATTCGGAGGGGTCTACGTCGTCCACGTTTCCAAGAGTATAGTCGAGGCCTTCATCACCGAGAGGATCGGCGTCATCTGGGTCGTCATCGTGAGGGCCGGCGGTGGCAGGGAGCCCGCCGGCCACGGCTGCGGCCTCGGCCGCAGCTCCTCCGGCGTTGCTGTGAAGAAGCAGCAGCGCTTCATCTGAGGCGGGTAGGCCCGGGTCGCCTCCCAGCACGCGCAGGCGGCCCGCTACGTCGCGGATGGACTCTCGGTACTTGGCGATTTCCGACAAAAGGACCTCACGTGAGAGCTGCTGCCACGTAAGCTCCGCATCACGCTCGGGCAACGCTAGCAGGGCTTCCGCGACACCGACACGCTGCGCATCGTTGGCCGGCAGGGAGGCAATAGCCTCGGCTTCAGTCGCGGCCTCGACATCCATCAAACCTATGGATGTGCGCTGTGAGAGGTTTTGAGCCTGTGGGCTTATCGGAGCTGGAAGCCTTGGCAAGGGTGCGGGCTGCGCGCCATGGCGATAGGCGTTTGATCACTTTTTTTGATATGGATCGCTCTAACGCATTACATGACGAGGTTTGGGTGGATATGCATTACGCCTGTGCATTTGGGGAATGTTGCGCGCCAAAACGACAACTGTCCGGCAATGAGAAAGTACTAGCCAAAACTCTGCAAAACCTAATAAAGACGTATGATGCCCTGTGATTCTCCTCAGTTATTTTCGCTGCATGTCAGAAAGGGTTATTGAGAGCATTTTTATTTTACAGTTCATTTTTTCCCGATAGGTTACTCGTATTTAATATATTCATTTCATTCTTGCATCCTGGTGCTAGATTTCTAATTTATGAGAGCCAAGACGGACAGAGCCGAGACGACCTGGAATTGTCTCAACTTGGTGGAGGGTTGCAGCGCCATCTAAGGTTTTCAGTTCATTCAAGCCCTTTCCTTGTAGTATTGCATTACGATAATGGTGCTTGGGGCCTTTAGGGTTGAAAAGGACAGGCCAGGATCGACACATCCCGAGCGTCGCATTGATGAACGTGACCATTTGCTGGAGGGGCCTCGTGCAGAGATAAAAACCGATTTGACCGACGATTATAGGTAAGGCGTCTTGCGTTGTTGACACCCTTTGGTGAGGGATTCCCGCAACAGCTGGGGTTCGGGCGTTGATGCAACTTGCGTGTCGATGTCTTATGCTTTTCAACCAAAAGATGGGGTTCACGGTAACATGCCATAATGGCAATGTCCCCAGTGCGGGCATTAGCCATCATGCGGGCAGCATTGAGGACAGCCAGGCCAAGTGCATACCCGGCCAGCACAGGCGGTGAAATTGCGCAGCTTGATAATGTAGATCCTCCCCATGTGCGGAAAGCGCAATGTCACCAAACTTGCAACACATGGCCTGGGCGGTTTTCCCGCAACCTTCCAACTGCCGCAGTCGTCACAACATCTTCGACATCACACGAGCCCGATGTGGCTGGCTCGTCACTTTTTGTTTAGGCCTGCTGATGTCGGCCCTCATCGTGCAGCGCTTTGAGGACTTACTGGAACACCACGTGCAGTTAAGGTGTGAAGGCATGCCGGGCACGGGTTCTTAGGGGAGGACTTCTCCCGACTCTTTGGATGACGCCATTAGGTTGGCCACATGGGTCTGATGGGATTGCCGTGCTGATGGTGTTAATCAGGCGTGGGTACTGGTAAATCAGCAATCCTGTCAGTGTTGCCTTTATTCATAGCAGTGAAATACCAGTGGAATATCACAGGCCACTAAAAGCTACCGCAGCATGTACCCAGATCGTCGCCCTCATTGACGCGGAGCACTCGGCTAAATTTCATAGCAGCAATAGCAACAGCTCTGTGACAGCTCTGTGACTGCGGGGAGCCGTTACCCAATAACAGCAGCAGTAATCGAAGGTGGACAGTTGAGGCAGCGGAGAAGCAGCGAATGCGAAGGAACGGCAGGCATCAGGAAACAGCGGCCATAGCAGTCAGGGGGAGGGCGACGGCAGTGCGCGGCTGAGCCCCAGAACTAGTGCTCTTGCCAGAACGATCGGCTGCAGCAGTCACCGGCACTCCTCCTCACCGTCCCCCTCCTCCCCATCCGCCGTTCCTTCGCCTGGATCGATCCCGGCGAAGACCATCTTGTGTGGGGTGTTGGTGGAAGGCGCTACCTGGCATAAACTCATGGGCTTGAATGCGCACTAGGCCCCGCTCCTTCCCGCACTGGGCCCAGCTCCTTGCCTTTTCCATTAACCCCTCTTCCAGCTCGAGCCCACTTCCACATCCCTTCCCAACCTTGTCCCGTCGTGACTGCACCTGCACTGTGTGACAGTTTCTTCGTGCCGCTCATCATGGGCCACGGGGGGAATACGGGCAGCCAGACAGTCTCCACCATTATCAGGTGAGGGCACGTTGACAAGGGGCGGCGGCGGGAAGTGTGCCAGAACCCCCTCTGCAGGTGTTTCCTGAACCCGAATGACACACGAGGGAATGGACGGCTAATCCATCGTGCCGCAATCCGGTCCTCCTTGCCCCTGGCCTATCGCATTTCTTGTTGGGGAAGCAAACGCCCACCGCATGGCAAGGTGTGGCTGGGCGGTGTTACAGCTGGCGAGAGAGGTCGGGCACTTCAGGAATTAATTGCCTGGTCCCCGCCCATCGTGTCTGAATGGCATCATGAAAGCACTCGTCTGTGGTTGACTCGCCCGGTTCCACGTCGTCATCGTCCTCGTCTGGGTCGTTTATATGGTTTACAAGTCCTCTCACATGCGCTCCTTTCCCGTTCCCTATTTTTCACCGTCATCACCTTACCGCAAACACGCATATCAAAGGTCGTTGGCGTTGCGGCAGATCGGTCAACGTGACTTGCTGCGGACCGTTGGGAAGGAGGCCTTGGCGGGAGCCCTCATGGGTGGGTAAGGGTAGGCGGTTGTGGGTAAGGGTAGGAAGGTAAGGTTGGAAGCGGCGCTGGGTTAGGCTAGGCCGGGCCAGGGGACTGGGCAGCGGGTCGAATCATATCCCGGTGTGGGATCGGGGCTCACAGGGTTTCGGGGTTGTAGGCGCTGCTGCCTCCTCGGCTGCCCTCTGCGCCCCAATATACCACGTATCCTTTTGCGTCCCTGTCATGGATTCCGATTCAGGAGTCCTGACACAGCTGGACCGTGATGCACGCGACCACATGCTGCATTTTGATTTTCATGTGGAACTAATCCCCAGGGGCTGTGTCCCAGTTCCTTTTCCTTCCTGTTGTGTCTTAAGGGCGTGTGACGGGATTTGGCATCAGCCGACTCGTATTTCTCTGTAATCCTGACACAACACTTTCCATTCCGAACCAACACGTTTGCAAAGGTTTTACGTAACCCATTCTCTGTCTTGTACGCATCTTGCACACATCACCGCTCCTCTTCATGATATGTCTGCAGGTGGCCTGCTTGGCGCCCTGATCCTGCTGCTGTCCCTCATGTGGCCCCACCTGGGCCCGGGGGTGGGTCTCACGGTTGGCGTGGCGTTACCCGTGAGTGCCTGGGCGGCTGGGTGGGTGACTGGCTGGGTGGGTGGATGTGGGCAATGGCTTCATCTGTTACTGCTCGTATTCCCCCTGTGTTTCATCTTACTGGATTTCCCGTGCTTTCATGTAAGTGAACGACATGAATGAAACAATTCCCCTTGTGCGCCTTTCTGTAGTCGTGTATGGTGGAGACCTCTGGTTGCCCGCGCGCGGTCCTCCACTACCTCCATTACCGGTTTTCAAATCCAATAGGTTGCAGTTGCCTCTCCGTGCCCTCTCGCTGCTCGCAGATTATCTCGATGTGGGCGAATGCGGTGGGCGCGTTCCTAACCCTCCTGGCAGACCGCTTTAAGTACGTCTCAGTAGCTCGAAGGGGGGTTTCGGTGGAGGTGATGGCCCACTGGGGATGTGGAGGGAAGGGGGGAATTAATTACAAGTTACAAGTGCCGCACGAGCGCGGGAAAGCCGGGAGGCCATGGACTATATATATTGAAAGTTGATTCCACCGTAGAACCGACGGCGGTTTGGTCCTGCCAACTAGACCCCTCCTCATCCAGTCACCCGACATCCGTAGAGACAGATCAGCCATTACCACCATCTCAGCATGCGAAACTCAGTCCATCAACTAAATTTCACCTCCACACCTCAGCAGCGTTAGGAATCCTAAATCTCTCGAACAATGTCGACCAGGAATCGAACCCAGAACTTCATATACATGAAGGTGTCACCAGACCAGACCAGTTAATGCAGAGCAAGGGAAAGGCGAAAGCGAGTGGGTGGGGAATTTGGAGAAGATTCCTTCGCATGGCTGACAACTGCTCTTGTCTCCGCCCAACTGTCGAGTATGAAACTGACCCTCAGCGGCATCTGTGCCGGCATGGCTTCACTTGCGAAACTCAACGCTCCACACCCCCGCCGTAGAATACCGTGCCTTAGTCACGCCGCACGAGTGTAGTCTCCGGTGTTTGCACCCATTTCTCTCGGCGCTTTGCTCCAGGTGTATCCCGGCGTACCCGGTGTGCGATAACGTACCCTGCCTCAGAGTTTTCTGGTCCGCGGTTCTGCCTCTCCTTCCCTTGGGCCACGAGCCGTTGTCCCCGCGGATCCCTCCTCTGACTCTGGACTCCAACCTCCGACCCATCCACGCTCTTTCCCTCCCCCAGGATGGACCCCGCTGTGACTAGTGTCCCGCTAATGACCACCATTGTGGACGCCACCGGTTTGATCATTTACTTTTACATTGCCGAGCTGTTCCTAGATGTCAGGTGCGAAGGGCCGTTGCCGCAGCCGGGTGGCGCGCACATGCGCGAGGGGTGGGGCTCGGCCTTTGCACCTACGTTGTTTGGTATAGGCAGGCTGGCAGGCTGGTAGGCTGGTAGGCTCTGTCTGTTTGGGAGTTAGGTGCCGGAGCGTTACCTCTGGGGGAAGGCGCGGTGATGGCGTGGGCGGCATGCGGTGGCGGCGGAGTATTGCCATTTGCTCTCTGGACGGCAAGTTCACGCACACGAGGCCACATGCATGGATTGAAGCATGGGATTCCGCATGGAGGGATGGGTGTTGCGCTTGGAGGAGCTGACGGGCTGAAGATCTGGGTCTAGGGCTCCAGGCCATCAGTGGATCAGTGAACCCCCATCTGAATGGGACCACGCGGGCGAATGAGGGCGATGTTTTGTCTCCTGTACCGCCGGCCACCAGACACCTACCCAGCAAGGGCTAACCACAACCCTGTCTCTCTCTCTTATTCCTCACGTATTGAGACCTCCCTTACTCCTGCCCCTGGTTCCGCGACTTGTGTGGTCGTTTGGCATTGTGTCGCGGCCCTTTGCGGATGCCTGCGGCCCCGCGGTCGCGGTTCTTTCGCACGAATGCCGCCTACCTAACCTGATCCAGCTTGCAAGCGGATTCAGCGCACGCGGCAGCCGCCGCCGCTACATCTGGCCAAGCGTCTCCGTCAGCGACAGTGACGGCGACAGTTGTGGCGACAGCTGCGGCGGCGAATGCGGGTGCCGCCAAGGAGGCAGGGCGGTTGTTCACTGATGCCGTTAAGAAGCTGCTCTCGCCGCCGCCTGCTAAGACCGGCCGCGCATCCGGGGGCTCGAAGGGTCGACGGGCTCTGGGGTTGGGCTGGCTGGTCGGGGCGTTGGCTCCAGGGCGGCCGTAACTAACTGCCGGTTGGCACCCCGGTTGCGGCGACTGCAGGAGCTCCTGTGATTACACTAACGAAAGCTTGCACGTATGCACATATACTCCAAAGCTGCTACACCCGCAATAATAGCAATTCGCATCGCGCCCCTGTTGACGGGCTATCTAGCTTATGTTCGGCATGCCTCGCTGGGAGGTGGCGGCTGTCTGCTTGGCGGCGGACTTTTACCTGTGCCACCGGCATATAGCTGGGTGCGACTGCAAGTGAGGGCCTATCGGGGGAGATTCCCTTGAAAGGGGCCCTTACAAACTCAGGGTTGAGAAGCTTAGACAGCCGGGCTGCTATCTTGCTGCTGCAACTGCTGGGGCTGCATTTTGCTCAGGTGACTGTATATCTGGAAACAGCACTGAATGGTACTTCCTGGAAGCCGGGGCTGTGACAGTGCTCCATATAGGGGGCGTTGGCTTGGGCGGTGTGTAGGTGTCTGTATAGTGGCGATGAACGCAGGTACGCAGCTGTGAAAAGCAGGTAGAACCGGAGGCGGCATGGGTGGTATTACAGAGCATTGCAAACATGGCTTGTGATGATGGTGGTCGGCACAACTTGACATGCGGATTGCAAGGGATTATCTCGACACGTGTGTGGGAAATTATAGGGTATTGCCTGACGGCAAGATGGCGATGGGTTTGTTGCACCAATTAGGGGTGAGTTCCGCGACAGGACGAAAGCCTGAAGCCTGCCGATTAGCCAGCGCTACGCTTGGTGCTGCTAGCAGATGGAAAAGCAACTGTGCGCTCAGCAACTAACAACGTATCAAAAGCGGTGCAAAGGCCGCTGGGGCGCAGTCATATTTATCTGCTATGTGGTGTTGTAAGAGGATGGAGGAATAAAGGAGCTTTGTGTGGACGGCGCCACGAATGGTACAAGGTGTTCATGGCACGGCGAACTCCGCATACGAATATGAACGATGGAATTGTCGCGCTAAGCAGGTAATTGTTGCTGTGGTCCGCAGGAAATGTTATCAAAACGAACACGGCAAGCTTTGTTGAACATGGCTGTTACAACATGCAAGGACGCCTCTTGACTCGTGACTTGCTGGCCAGCGTGCAAAGCCGAAGCACCCAGACGAGGCTCGCATGTTTAGCTCTATCGCTAATGAGCATGCTCTGAAATCTTCGATCGGTTGCTGCTTGCCGTCGCTTCACTTGCCGTCGGAACTTTATGGTAATTGCTCATATAGCTTTTTGTGCAAGCGCCTGTGCTGCTCAAATTATTAAGCAGTATCCAAGCAATGCAAAACTTGATGCCGCAAAGTACGTCAGGTAACAAGCAATGTCAGTCCGTGCGTCTGGTTGAGCATATTATGATTTCCTTGTGATGGTTTAGAATTGGGTTAATTTGACATCACTGCCGACAATGTGATATTAGTAGACGTAAAGGTATCAGTACAACGGTTTCTCCAGGCAAAGTGCGAACATCTTGAAGTGCTCATATGTACAGGAAGATTGCCGCCTTGCCACTATTTCTTACATACAAGAATTTAACACAATCTCGAAGCTGCGTGTAACCGACTACTGGTCCATCGTATGAGCAGTTGAACCGTTGGCACATTTTGGCACGCTGCTGTAAAACTTATGGCACTGCTGCGTGCATTGAGGGAGTGGTGTGAAGCGTTTGGTATGACAGTTAATACAGGAAAATGTGAGGTCCTGTTTTTTCACCACGACATGCATGCCTGCAAAGAGATGTACAAGTTAGGCGAGTACGGGCTTGTTCCCATGATGGTCACGGACGGAGGTGCACATGTGAGTAAAAGCTTACCGTGGAAGGGTCGTACACGGTACTTGGGCCTTCATTATGGCCCGGGCACCCCTTTTGAGTCCTGTCGTGATGAACTTCATGCCTCTGGACAACGGGCGCTCTTCTCATTGGTCACCAAGCTTAGGCGACAGGGCCTGTTTGTGCCAGCTGTTGCTGTCAAAGCCTTCGACGCACAAGTACGATTCATCCTGTCTTACGGGGTACAGGTCTGGGGCCCGATGAGGGTCCTACAGGTCCTGGAACGAGGCTTTCCTAGAGGTCAAGAACACCGGTCATGTTATTTTGATTATGCGCTGGAGGATAAGATGGTTGGTCTGCAGGAATCCTTCCTGAAGCAGTTGGCTGGGGCGGGGGTGCCCCCCCAATCGGCTACTGTTTAAGGAACTGGGGAATCTTCCGTTTTTGGAACCGACTGGAAGAAGCTAAAGGCTCGGTGTATCATCATTGTTTTCGGGAAGAGCTTCGGTTGGCCTTTGCTTCCTCCTTATGTCACGATGGCTGGGGATCTAAGGTTGTCAGGATACTAGAAATTTTAGGGTACGACATGGGGTTTGAGGGTGGTGCGGATGAAGGGATTGAAGCTAGGGTAGATATTGCTGCGTCACATGTCCTAGATATTGACCAGCTATTGCAGGAACTCCGAGATCGTTTTGATGACGACTGGGGTAGTGAAAGGCTGGCGATTGACCCACATATGTTTGTCTCTGACGACAAGCAACCAGGGGTGAAGATGTGTCGTTATTTGCAGTGGATGGGGCAACCTAAGCACTGCGAAGGCTACATCTTACCGAAACAGCACGTCACTCTGATGCGTTTTAGGATGTGTGTTTGGCCTTTGGCTGTCAACCAACCCCATGGTAGGGAACGGGCCGCAAGGTGGTGTCGGGTCTGCAATAATCGGCAGGCAGTGGAGGACGAACGGCACGTGCTACTAGAGTGTCCGGAATATGCGGATATCCGTGCTAAGCTCTGGACCCTAGGCATTGCTCCAGGAGATGTTATGAATGCGGTGATGGGTGTCGAGGATTAACGCGGATTGGCACATGTCTTGGATTGCATACGGAGACGTAGGTTGCAGTACATAGACGACTAATGAGGATCACAGTACAGTGTTTTGATTTGTTGCCTTTTTTATTCTTTTCAGTTATTGTTTCCAGCTCGGCGGCTCATGAGCCTCTTGGCTCGTCTGGGCCGTACAAGCTCAAGAAGCTTGTAATCAAAAAACGTCAAAAAACGCTGTAAAACTTCTAATGAGGCAAGGCTTCAGGTTTCACTGCAGCGATGACGTTTTCGTGCAACACCTCATATGTTGTACGTGCTGTAAACAGCGGGACTTCCAGATCATAGCGCCTTCGCGTCTCAGCTGAGATGCGAACTGCAGTTCTGTGCTGCAGTCTGAAGTTACGGACAATCCACCGCAGCTCAAATGAAATGGGCAAGCAGCAAATTACCCTTTGGAATATTTGGAAGGGAATGTCATGCAACCACACCATGTTTGGACCGGCATTCCCAGGTCGAGAGAAAGCGTTGAAGCGGAGTTTCAAGGAGTTTAGGGCCATGCGCATGGCTTGTGTTTTGTAAGCCGAAATTGAGAACCGACCATGAAAAACAGGGGAGACGCAAAGGAACAGGGATCTTGCAGGTAGCGGTATCAGAATCTAGCCGTGTGTGAAGGTTGACATTCTGTATGCAACTGCAGGCTCCTGGTATGATAATGACCCTTCCAAAATTTGCCAGGTAACATGGTGGTTCGAGTGATGCCTGTCACACTTACGATTCAGAGATCTATGGTGATAAAATAAAATATTTTTGTCCAAACATAGATGTACGAAACTTAAACCCCCATCTGCATGCAAACTGACTTCGTGCACTTCGTTTGACCGGAGCTTTGCGGAGTTTTGGCGTATAGGTAATTTCATTGATGCAACTTAATGAAATCGAAGAATTTTCAGCGGATATGCCTTGAACTTTGGGACTTACAACCCTTAAAGCGCCTCAAAAGCAACAATTTGTAGGAAAGGACTACCGGATCACAACTGATCACATAGCGGTTTTACTTATCGCAATAGAAGGAATCCTCTAATTCAATTTGGGATCAAAAACTCAATTTGAGCTCATTTTTTATGCTGTATGGCCAGCAATCGAACACTGCGCACTGTCTAAGACAGAAGTGCTGCTGACTGTAATGATAATGCGCATACTGACAGTTTCACATTTAATAATAGTGTTAAGTTATGTTATTTCTTTGTGTATATAAATTCTCCGTATGTATTGAACCTATCTGGTGCATTTTGACAAGCCGGACTTACGTTCATGTACGTTTTGCTTTCGTACATGGGGTGCACGAGCCATAAAGATGTCCTGACTTCGCTGTTATATTAGGAAAGAATAACATAACAACATTTATTAAAGGAAAAATTTTGATGTCGTTTTGCGTGCCTTATGCTTGATGCTTGAAACTGGAATTGCGCTGGGCCGAATGGCCGCCTGAGAGAATTCAAAGACAAAAATATCTAGGGATCAGCTGGCTCTGCGAGGACGGGCCTGTCACAATTTTGGAATATCAGCTTTCAACCGACGCCGAGCCAAGCAACTTGCCCATTTTGCTGGTCAAACAGCCAGGTAAGCTTCATTGTTATTGTACGCATGGATTGTGCGTCCCAAGCGTCTTCATTTGGCGGCCTGCTGTATGAATGAACTGTACAGCTTTCTTTCAGTTCGCTGTTTTCACGGGTTTGTAATGTAAGAAGGGAATTGCTGTGCTTAGCAGGCAGTCATATGGGCATATTCGTCCACGCATCTGAGTATCGATGCCTAACCGTTGCTACCGAAAACGTTCCGCCTCTACGGGTACCCGGCAAGAAGGATACATGTCGCTTGCTTTAACGCAGATTTACTAAAATCAATGAATTCATTTTTACCTCTGTTGTCATCTACAATCCGCAGTTCAGCGTGCCTTTGCCGGAGGCCTTCGTCTGCTCTCAGTCGCCGTCATGCAGCCCCCACATGAGGCGTCAAGAACATCCGCTCTGTGCTCCACCACACCAATCTTTCTAAGCTTAGGCCAGTCATCCGCCCCATCCACGCCTAGACCTTTGGATGAAGTGGGCTGGCCTTGCTATGAGCTTGTGCGGGCTGGAATGTGCCTTCACGATCGTCCTGGACAGCCTAGACTAAAAGCCACCAGCAACATCATAGACTGCATTCACCCTAACAAGCGATACCGGCGCCAAGATGCCAGCTGTGAGCCGGTTCACGTGGCTGCAACGACTGCAGCCGTGTCCATGTCCATCGCACCGGGCGTACCTTTTCAGGGACGTGCAGTCGCCCCAGGATTGCTGACTCGGTGCCAGGACAGCAAACAATCCTCTCAAGTCGCCGCCCAGGGACCGCATGTTATTGATACCCGTTCCCACCCTCAGCTGCCAAGTACACAGCACCCTTGGAATGCGGTCAGCAGTGCCACCAACAGCCTGCTCACCGCGTGTATCGCGCTCGTCAGCGACTGTGTTACTGGGCAGGAAAGCCACTTGCCACTGGCTGAGGCCACCCCGGGAAGGAGGTCTAGCGAGCCCAGCTTCGATAAAGGCATGGTGTTCGAATTGCGAAATGAGCTGCATCCAGAGCACCGAGTCCCGACAGGCAACCGAGGGAGTCAGTTGTCGCCTGGGCAGCAAGAAGAACAGCAGCAGCTACGATGGCAGCAACAACCGCCACAGCTGCAACGACAGCAGCAAGGAAATCAGTTGCGCATGGCCCAGGCTCCGAGTTTCCGAAGCGGGACACGGTCTAAACAGGACATTTCAACTGCCTATGAGTACGAGCCGCTTCTGAGCCTGCAATCCTCTTTCCCCCACCAGCAGCAACAGCTACAGGAGCTTGAGCAGAAGGAACAAGAGTATGGGCCACAACAACATTGTCACAGTTATCATAATCAGTGTCAGCATCAGTATGAGCAAAAGACGCAGCAGCCGCTGCAGCAGCAGGAGAGTATGCCATGGCAGAAGCCGCAGCGACCACATTCACAGCTAGGCTGGATACCCCTCAGATGTCCATTGGCCTGCTGGACAACCACCGCGGCCAGTTCGTCAACGAACAATAAAACAACCGATGCCGTCGGCAGCTCTGCGCAGCATCAGGACCTTGCGCATCCCCACTACCAACAGCCGCACTGGCCGCTACCGCCAGCGGAACTACGGCAGGAACCGAAACAGCGGCGGCTGTTGCTTCACTGGCAGCAGGGACCGCAGCCGCCGCTGTTCCGGCTGCCACAGTCGCCGCCGCAGGTGCAGGAGCAGGAACCGCAGCAGCGACAACAACAACCGCGCCAGCGTCCGTGCATCCCGTTTTTCGTGCCCACGACGCCCCCTTTGGATGCCGACGTGCCCAGCGAGCGAATTCTGAGGCTATGCCGAGCGCTGTGCATGTCAGAGGGCAGCACAGCACGGCTGGCGCTGCACATATGGAGCAGGATAACGGGCATGGTACGGCTGCTGGTTTCAATGCGTCCACATGCGCGTAACCATCGCCAAACGTCTTCGTCTGCCGACGTGACGACGGTGGCGGCGGCGGCGGCAGCGGACCGAGTGTATTCAGTGGCGACGGTATGGCTGGCGGCAAAGCTGGAGCAAAGCCGCTGCGAGGTGCCCTCTGTGCATACGTTGGCGGCGGCGGGCCGCACACTGCCGTCAGTGGTGATTGCCGCGGAGTTGCGTGTGCTGCAGTGGTGCGGGTGGGCGCCGTACACCGGCTTCGTGCCAGATGACTCCCACTTGCTGATAGAACTGTAGGAAGGGGAACGGAGCAGCGGTAGCGCTTTGTAGGAGGTACAGGGTCGGGCGGAATGCAGGGTGGGGTAGAGGTTGGGGTAAGGAGAAGTTGCTATGGCGCGCTCTGATAAAAAATTTGTGTGAGATGAAACACCTCGCTTCGTGCAGAGATGAAGATGCAACGATTGATAGACGTGAGACATCAAGTGTTAAGGGAGAAGTAATGATAAGGGATGATGGAGGAGCTGATGGTGATGGTGGTGTGGGTGATATATAGAAGCCATGCTGTACCATGTTGCCGCATGTTGTACTGTGCAAGTAATAATGCAAAGAAGAATGCCTACAAGTCATGGGGACGCTTAGTGGTAAGGGATGGATAATCGCGTGACAAACCTCGTGGCCGCACGGTCGGGGGAACTGTCCCCGGTGCTTGCGTGCACACCGTTTTACTGTTTTACGTATGACAGGCTAGAACCGGCGTTGGTCCGGACATTGCGCGTTGTACTTCGTAAATACGTTTGATGACAGCAAGTCGTCCGACAGGGGTGAAAACATTGAATGGGCCCGTGGAAGGTGTTGGCAGTGTGGTTCAGGCTCGCAAGCCTTTCAAAGGCAGGACACCGCGCGTTTTATAATACCCTCCATTTCCTAGTAAGGCAAGGCAGCATAGAACATCCACATTGCAGCAGTTGCTGCTTCTGTATTCTACTGCCTCGAGTGGGTTTTAAGGATGTGGTCGTAGCTTTGCCTGGTTACCTACATATATGCACACATGCATGTTTGGAATGTGCTGTTCCGGCTTGTGTGAACATAACACCGGATAGTAGACAGCTAGGGCGGCACCGCAATGTGCACACTCGCCACGTGTGGCGATTGAGCGCAGAACCACAGCAGACAGTCAAAGGTAGATGCGAGGCCAAATAAGGCGGGATAAGAGATGTGCTAATTGTCGCCAAATGCGGCAACGTTTGTCCTGCGAGTGCAGCGCGAGATCTAGTGCTGCTGCTGCTGCTGCTGCAGCAGCAGCAGCAGCAATTATGGCGCTGGCGCTGGCTGTGCTAACGATGGTAGTCGTGCAAATGTCAGTGAGGTGGTTACTGTGGCCTTATATATGCTAGTGTCGGTGCGATAGGGTGTTGTTGATCAAGGCGACCGAGCAATGCAGCGCCACTCTTACAGATGACGACATCCTACAACTTTAATGTCAACGTATCAGACGTGAATTGTACAAGACATTTCAGCGTAAAGGGTTGAAACGGTCTGGAACCTCCCTTCAAGCGGTGCGTTGCATGCAAGTGGAAAGGCGGCAGGTTCAAGCAAAGGCACGCAGGAGCGTGATCATGGACATGGCGAGGCATGCATGTGAAAGCACGTCAGATTGATTGAGGCCACAGTTTTGAGTAATACTTGGTTTTAGGTAAACTTACTGTACCAGTCCTTACAGCCACAAGATGTACGATGGTCGCCATAATGGTGCAAAGGTTATTGCGCTGAGTTGCATCTCCCTTTTCCAATCTAGCGTACTGTGCATGCTTTACAGACTTCTTTTCCAGCACTTTTTGATCGAAGTCTGGACGGCTTTCCTTGGCTCGATGGCAAAGGATGGCTACAGCATAGGAAGTCGCCATCTTAAGCGCTTGCCATTCGACGGTACTCCGACGAAGTGTAATGGGTGCTTCCTCGGGTTTTAGCTTCGCTTGCAACATATCATGCATGCTTCAATTACAATATTTAGGACGAGAGGACGCACGTGACAGGTTGGCCGATGGGGCGTTTGGATTGCCAAAAGGGCTACTCTAGGGGCGGGCGTGCGCGCTAATGGAGCAGTGGAACTGCACTCAACACCCTGCGGCATGGTATAGGTGCTGCTACAAGCACGCCGTACAAGGTGCGGAATACAGTCAGAAGAGGTTTGTTATGCTGGCCAAGCATTGACGGACTCTCGGGAGCGGCACACAGGTGCTTTCATTGCTTTACATCTATACACTATCCATTTGGGATTGTTGTCTATGGTTATGGGTCTTGGTATAATTGGATGTGAGCGTGTGTGCAGTCCTACGACGATAGGGCCCATCAGCAAGACAATCACTAGATTGCACCATATCCCTGGATATCAACTTAAAATGACCAGGAAGGCCAAAAGAAGCGACGACACAGACTATGGAGCACGTCGTCCGGGTGCCCCTCTGCACTGAACGTTTCAGAGTCGCGTGTGTAATCAAAATGCCCGTGATTTGTACACGTGCCGGAATGCTACTGCTCTGTCCAGCGCATTAAATTTGCTGGTAAGACGTTAATCATATCTAACTAATGCGGAGGTTTTGAACAGAGTTGCTTAACATGAATGGCTTTTTTGTCTGTGTTTAGGAATTGAGCCGCGTGAAGTGGGAAGGAATGCATTCGTGGAACGGACCTATCTTATCATGCCATTTACACGCTTTAGGCATTTTCATAGGGACTTCAGCGGTACTTGGCAGTGTCAAGAACAGTTTCGTATGTCGCAGCGCATTCGGCAATGTGTGTGTTACGATAACACAGCACTACGTCAGGGTTGGCCCGTTGGGGCTTTGTGTAGCAGCTGACCGCTGAAAAGGTCTCTCGAGTTGCTGGCGGTCGCGCTCTGCGCGTATTTATAGCACCGTACTGTGTACTGGCTGCTACATTCCCCCCCCTTTGAAGGGAACCGTCCCGGGCCCTTAGAGCCTCGTATACCGCCAGCCTGTGCCTACCTTCGCCTACCCTCGGGCAGTGGGGTGGCCAAGCCCACGTCGCGTCATGCCGCCCTTCATGCGCCTAGCCTTCAGGTTTTTTCAGGCACAGAGACAATCCAGTCGGTTCAGCTACTTTTATAGTTTTTGTGCGATATTCGCTCACTGAGTCGCCACACCCGAAATACCACTCGAACGTGATCGGTGGGGGTTGAACCGATGACTTCAGGATCGTGATTTTTCACGAGGTCTCGATACCAAATGTAGCAGCTGACCGCTGAAAAGGTCTCTCGAGTTGCTGGCGGTCGCGCTCTGCGCGTATTTATAGCACCGTACTGTGTACTGGCTGCTACACTTTGGGCCTGTGTGTTTTGTGTGTGGTCCAAAGATGGTTTGTGCGTATGCGTGGGGTTTGCCTGTACGTTTTGGCACGTGCGCCAAGAATCTGCGGTGTATCACGTCAAGGGTCTGGGGATGCCGATCATCCCAGCCATGGAAAGGGTTGAGGCGCTGCCGCCGATACCCTAGGAACAGAAACATGCGGCTGCGCCTGATCTGGCTCCAGATCATCATCACAGCATGATTATCATAGCAACATGATCATCATGATCATGATCATCATCGTCATATATTCATACTCATCAAGGTCATCATCATCAATTATACTCATCATATAATTCTGTCGCACCAATTGGGACTTGATGGTTCTCGTCTTGGCTCCCTTACCATGTCAGATTATTGAATGGATGGTTTGGGTCCACGTTGAGCTGGGCGCTTGCCAAATGCAATAATGCCTATCCCTGTCGAGAACTCCCTAGTCAGTCGAGGTTGAGAAGCTGTCTGACCGACAGCGAGGCATGGTTATATCACGTGATCCATATGTTAGTCCGGACATTATGCAGTCAGGACGAAGCAATTCACGTTCGGGCGGAAGGATTGAAGCAGAGGTCGGCAAATCGGTTTCTACGGCTGATAATTTCGGTCAATAAACCTAAAAAAAAAATTGGCGCCTTCCGGCGCCAAAAGAGACAGCATTTCAGGGCTCCACGTTCTGTACACATTGCAGGCCGATCGTTTTACAGGGGGGGCCAAGCAAGTTCTTGCGCCATGAAGTTAGTGTCGCCCCCCGTGCTATCCATCCTCACAAAGCCGACCGCATGCTGTTGAAGCGCGGGTCGTGAAGGATATTCTCGACCTTATCGGTGATGTGCGTGTTAGGTGCATCCTAGTGGAGGACTTGTACTTGGCCATTGCCCCCTTCAACATTGCATCCTCCTTCTTCAAGGACCCCGACATACTCAGCTTCACAAAAAGACCCTCGTTGAGCTTAAGCCGGTGATGTTTGGTACTTTAAGCTAGTCCATGTATTCACAGATCGTCGGGAAGTGAGTGAAAGGCATGGCTTGGTACAGGACCATGTATGCGCCACAAAACAGAGCCAACAAGGGATTGTCGGCAACCTCGGTCATGGCCAGGTGCTTGTCAGTTTGCTGTTGCTGCTGATCCTGTGTGTACTGGTCTACAGCCGCTTTGTGGGAGTGGGAGGCCTCGTGCCGGGTGTAAGCTGAGCGATCCCAGTTCGTGCGGAAAATGGTGGCGTTACTCTCCTTATGCGTGTCGCAAAAAAAGCAGATGACCGTCGTCGAGCCCTGAAGTGCATAGGCCCAGCTCTTGAAATCACCACCACAAGCGTCAGTCAGCCAAACAATGTCCTCGTTGGGAATATGAGGCCGCTCAAACCCCGGGGGGACACCAACGGCATCGATCTTATTGGTGGACTTGGTGCGCTTCCGTTGCGGGTTGGCGGTGGCATTGGGGGTGGCGGGGGACAGGAGTGTTGCCGGCTGCTGTTCGGGAGCGGTGGTGTTGGGGGTGGCGGGCAGGAGAGGTGCTGGCTGCTGAGTGGGGACGGTGGCGGCGGTGTTGGCTTGAGTGTGCCTTTTCTTCTGTGGAGGAAGGGCCACGGTGCTGGCGTTTCTGGAAGTGGGAGTTGGTGGTGCTGGGAAAAGTAGACCTGGAGCTTCACCGGCGCTGCCCGATGGCCCAAGTATCGGCTCTTCCGCCTCAATTTATGTTGCTGGGGGCTCAGCAGTGGCTTTACGACCGGTCAGCATGCCGGCCAACGTGCGTTGTCGACCGCTGGAGATTTCTGCACGCGTTTCCTTCGTTCCCCGGCGAGATGCTGCCGACATGCCGAGGTCAGCAGTTAAAAGTATGCTGGAAATACAAACAATATGATGAAGATTATGTATAGGATAGGCCACATGGGACCAATATCTGGTATGCCAAAGTCCACAATTGACCAAGTCAAGTGCTGCGGCAGCTGCAAATCATCAGTACAGACGCTAGAAATGTAATAGTTTATCAGTGATAACCTTCAACGAGTTGTGTAGAGGTGGTCGTGACATTCTTTTACAAAGTCAAACACAGAGTTCGAGTCCAGCGCGCGGCCCTACGGGCCGCAATAGAGGCTTCAATCACGTCTTTTGGTCGAATTTTGGTCATTTGAGTCCCGTAGCGGGGGCCTTAAGCCGATTTTTGGCTGCGGGTACTGTGGTACGGACCCGCAGGACCCACCGGATTTGCCGACCTCTGGATTGAAGGATTCGCGCGATTATCAATACCAACCACATTTTGTCAGCTCTCACAAGAATCGTTAAAGGGATGTATTATTGCCGTGGGAGCTTAACCGTTTTTCCCTGTGACGTTGCAGATTTTGTGCTTTTGCAGTACCGCCACGGTACGGAATTATTGGCGTTGGACCGCGGTCCGTGGCGGCCGCCACGATTAGCGTCCAACGAATACGCCTGGGTCGCTTTGCAAACAGCTGATCTACGAAAGTAAGTTGCCAAAATGTACGGGGGTGTTTGGGGAGGTTGGAAGCTGTGCGGATTCGGGCCTTGAATACGTCGACACAAAAACTCAAATACGCAGGCCAGGAACCCGTCGGCAGCACATCATCGCCAGGCAGGGAAGGCTGCCCAAATGCAAGCCGTTTGCGCTCGGCCAGTCTTTTGCCCACCAGAGTTGCGCAATAAGGGTCTCAGAATCGCTATACGGTAACGAGGATGCAACTGCGTAGCCTGCGGCCCTGCACTTAGCTATGCACCAATCAGGTTATCGCGAAATTTTTCATCTACTACTCCATTCATATGTTTTACTTCTATTGTATTTTCTAAAAGGTTTTGCGAATCTGTATTATCATGGCAGAAGACACACTTTGCGCACTTTCATCTCCTACAGTAGTCCTTAACCTTAGCTGTGGCTCAGCCACCAAAATTTCTTGATGGAAAACAAATGGAATACAAGGCAACCAGCAAAATCTTTTCCGCCTGAAGCTTTGCGAGTTGAACATTTGTTGACTTTATAAATGGCAAAACAATGAACATTATATTGGCATGACAAACCTATTCCATCAGCGTTGGAGCAGCCTAGACAGCGTGGATGCGCCTGATGATATACGGCCGCTCGCGACTCGGCTGGGCGCTGCTTCCCCTCACACCACTTCCATATTGGCTCTCTAGCTGTGAACACGAGCTAATAACTGCGCAAACCAGAGCCTGGCGGCAGGCGGGCACTCTCCCCCCACACTATTCCCACCAAATCCACAGCGCAATCCAAGGCCGCCGTCCGCCGGCCTTGGGACCGCCCCTTGGCCGCACCCTGCAGGACAGAAAAGCGCCCCTGTCTCCCTTGATCTGCTCGTCCTCCTGTTCTCCATCCGCCACCCTCCTGCTTGCCGCCGCCTTTCCGTTCAGCTGGTCCTCCCCCTCCTCCTCCCCACAACCCACTCCTCAATCCCACTCCTCAAATCTTCAGTTAGCACTAAGCCCTTCACTCTGTGGGGGCGCCTGGGCTCTCCGTCTGGGCTGCCAAAGCGGTGGGTGGAGGTGCGGAGGCAACCAGATGAGGCGAGGTGCCTGGCTGCACGGATTGTGGATCAGGGGGTACATACATAATTAGATGGATAGATAGATGGACGGATAGATAGATAGATAGACGGATAGATAGATAGATGGATAGGTAGGTAGGTAGGTAGGTAGATAAATGGATAGATAGATATGTAGGCAAATGGATAGATGGGTAAATAGATAGATGGATAGAGTGGGCAGCCGTTGCGGGCGATGGTGGGCTGCTCAACGTTCAGCTCCATGGTCTGGATATGGCGGCCGTCATGGGGCTGTGGGTCCCCGGGGCGTGTGGCGCAGCGAGGGAGGAGTGGGAGTGCACTTCTTGGAGTGCCCTCCTCGTGCAGTGTCGTCCCCTCCGCGCCGTCGCGGTCCGCAACCTTTTTGTGCCCGTGTGCAGCCCGTGTGGGTTGGGCATAGGCTGCTGACCGCCCGTTTCTTCACACGCCCATGGCAAGCCTCCTTTTCCCACGCATGCGCCCCTCACCCCGCCCGTCCCCTATTCGGTTCAAATCCGATACAGCTACAGCCGCCTTCAGAGGATGCGACGGTGGCGCCACCTGCACTGCAAACCCCCTGATCGCAGTAGCAATAGCAATAGCAGTAGCAGTCAAAGGTACTCCAGCGGCGGCAGATAGCAGGGCGTGGCTCCCGCGACATCGTGGGCTGCACGACATGACCAGGAGCAGAAACAGCTGTAGCAGTCGCAGTAGCAATATCAGTAGCAGTAACAGTAGCATTCACTTGATCAGCCGCATGGGCGTCGGCAGAAGCAGTAACAATGGCAGTGGCGGCGTCAGGGGCTTCAGCAGTAGCAGCAGTAGCGGTAGGGGCAATAGCTGGGTGGAGGGATTGTTGTCTCCAGCGCTCGAGGCAAGGCTTAAACATCTCCATCATCGCTGCGGGCAGCTGGAAGCTATGCTGGCAGGTACGGTATTCTGCGGCGGCGGCCGTACGTTCGACACAGGTGGCTGAAGAGGGAAAAGGGAATGTGCCGGCTGGGACCCTGATTAGGTGCTAAGGGCCCCCGAGGGGGCTCAAAGCGGGTTGAGGGGCCCGCAGCGAGGTCTGTATTGGGGCATAGTCGTGTGACGTGCGTTCTACGCTGATGTGTCTGCAAGCACGGACAGTATGCACCAGGTGGAGAGCTGCATTGCGTAGCGGATGATGGCGGACTGCATTCACATAAAATCACGATGCAAGATGTAGGTACCAAAAAGCAAAGAAGCTTAACTAGGTGCGGATGTGCTGCTTTGCGTCGAGATGAGAGTGATTTGAAAAGCTGTTGGTTTGCGGGTTCTGGACGACAGATTGTTGGTCATGCAGGTTCGGCGGGTGACGTGGGTGCCGAGGGCGGCGGCGGCAGTGGTGGCGGTGGCGTTACAGCTCGGCGCGATGTCGGTCGGGAGTACTCCTTGCTGAAGCCCCTAGCAACAGCTTACGAACGCCTTTTGCGTGTACGGCGAGAGGTAGGTACAGCACGGCTGATGTATGCGGCTGATCTCACCACACACCACACGCCACGTGGTGCAGAAGGTTCTGGAAACGCCTCGCTGGCTGCTCCACCAGCCCACCAAATCCGCCCTCCTCCCTTCCCGCATGCTAATCCGCCCCCCAACCCCGGTTGGATCTTCCCGGGGGTTTACACTAGGCTCCGATCCTGTAACCAAGTAACCCGTTAGACACCATGCTTCACTTTTGCCCGGCCTATGCCGGTTGTTATCCGTTACCGTTACTTCGTTGTGCCGGGGTTGCTTCAGTTGGAGGACCTCGCAGCGCTTCTGAAAGATCCGGACTCCCGGGTACGAGCGATGGCGGAGGAGGAGGGCCGGGAGCTGCAGCAGCAGGTACGACGTGATGCGATGTGATGGGGGGGCCCAATGCAGGTTCAGCCGTGCAGACCGCCAGCCAGAAGAAGTGTGCGGCTGGTTCGTTTGCTGCACGTCCGCCCGCCTGCCGACCTGTCTTCCCGTCTTTCTAGCAGATGCAAAAAGCTTGTTGGAATCTGGCGCCACCATACACACACATGCACACACAAACATACATACACACACACACACGCACGCACGGCCTCGCCAGATGGCCAGTGGCCCCGGTCTGATGGCCGGAGGAACTTGGCCCCCGCCTCACCCCTTCCTACGGGCCACTTTCTCCGTGTCATCCCGTGCGAGTGGTGGTCCCGTGTCCCTCCTTTCTTTACCTCACGCGCCACCCCGTCAACTGGAAGCCCGCCTGGAATTAACCCCTGGAGGCCAACTCCTGCAGGCTGCCGGGTTGACTCGGCGGTTGCTGCTGGCTCTGGTGCCTCGTGACCCACGGGACGGTCGAGCTGCACTGCTGGAAATGCGCGCGGGCGCGGGTGGCCAGGAGGCGGCGCTGTTTTGCGGAGAGCTGCTGGAAATGTACCGCAAGTTCGCAATGGTACGTGTAGGTACGGCGCTGGGGGTTTATGCGCGTGAAGTGTTTGTCGATTGAGGCCACAAACGAAGGGGTGTCGCCGTCGGACCCGGTGATCACGTTCGTCGGCATGTGTGTGTGTGTGTGTGTGTATGCGTGGTGGCTTGGCAAGGCTGTGTCAGGAGCCAGAGATTGAGGGGCCAGGAGAAGATAGATCTGCGGGGCGATACCCTGCCGGTGTGTCCGGGGAACTGGACTCCGTGGTATCGCTCTCAGCTCTGCGTGGTAGGGTGACGACGCCATGTGCAGTTGTCCAGATGGGCGGCGGCGGTGTGGAATGGGGTTTTGCACCCCGGTGCCACTGTGCTCGTGCGTCTGTCTGTCCTTCCATCCCTCCTTCCGTCTGCCTGTCTGTCTGCCTGTCCTTCCGGCCGCAGTCCCGCGGGTGGTCCTGGCAGGTGGTGGAGCTGACGGCGAGTGAGGTACCTGGGGGAGTGAAGCACGTGGTGGCAGCAGTGGCGGACGGTAGAGGAGCAGGGAGGAGAGCAGGGGAAATTGGCGACGGAGGGGAAGGGTACGACGGCGGCGAGGGCAACGGCGACCAAGATGGAGACGCCATCGGCGTGTACGGCACCCTGCTGCCGGAGAGCGGGGTGCACCGGGTGCAGCGTGTGCCGGTGACGGAGGCGCAGGGCCGTGTGCACACCAGCACAGTAGCCGTTGTGGTTCTCCCGCAAGCTGACGAGGTGCGGGTACAATCGGTGAAGCGCCCAGCCTGGGTAGTGTAATGTAATGGCAACATAGTTGGGGCGAGGTTTGGGTGCTGTCCCTACAAGATTGTGTACGGCCTTCCAATGTACGTACAGCATCGTACCAGAGGCAGCTACCTGGTTGCGATTGAGGTTGCTTGTGAGCGTGCGATGCCTTGGCAGTACCCTCCCCCCCAACAGGCACTTCCACTCCGCCTGCAACCCACACGTGCAGGTGGATGTCAAGCTGCGCGATGAGGACCTCCGAATAGAGACCATGCGGGCCAGTGGGGCGGGAGGACAGCACGTCAACGTCACCGACAGCGCTGTACGCATCACCCACGTGCCGACTGGTCTGGTGGTCAGCTGCCAGAACGAGCGCTCGCAGCATTTGAACAGGGCGGCGGCGCTCAAGGTGGGGGAGCAGAGCGGGGTGATGGAGATAGCCCAGGGGGAAAGGTTGGGAGGAAATGACGGGGCTGGGGCAGCGGACTGGTCGGGCTTGGGGTACAGATGTGAGGGGCTGTGTGTGGCAGGTAGCCACACGGTAGCCACGAGCATTTAGAAAGGGGTGCATGCCAAATTCCGATTTGCGCCGCAGCTGAGGGACCGTGCTGGGATGTACCTGACGTTGTACCCCTTTCGTGCGTGCGTACAGATACTGCGTGCGCGGCTATACGACCTGGAGATGCAGAAGCGCGCGAAAGAGATGGACGAGCAGCGGTCGGCACTAGTGGCGTCCGCTGATCGCAGCGAGCGCATCCGAACGTACAATTTCCCGCAGGTACGGTTATGAAGTGTACGGCAACCTCCCACAATTACGCTGGTGTTCAGAATAGAGTTTCTGAACTTGACTGGACGAGCACCACCTTTGAACGTTTGTTGTTGTTGTTGTTACAGGGTGGTTAAGCTTCACCAGTGGCCTCCTTCCCGAGGCAATTCCCTTCTCTCCCCTGCTAGAGGGGCACACTAATCCATTCACCCCATCCGACTTCAGAGTGTACTCTTTGGGTTCGGCAACTCACCACCAGCATCCAACCAAATCTAGCGGATCAACGGCGCCTCAACTTAGTTCCTGGTCAGCTCGCAAGTTGATTTTATCACGTCCTACACCGTCCACAAGATGGGGGGCCACCTCCCATTTCAATACCCCTCAACCACCCGAGGGGTCGGCAGGAGGAACCCGGACACTCCTGAGAGCAGAAGTCAGGCCTTAGCCTCTGCCAGCCGCCTGCCTTGTTGGTTGTCCAAGACAGGCGGATGGTCCCCTGAATCATTTCCCCCCCTAAACTCCCAGGGCCGCGTCACGGACCACCGCACCCATCTGACCCTCCATGACCTGGATTCGGTGCTAGTGGGCGGGGAAGGGTTGCAGAGGTTGATGGGGGTACTGAGGGCTGCGAGGGAGGAGGAGGCGCTGAGGCGGCTGGGGGAGCAGGAGGAGGCAGCAGCAGCCGGGGCCGCAGCGGAGGGCAGGAAGAGGCGGTAGAAGATTAGGGGAGTGTTAAGGTGAGCGGGTGGATACAAGTGCTGCTTTGCGCATTAACTCCTAGTGGGTTAGTACTACCGTACTGTTGAAGAGCTGCAATGTGAAAAACATGAGTTGGAGAACGGGGTCATTGGCTTGCCGCCGTATGTCGTGCTGGATGTGTTTTGGCCCGTCCGTTTGGCCGTGATTTGTCGTGGCACCCCGATTTGGCGTGGGATTAGGCCTTGGGGAGCGTAGCAATGTTGTTGACACTTAAATGCTCCTAAGCTTAAGCTTATGCCATGAAGTCATTCTTGAGACGGGCGCCGAGAAAGTGAAAAGGCTCGGTTATCTATATCCGCCGGCATTCACATCAAATCACTCCAGCTTCATCCACTCTACCGTCTCGTCCCAAATGCCGGCCAACGTAGGTCGCATAATGATAATCCCGACGAAGGACGGACCACATAACCCCGGGCAGCCTCCCCTTTTTGCACATCCCCATGCATATCTCACAGGCACCAATTGGTGTACAGCAACACACCTCTCTAACCCTAATCTCTAACCCTCCTAATCCTTCTACTGCGCAGTCGTTATCATGCACGACATTGTTCACCTCACCAGAGCCGGGCAGGAGGAAGAGGGGGGTGAGCAGGAGGAATATTCTCCTGGCTTAGCTCGACGCCACCTTCCTGAGCTTCACAGGACTGCCCTCTGGGGCGTCCCGGCTCCTCCCTCAACGGAGCCGCGATGTTCGGAACGTGAAGGCGAAGAACTCCTTGCCGTCTGGAAGCTCTCCCAGTGTCCAATCCTTTTGATCGCGAATGAGCTCGTTGATCTCGGTGTGGTCGACATAAAATTGCGTGTCGATCTTGCAGTCATCAACGGTGCAGCCTTGTACATACGGAATGCAGCTGGCCGTGATGAGTCCTGCCGCGTGCTCCTTCACACCATCCATGTCACAGAACCGACCAGTTGCGCGCTCAAGGGCGCGCACCGCGTGTGGATGTGAAGTGACAAGCCCGCAGGCAAAGTCCTCCTTACTAGTCGCCCACGCCATTCGGCATAGCCGGCCAGCGATCCCGTGGCTTCGGTGTTTCAAGCTCACCACCAGCTGCGTAATCCAGCTCACGGTCCCATAATCACCGTATTTGAACGTCGTTACGAAGGCGTGGCCAACCAGCTCATCCCCAATTTGTGCTATAACCAAGCTGCATGTTTCTGGGTTAAACAAGCACTGCTCTCGCAACTTCTTTGACGATAAGCGGACCCGGGAACCGGGCTGCGGGCCGCCAATTCCCCAAACACCATAGTGCTCGGAGAACAGCTTCGCGCAGGCTACAAGTTGCTGCTCTGTTACTCTCTCGCCAGAAAAAACTGCGTAATCTGGCTTCCTGGGAGGTTCTATTGCTCGTTTGTCCATCTGGCTTCTGTTCATGTGTAAATTGACTATGGAGGTAGTGATGCGGATATGCTTGTGCAGTTTAGTATCCCAATTGGCAAAATGGCGCTACACTGAAAGTCGGCAACCTGTCTCGGGGGTGGTGAGCCCGCCCCTGGAGCGACCGCTGGTACCGCCGGCCATGTGCTACGTAAACTAGCTGCTGTCTTGGAGTTAAACTGTTCTATGGTAACGTTGCTGATAGCTCAGTCAAAGGTGCAAGGGCGCGACCACAGTTGCCGGCGAAATGCTAATGCAAGCGCCATAGACGAGGCACAAAGGATAGACAAGCCACAAAGCTTTACACATATATGTGTAAAGTCACATAAATCCGATAAACGATGGCCAGCTCGCTTGGACGCACGGTCCAGGAAATCTCAAGTTCCGAAGGCCTCCGCAAGCCTAATTTTCTCATGAAGATTGTATCGATAGGAAATGTTTCAAGCGACTGGGAAGTCCGGCGGTAGGGACCATCGGCTCCACCGACAAACCGGAATATCGGACGATAAACACACAAACAGGCTACACTGCGCAGCTATTCCCACACGACTTCATGTATAGATGCTACTGCACGGCTTCATGTATGGAAGCTGCTAAGTGTAGCGCCATTTATTCCGCTCAAAGAGAATGCCACCCAAAGGTTACGCGCATAAGAGCCTTAGTGCCTCTTCACCTATCTGGTAAATGTAAATATGCCTGAGGATAATAATGAATCACTTAGTTCGATAGAAACTAACGACTCCTGGCTTGGCGAAATCGTTTGGGGCGACATTCCCATAAGTGACAGCGGCAGCGACACCGAGAGCGACACTGACAGTTTATCTGGTGGCGAGACAGCGCCCAAGCTCATGTGCGCCGTATGGCTTCTCCCCCGTCAGAAACCATTCAATACCGTTTGTGTCGTTCTTGGCGAATGGCTCCGCGTCCCGCAGGGCCCGCGCCAGAATCCTTCCCCGCCACATCCGGATATGCCGGCGTTCATGGAGTTCCCGCGGCCGCGGTAGCCTGAACGGCAGGCGCAGCGGCGGCGGGGCCTAGCAACGCATCAGCAGCGGCAGCGACGGCGACGGCGGTGGGGCTGGGAGGTGCGGTAGCTTCAACGGCAGGCGCGGCGGCAGCGGGGCCTAGCAACACAGCAGCAGCAGCAGCAGCAGCGATGGTGGTGGGGCTGGGAGGTGCGGTAGCCTGGATGGCAGGCGTGGCGGCGGCCGCAAGCGGGCGCCTGAGACGGAGGAGGAGGACACGGTGACAGGCACGCAGCGCCGGCCGGGTCGGTCGGCGGCAGGGTGGCGGGTGGTGGGCCTGCCCCCCCTGCCGCCGTGTGCACGCACTCAGCCGGCGGTGGCGGGATCGGCGCGGCGACGTCGGGCATGGCAGCGGTGGGCCTGACCGAGGCCGCCATGTTGCTGGATGATGCTGATTATTACTGTGTGATTGTGGAGTTGCGTTAGGACTTTAGCTCCCTTGCCCGTATGCAGGAACCCGTAAGGTTTGCTTTTGTTTGCCGACTGGGCTTTAACGCAACCAAGTTGTGATGGTTTCTTTGCGAGGTGCGGTTGACGATCTAGGGCCACTGTAGGCTCGCGCAGCCCACTAGGGTGCGAGGTACTTTGGGTGATGCAGGCAGACTTGACTCAGTTTGAACGATGCGCCATGATTTTCTTCATTTCAGTTGATGAAAACATCCTATCTTAAGCCCTGAGTTCCTTTCTAGGCTTTGCACTGGGCCCTTGGGTGGCACTTGAATGACACTGACAACTGCGGTCGCACCTTGTGTCCTCAGCTCAGGTTACATCAACATTATCATAGAAAGACTCATAAGCTGGCCGGCGGCACCAACGGCCACTCCTGGGCGGCCTCACCTTGACCGGGGAACCCCCGGCCATCTTTCAAAAAGTCGTGCGCAAGTCGTACGTGTCTTGCGGTTTTATGCTCGGCTTGAACTGTTGTGTAAGTGATAAGTGATTTGAAAAGTTAATCCTTGCATAGCACGTCAGCCTCAGGCAAAAGTGGAAGCTACGGTTGTGTAACGGTGAGACGCCGCATCTTTGTTTTCCGCATGGCGCAGCTGCCGCTTCCAGCCGCAGCCTCTGGGGGCCACTTCCCCGAAACCTCTACTCACTCCGGCCAGACTCCAGAGCACATGCCGAATGCGATACTGACAAAGCTGTCAAAAATGAAATACAGAATCGAAGCTTGTGAAGCAACGCCGCTTCCTAGTGCGCCCGTGTGAAACAGGACCGGAAAGCGGGCGTGGTTGTGCAAGAAAACCTGCCACGGACCTCTCACCCACACCCGCACCGCCTCCACCTTCATGAGCGGCTAGCAATCGGGACCCGCACACAGTCCCACACTGACTCCCTACGCCTAGCTTCCCCCTCATGGCATTTACTTCTTAAGCGACACCAGCAGCTGTCCCGCCTCGTTCTTCGAGGATTTGCACAGTGACACAGTGAGGCCTTTGAGACCCGCACGCAGCTCCGGAGTGGTGGTGCGCTTGGCGAAGTAGCGGGTGAAGTCCTGCACGAGGCGCAGTTGGGGGCGACCAGGACGGGAAATGCACTCGCGTAATGCGCACGCACACACACACGATACACATGACACACAGGTGCAGACATGTGTGCACACGCTTCTCCCCGAAGGAACATGCCCTTCAAAACGCTATGGGCCATTCAGCCAATACTCGTCCATAATACCCGTTATGCTCGAGTGATACCTACTGACTTAGGTGACGTTCCTTTTTAACAGATACACACCTGTTGGTGGTCAGCTTGCCAAGTGGTTAGGGGATTCCTCTGTGTTCCTCACCGCCACCCAGTTCGCACAGCACTTGCACAGCACACATTTGTATGCATTTGTAAACACAAAGACACAAGTACAGACACACAGACATACACACTCAACCGACACACAGCACAGCAGGGCACCTGGAATGGCATAATTCCATTGGGTTGGCGTCGGAGCAACTCGATGACCTCCTCCGCGGTGACGGCCGGTCCAGCAGCTCCTCCTCCTCCCCCTCCTGCAGCGGCAGCAGCCGGGGCACCCTGAGCGGGCCGCTGCATAGACAGGGCGGCCGCACTGGCACCAGCAGCAGGCGCCGCCCCTGCCGCAGCCGGCCTGGCAGCCGCTGCCACGGGACCTGCTTGCGTGGCGCCTGCCGCCGGCTGAGGAAGCGGTGGCGTGGCCGTACGCGCGCGCTTGGTGCCCTTCGGGAAGTTGCAAGGGATATGGCGGCATGGCGGGCGGCAGGGGTGCTGGATTAGGTCCCGGCGTCCTCTCGGCATCACCCGGTCATCAAGACACGGCTTTGGGTTTGGTCGGGAGTGCAAAGCGGGCAGCCACGAACCCGCACAGCCTAAGCACAAGCCCAGTGTAATCCCACCCTGAGCTGCAAGTAGCCCACCCCGCCCACCCACCCGCTCCAGTTATAACCGCAACGTGCAACCAGCAATCCTTCCCCCGCTTACATCTGCCGCGGGCCGGGACTCCTCCGAAACCTTCCGCTTCGTCCCTACAGCGGCCGCGGCTGCGGCAGCCCCTTGAGCCGGTGGCGGCTTGGCGGCTGCTGGGGGCACTGAGGGCTGCCGCTGCGGCGGCTGCGGTGACGTCTGAGTCTTAGGCTCCTCTTCCTGTAGGTTGTAATGGTGGCGCACACCGAGCGGGGTTGCGATGCGGCACATGACTGCTGGACTTGAATGTTGCTCAAACTGAAACCTTAAAATCAAACCTCAAACTGTAGGTTTTCTAAGTGAGACGACAAAAAATCAAGGTTTCATGTGTATTTGGCGAGAGCGTACTCGGTTGAATGTCGTTGGTGTGTACGGCTGGACCGTATCGGGCTAGAGTAAGTCGCAGCAGTCTGGCAGAAAGAGTAATTTCGCGAGTTCATAGCGTCAGTACTGACAGGTTTCCACTGCGGCTTCTGCCCTAATCTACAGCGTTCAGCAGCAGAGTCGCTCGGTAACCAGGCTCGCCCCCTCCCACGGAAGCAAGCACAACTTTCTTGCCTGCAGGCACCCCTCCGTCTGTACGACCCCTAAGCGGTAAGGCAACTACTTAAGAAAACCCAAGTTAGCTAGGAAAAGATACCCTTCTTTCCCGGAGGCTTGAATCCATTTGTGTGCACGGACATCGGAAGCGGGCCGAGTGCATACCCTCCAGCCCAGACCTCCGCCACGACACCCGTGCCGCACCATCTCGTCCAACTCGTCCAGCTCGTCTTCGTCCTCCTCCCCTTGCTCGTCCCCCTCGCCCGCAGCCAACCCGCCCGCCGCTGCTGCAGCCCCCGCCGCCGCCTGCTGCCGTTTGGCCTCCTCTTCCTCCTCTTTTTTCTTCTGCGAAGGCACACGAGGGCGCGAACACCAGGGATAAGTATACTCAAAAACGTTTACACAATACCTAGGCAAAGGCCCACATGGCCACACCAGCTGCCTGACCTCGGATGGTGCTCCACACGAGCTTACTTTCACGACTGAGGTTCCAGGAGCTTCCAGGGCATCCCGAGGTTCCTAGGCAAGACGAGGTGAGTAAGGCCGTACCCCTGCTGGTTGAGACCTGGTGCGAAATCAGCACAAGGGTCCCTCTGCGCCTTTTCCCCCCTTCCCTTCTGGCGGTCCGTCCCTACCCCACCCAGGCATATACCCCTGGGACTCACTTCCAGCTGAGACCCGCCCACCCCGCCATTGCCACCTAACCCAACCACCAACCCACCCGCTCCTCCTCCTGATCCGAGTCATCTGGGTCACCCAGCTTCTTGAGCTTCCGGGCCTGCTCGTCAGCCTCCTCGCCCTCGTCCTCGTCATCAGCCTCAATACCCAGTTTCTTGCGCATGCCTAAGGGCGACATCAAGGATGAGCGGCGGGGAGGGGTGCTTGGGTGTATGGGTAGGCATGGGTTGCGAGGTGGAAGCTAGGGGCAATGGGTTGAAGGTGGGGCAGGTGGTATAGGGGAAGTGGATAAGTTGAATGTGGTACCAGCAGCCAGGGTGCAGACAGGATTGTAAGGTGCAACGGACATGGGGACACGTCCGTGATATGGCAGCATGCAGATGAACTGGGTGACGTGGTACCAAGCCACGGGTGTATCGAAGTGCATATTAGTAAAGGTATCCACACATGACAGCATCGCATCCACGTGCTGCCGTACAACGTACCCGGGTCGTCCTCGTACACCTCGTCGTGCCCCTGGTCCTGGTCGTCATCGTCGGGCTCGAACTCGTGCTCCCAGTCCTCGGCCTGGCCGTACGGCACCCAAATGCAATGGCCATCGGTAGGGGCGCTGGTAGGAAGACAAAGCCCTGGCACCCTTGCTTCCCGCCCCGACCGCTGCCTCTGCGCGACAAAAACCCATTTCACTATATCCATAAACATGGCTAGCTCCCGCAGAACCATACCCATCCATTACCCCCTTCCGCACCCCCCCTCCCTTGCCTGCTGTAACCTGCGATATTGCTGCTTAACTGTGCGCACCTCCTACTGCTCATCTTCCCAACGCCTCTCCTCGCCTCCAGGCTGCTTCATCGGTGAAGCACCGTCACCGTCACTACCACTACCAGCACCGCCAGGCCCACTCCACGTCCCTAGGCCTCCCAGTGCCCTCCACACACCCTGCCACTCTCTCCTTACGCACTTCCCCCCGTCCCCTGCTGGGGTGACGTTCGGGTTCCCTCACCTCCTCCGGCTTCTCAGGCCTCAGGTCCTCATCCGCTGCTGGCCCCGCATACAAGTCCTCAGGCACCTCGTCCTCTCCAAGCTCCTCGCCGTCCGCGGTCTTGATGCTTCGAGACCGGCCTGACAGCGCGGAATGAAACAAGCCGGAGAGCGGGAACAACAATAACTATAACAGTAAACAATAGCAGCAACAGTGGCAACGCTGATAACTCACTTCAAGAATATGAAGCAAAGCAACAATAACGACAAGCGCCAGACCGACCAGACGATCACAATGTTAACAGTATCGAACAAGGCATGACAGTAAAAAAAAGGATGCAACCGTGTGACACAACCACAATTTACATCGCAAACAGCAAATAGACATATCAAGGTGCGAATAGTGTGGATACAGAACCCACCCTTCTTCGCTCCCTTGCCGCCCTTGCCACCAAAGCGGGGGCCCTCGTCCTCGTCGTCGTCACCAAACAGCTCCTCCTGCGGGGTGGGGACACGGGGCAGTGAGGTCAGGCAGGTCACGGTCAAGGAAGTCAGAGGTCAGGGGACAGGCCAGCGATTCACCCCACATACCTATCATGCAAACCCCCGACCCTCCCTTCCCTCCCCTAATGCACCTCCCAAACCTGCCCCTTCGTCCCACAACAACCCTCCGTACCTTCTCCCCCAGCGTCATCCCATACGCCGCACCCAAACCAGTCCAGGAGAAAAGACATGTAATAGGAACAGGCGGAGGGCACATGTGCCCTTTCAGCACTACCACAAGCTAAATGCGGAAAGGGCACAAGGGGTTGTTCCCGACATTCCTGCGTTCCACACCACCACCTTCCCCAGAACTGTCACCCCCACATATCTCGAGCCCAGGGCCGCGTGCACACTCCACCCACAGCCCCCTCCGCGAACCCCCCTCTTCCGTCCGCCTGATCAGTACCCTTGCCCGTGCCCAAGCCAGAGCCAAGAAGCTCCGGGCTGTTCCCCCAACCCCCAACTGTCGGAGCCCCTGCGGGGCCCCACCCGACATCACCCACCTCCAGCTCGTCCTCGTCGACGAAGCGTTTCAGTCGGCCTCCACCCCGACCTCCCAGCTCGTCATCCACCGCCCCAGCCAGCGGCAGCAGCCGCCCGGCCGCCACCTGCTCCTGCCGCTCCCGGGCCTCCTCCTCCTGAGGGGTTGGGGGGTGGGGTTGGGTAGGGTGGGGGTCATCGCCGCATGGGCCCACACGCGCGGCTGGCCGCCGAAACGTTGCGATGGAGTTGTAGCTGAGACGTCGACAGGCAGTAGCAGGAGCAGTTGTAATAGCAGTCAAACCCCCCCAGCCCGCCACACCAGGCTAAGCCCCCCCTACCTGTCTCTGCTTCTCCAGCCGTTGTGACTTAGGCACCAGCCTCAGCGCGAAGGGGTCCAGTGGGGCCCCACCTTTGCTGGCCGCGTTGAGGACGGGGGGTTGACGGCCCGCAGCTGCATTGGCTGCAGCCACCGAGTCCAACAGCCCTCGCCTGCGGCCGAGTTAGGGATGAAAAATAGGGATGGAATAGATTGAATGGTTGGCTGTATCGGCCGCCCCGTATATCCCGCCAAAACCAACTCCCACCTGTCCACGTGGGGTTTGAATGCGAACCACTGCTCCGCGGGGAAGGCCGTCACCCGGTTGCCACTGCGGTACAGAATGTAGTGCAGCGGGGGGCCGTCCATGTTGGCGCCGCCGCCCGCCTCCGGGGCGCCCTTGAACACGGCGGCAGGGGGGCCGCTGGTCCCCGCGGTGGCGGGCCGCTGCTCCAGCAGCAAAGGCACTTTGACACTGAGGGTTTAACGGTTTACCGGGGCATGACCGGGTTGATAACGCACATGTGGAGCGATGTGGTGGTGATCGTGGTGGTAAGTGATCTGAGAGAAAGGAGCACCGGAGAGGTGGATGGTGAAACTTGTGGTGGTTAGGAAAAAACAGCCTACTAATACGTGGCCCACCTGGGATCGGCTGTGGTGATGGTGGGTAGCTATCACTGGATACAATGCGCGCAGGTATAATGCGATGCAAAAGAGGCACTGCATGTGCCGCGGGGACGACCTGCGCAAGCCCGCTACAGGATCCAGCCTCCCACGAGCAAGTTGGCACTATCCGCGCCGAGCCCCGTGATGGCCCGGAACACCTGAGAGTCACACTACTATGTAGGCAGCTCACACTCACTCAGGTCCCCGTTGCTCTTGCTGCTGCTGTCTCAGCCGGCTGACCGTCTCATCCTTTTTTCGAGTCGCCTGCTCCGAAACAACGCTTGCCCGTAGATCAGGCACCAGGGAGAAGGTGCAGTACGGGTCCCGGAAGTTGGGTATGCGCTGTCATTGGTGGGAAACAGGGGCCGGGTACCAGCAGTGTGAGGGGTTGCATTGCATGAGGGCAGCGGCGTGGGCGCGAGTGGTTAGGAGCCGACGAGTCGGTCATTCCTTCGCCCATCACTTCCCCAAGGTGCTCTGGTATCAGCTCGTGCAGGGGTTCTGATGCTAGCCACGCTGCTGAACCTCGGTGTGGAACACCGCAAACTTATGCAATGCTACCCTCATCCCGCATAATCCGGGATTCTTAGCTGTTGAAGTCAGTACCGATGTCCGGGACGACCAAACCGTAGACCGGACACGGCTTATGCTGCCGTTGGATTATAAATCAGGGACGATTTGCCAAGATGCTGGTACCGAGAATTGTGATTGCTTACATGCGAGAACTTGGCCACTGCATTGTGTCGATTTCTGTGTATGGGGCCTGGGGGAACCACGTCCAGCACCTGCCAACAATATCGATTATTTTAGATGCATTAAATTAATGAATCTACGTGCTGCAATTCTAGATATCGGCGGTCGGTGAAACTACCTGAGCACGCAAGCCAAGCTCCTGCGGTTGATTCATCAGCCTAAGCACTATATCATAGAAAACCCTTAAGCGTTGACAATTCAGAAATGGAGGTCTTTCTCTATCCTTGTTACAGTCGTTTCAGCGCGCCGAAAGCTCAGACACGTCTACCGCAATCAACCTGCAATAACCTTAAAGGTTCCAACGTAAAACTGTTTCCATGAGAAGCAATCATATGCATTAAGTCCGTCGCGACGCGGCAAGTTCCAACCCTTCCGTTTAGTACGCCGTACACGTCACAATACACTGTGCCCAAGGCTGGAAGCTGCATCACGTGCGCTTCCTGCAACAGCAAGCCGCTGGCCAACGACAGCACACACAGCCACAGAAACGATTTCCCAAAGCCCCCCTTCTAGCGACCCTCGCCCCCAAGGGTATGAACACTACACGCCAGGACACGCCAGGATAAGCAATGGTCATCCTGAAAAATCCATCAGCCCCCAAACCATAGGAATATAGCTGACACTTGCACCATTGTCAACATGCATACCCTGTCCTAGCTAGCACGGTCAATCGCCATTGCAGTACGGTCAATCGCCGCCACCTGACCTGGGTCAGTGAAGGGAGAACCTCAACCTGCCTGCATGCAATGGAGCAGCCGCAGAGCACCCAAACCTTTTCACACCCGGCGCCTTTTGGGCAGGCGGCAGCCATTGTACGGAATCGGCGTCACGTCCGCCAGGCTTATAATCTGGAGACCAGCGGCCGCGAGAGACTGCACTGCATATTGCTTGGTGTTGCCGGGACCTTTAAGTCGTATGGAAACTGTCGAATAGCCTAATTTGAGCGCCCGACGCGCTAGCTCCTCCGCGGCTCGTTCGGCTGCGACGGGCTGTGACCTGCGGGCGCCCCGGAAACCCACGATACCCGCTGAAGTATACGTTTTGATGAAGCCCTGTTGATCTGTAAGGGTCAGAATGATGTTGTTAAAGGTGTTCTGGATGTGTATGATGCCCTCCAGGGAGCCCTGCGCTGCCGCGCGCCTCTCCGAGACGACACGCCGATAATCGACGTTAAATACCCCGTCGCTGCTGCCGGCCCCTCTGTTCCCGCTGGTACTGGCAGCGTCGATGGCCCGCTCAGCGCTACCTCTCCCGCGGGTGCTCTCTGCGTCAGCTGACGTCGAACGCTCCTGCCAATCCGGCCCCGTAAGCTCAGCTCCCCCCGCAGCTGCTGCAACTGCTAAGCAGCGCAACCCTTGCCCTTGAAGATTTGCAGTCACTGCAGGCATTAGTTTCCAGAGCAAAGTAAGAACAGTTGACGTCGGCTAAGAAAACCCACATCGACGCAAATCATGTACCAACCTGTCGAGCAGCGCCCCAAAGCCACTACACTGGTAAGAGCCGCGCCCAAGCTATGAAGGAGCCCTGCAGAACCAATCATGGTCCTCAGTAGGAAACCTTCAGTTTTCCTTGGAAATGCCGTGAACTTAATCTTCTATGCTAGCACCCTAAATTTAATGACATTGATATTTCGCTCATGTAACCTGTAAGCCGTGTACATTCCGTACAGTGCTATCGATCGATATGTTTATTCCATCGATATACAGTCATTAAAGGAAGAGTGGTTTCGCTTCCTTACACGGACAGTTATGGATTCTATAAGCGAGAATCTCCGTCGCGCACAGGAGGCAATTGCTCGCGCGCGCGAACTAAGCTCACAGTTATCGAGCCTTTGCCTGCAGCAAAGCAGTGCACCAGAGCTACTGGCACCAGAGCAGTCTCGCGGGCCTACTCCCTCAGATACTGAGCGAACGTTCGCTCCCCGGGAGGTCGAGGAGCTCAAGGACGGCGAGGTCACGGAGTGCTTCCAAAACAATAGTGACGACCATGATGAGCATGAGGGACCTAGCGTGTCGGGGCGAGAAGTCGACTCCGCAGTGGCAACGCTGAGAGGTCTGGCTGGCCCCGTTCGAGTGGTCGCACAGCAACTGGCCTCGCTGCAGCGAAAGCAGAACGAGACCTTGCAACAGCTGCTCGTACTCCGAATGCAGCAGCTTAAGTAAGTACGTGCAAAGGGAGGGGGCTGTAGTGTGCCATCCGTGGGTACGGAAACCCATGCAGCCATCACGCAACTAGCGCCCACAAGCGTGATCATGCGATTTTGTTTGCCCCGTCTGCTTCCGCATGCACAACAGCTCTTTTTCGCAACTTACTCAAAGGCTGTACCTTTCAGGCTTCGGCAGCAGCAACTGTCGGCCCTCCAGGAGCTGCTCACTGCAGAGATGGCGGTAATTGAGGGCACCCCACTGCAGGTGCGTTAGAATCCATATTGCAACCTGTCCGGGCCTGATTCGGAGATCCCCTGCCTCCTAGTCAATTCGCCGAAATAATCACAACGGCACTCTCACTGCCCCTCAGAGCCCACCGATCACCACAAAATATAACGTATTCCCCAACTGGGTAAAGTAGTTAATATTGCGGCAAGCATGTAACTTTTGTCGTCCGATGGTCCTCCAGGTTTCGGCTGTGGAGCAGGCTGTGGGGCTGCTTGCGCAGTCGCTGCGAGACATGAGCGCGGCATCCCGTGCCATGATGTTCAGCAGGCCTGAGGACGTGCAGTCCATTTCAGCTGCTGTGTCAGCAACGGACTCGCGGGCAGACGAGGTGTCGCGCATGGCCAGGTCCGTATACGGCATTCATGTGATGCAAGGCAAGAACTTAAGGGGGTATTGCTGAGGCGCAAGTACAATAACATGTAGTTTAGCTGAAGCGCTCATCACATCGTTTTCTGCTCTCAGCCGCAAGCGTGACGCCATGGCAATGCATTGCAGAGAAATCTAGCACTGCAAATCCGTCGGCCAGAATGGGCTCAATCCTACACTAATTTTGGAACTATTGTTGCTCGCTGGCGCAGGCAGCTGCTAAGCGTGCTACGGGCATTCCCGCGGCGAGTCGGCCTGATGCAGGACAACGACACTGTGCCAGGTAGGTCTACACATCTTCACCTTAGCAAACCTATGGCAGCATGCTTAAAATCCCAATGCCTCTTGGCCACATGCTCATTGCGCGTGCTTACTACAAGAGTTTTTGAGTACGTGCAACGTGTTGCCTTGTGTCCCGTGCCCTTGCTTCCAAATCGAGTGCAGGGGCTTGCGATAGCACTATCGAGAGCATTCCGACTGTTACATGCTCCGAGTCGACTCCTCTTCTGGGCCAGACCTGCTGCATTTGCCTGGGCAATTTCTCGGCAGGCGATCAGCTCAAGAGCATCCAGTGCGTTCACTATCACCACGCCGCGTGCCTCGATGAATGGCTTCGAATTAAAGCATGCTGCCCTCTGTGCCAAGCGGTCCTACCCGAGAGCTAAGGGAAACCTTATTGTCCCGTCACATTAGCCATGTAAACGAACAAGTCGGATTGAAGCCTTTTGATGCCAATATATTCAAGAGTAAGGATCGCGTATTTTTTGTAGTACAAGGTTTATAACCGCTCACAAGCTTTCACCCACAGGCCCACGCACCAAGTATCACGCCAACCGCTACACCTAACAAGATGGCATGCACGAGTTTCCCATCAGGGCCATACACGGCGCCACATTACGACAAATCCGGGGAAATATGTATAGGCTAGATCCTGTAACCAGATTGCACATTATTAGTGAATTACCGGGTACCGGGTTCACTGCCGCCAGGGAATAAATCAAGCGCGTGCTCATTGCCTCCAATGTAGTACTGGATTACGGCCTTAAGCCGCTCATGTTTATCGGGGTGATAATTGATGTGCACCATGACGGGAAGAGGAGGCCTCTGATCCTTGGGCCGGTGGCGTATGTCCTTGAAGAGGCGCTTAGAGTTCATGAACTTGTCAATTTCCATGACGCGCACGCTGACCTGCGGGCTCTTGTAGCTACCATGGGAGAGGAAAAAGATCTCCTCGTTGTATGCGGTCTGATCCCAGTATTTCTCCCTGCTGAGACGCGTCTCCAGGCGAGTAAGGAGATCCAGGGTGCGGTTGTTGGCCTGAATGTAGAACAAGCCAGAATTCAGGTTGAAATGCTTGTAATATTGCGCGTAGCGGCCCCAACCCATAGACGGATCGTCGAAACCCTCGATAGAGCCGTACGCTGTGTGTTCGTCAAAGCCGTCGGTCATACCCTCCACATCCGAGTCACGATATATGTGCTCGAAGGGGTTCTGGAAAATCGCAATATCTACGTCTGACAGCAGGACGGCCCAGCCCAATTCGACGAAACGCCTTAAAATGCCGAACTTCAGCGCTGAGACTGCATGGTTGTCGCCAGTGCCTTGTTGCGACGCTGCGATGGTAACGTTCATCAGGAAGACGTTGATGCCGTTCTGCTGGCACCACAATACTGTCTCCTGGTCCAGTGCCAGCACCATGTGGTTGGACACCTTGGCACGCTTGAACCCCTGGGTGAACGTGTCCAACATACCGTCGTACATAGTGTTTTTGTTGGCCACCGCAAGCAAGAGCTCCTTCTGTGGAGCTATCTTCATGAGATACGCCTCCAGGTCATTACGAGGGCCAGCAACAGCCGTGTGGTGGCCGACATGCATCCGGTTAGCTATCTCGGTGACCAGCTGCCGAGGCTTAGGGATCAGCGCCCTCTTCTGTACATAAACGCGCTCTGATATTACGATGCCCAAGCACAGCCCAAACGCGAAGAAAGTCGCTAGCGCGGTGAAACGGGTCTTGGCCTCGGTAATTTTAGACTTGCCCGTCGAATCATCGTAGCTGGGCATGCTGGCTTACGAACCCCTACAATACCGATGTCCGAATAGTTCCAAGAGGTACAGGTATTAGACCTGCGGGGCGGATTGCATCAGTTTATGTTATGTTACAAAGGTCAAACTGTAAGGAGTTGACGAAATTCACACAAAAACGCAGCATTTCATGCCGTCAAGAATTGTTGCAGAACAGCCCAATACCGTCTTTCATATACCTGCAACTGTTGCTTCCAGGCAGGTCCAAGCCGTTAGCTGGGCCAAATGGACGCTTAGATATATGATCACTTGTACTGCCAGAATGATGGTCAGCGCGTGCGGGAACAGAATAAGCGGACTAGGTATACGATCTTAAGTCGGAACTCCAAGGTGGCCTGCGTACCCCATGACACCGGTGAAATTTATGAAAATACCATAACCACTTGACAATTCAGACACTTGTTAGTGTCAAAGTACTTAGGGGATCATACATGTTGTACGGACATATAATCTGGTGTGCACAACGAAAAGGAAAGTACAAGGCATGAATCGCGCCTTTCAGGTGCCCTTTTACAGATGAGAATATTTTGCCAATTCGTTAAGAGTTCTGTAAGCAGGTAATGCTATCGACCCCTGGGCCTGTACGAAACCAACTTCAGTCAATAGCATGCTCATTGCTAAACCCAACTATATGCCTGTACAATACTTTCCGGGTTTAGAGTTTTTAAACCGCTGCTACATTGTTGTGCTGATGCACTCGACCCATTCGGGATCCGCTGTAACAAACAGCATAATGCTACAGGACACATCCCGTGACAGGCGAACGAGAACTTCAAAGCTGTTACATCGGCGAGTACGCTCTAGGCGTGATAGCAAGTCTAAAATGTACTCCCGTTTCGCAAGCCCTGCGCCCAGCCAAACATTGCAATCCCTGCGACTCGAAATCCAGGTTCCCGGATTCTTAATGTCCTAGGGCAACATATAGTTTTCGACGCTCTGGGCCCACAAAAACGGCAAGCTGCTTACTCTACGATCTTTGTGAGCGGCAAAGCCCAAGCAAGACAGTAAAACGGACGCCTGGTGCGGCCAACTCCTGTGCAGCAACGCAACAAGACAATCTCCCTTCCACAGAGCACTTTGGCCTTGAAATGCAAGGCCAGACAGGGCTTGCCGGGTATCACACCCAGGTAACCGCATCCCCCAGCCCTTTACCCGCCGCCTTGCAGCTAATTCTAGATCCGCCCCTAGCTAGGTCAAAGGGCGCGATGGCCTCGCAGAGAGGTACCCTACGGCAACTACAGTTGAGTCGAGCCATTGGTTGATGATCTATCCGCACTGCTACTTGCTAGCCAGCGAACAACACAAAATGTACTGTCATACGATGAACGGCGCACTGTTAGTCATTAATTGGGCTTGGGTAATCAAGACATATACCAACACGTTTACCTCCTGAATACTTGAGCATCACACGCACCACGAGGCGCTTCCAAACCAATCCAAATCGTGTTAGAGAGTGGTATTAACCTCCAACGCTCATGCACGTCTCCTCAGTAAATCTTTGAACACCTGTGGGCCGCACCCTCCGAGTCCCTACCTATCACACGAGCGTTTGGCCTATTGGTGATCAAAAACATTACTGACACTAGGCACAAACCGGGGCGTCAAATGCCGCCATCGCCGCGGCCATTATGCAGCCAAAACTTAAAACAGGCTCGCTGCCCATGAAAACCTCGCATCATCGTGCAGTCTTCAGTCATCCTGCGAGTGTAAGTTGCTGTCCAAGTTTCCATTCCTCCCGACTATCATTTTGTCGGGCCTATCATACGAGACTCACTGCAAAGGAACCGGAGATCTACAACCACTGCAGAAGAGAATTGATACCGTCGTCGTGGTATCAATTCGTAAGCATCGCGGCATGTGCTAACGTGGCTCTAAAGGACGCTCGCACGAGCCATATACAACAGCGCGTGGGAAAAATAACATCCTCGCGCAAGAACTGTCAAAAGCAAAAGATGCAAATCGCTAAACAATCAGCCCGATGGAAGAGAAAAGCGGAATATGAAGCAAAATGAGCTGCCCACATGGCACAGCGGTGTTCACTGTCCAAAGCATCGGATCATCTTGTCTCGCTGCAGTGCTTAGCCTGCGTTTCTCGCTGCGCGGTCTGTACATGGTTATGCACCATAACGCGAATACAAACCCTGCGCACGGACCAAACCGCGTGCCTGGCTTCGCTCAGCACCCTTCCAGTATTCAAGCAACTAATAACATCAAGTACAACAGAAAACGCTAGGAATGCCCACACGCTGGTTTCTTTGCATTGTTCAATTCAATTAGGTTAACACCCGAAGCGCCGCAACCACGCACCGCCGCTTCTCATTCCCATCGCTCAGGCCCTCAGCCCCAAGCGCGTAACTCAGAACTGCGTCGCCCCAGCATCCGGCAGCCCGTATGCTCCGACCCCACAATGATAACCCGATGCTGGCGGGTCCCCTGGCGGCGCCACCTGAACGGCGCCAGAAAACCCCACACCAATGCCATAACCTCCGCTGCCACCCCTGCTACCGCCTCGGCCACCAGTCGCATGCCCCGCCCCGCCCATATCCCCTGCAGGGAAGAAGTACTGCATCCCTAAATCTTCGTTCGCCCCAAAGTTCAGGCCACCCCATAGCGATTCCATCAGCATGGCGTCTTCCCCGCTCGCAACGCCGCCCGCCACAACGCCGGCAGCCGGCACCCCAGCAGGCGACATCGCGGCCGGCTCCCACCCCTCCGCTACGTATTCCACCTCCCCCCTGGCGCCCAATCCACCGAAGCCGTAACCTCCAGGATCCCCCACGATCATCCCCGTCATGGTTGGTTCGATGTAGAGGGACTCGCGGGGGCCTTGAGCCGAAGCGCGTGGGTCATTGCTCACGGGTGCTGCCGGAGCGCTGCCAGCCGTGGCCAGTATCGGCGACCGTATATCTTCATGGCCTGGAGCGACCCACGGGTCCGGGCCCGGCATGCCGTATGTCGGCGTACAGCCCTCGCGGTGCAGGGCTGACGGCGAGCAGCTGCCCGACGCCCATGCGGACATTATTGGGCCGGGCAACGGGGGCGGCATACCAGTGAGCGAGCACTGTTGCTGGCCATTGTGTGAATACTGCTGCTGCTGGTGCTGCTGCTGCTGGTGGCGCATGTGCAAAGGTGGCGGCGGCTGTTGAGGCTGGCGAGACGGCAGCAGCAGTGGCTGCTCCTGTGACAGGCTAGGATACGAGTGAAGCTGCTGCGGTTGCTGTTGTTGCTGTTGTTGCTGATGTTGCTGTTGGCGATGCAATGATAGCAATGCGGCTGGCTGCTGCTGCTGCTGCTGGTGGGCATTCGATGGGGCCGCCACGTACCTACGGCGGACAACGGGTCGCCCGTACGGCATGTACTGCCCAGGATAAGCTGGGGCCCGAAGTCCTGGATTAGTGGGATGGCCTGGAGTCGCAGGGTAACTATAGGGGGACGGAAACCAGGGTGGAGCAGCTCGAGGATGTGGCATAGGCGGGTACCCCAGCCACCGGCCACGGACACTCGAGGAATGTGGAGCAAGGACCTGCGGAAGGCCGCCACTGTTGGTTGGGGACAGTGACGAGGCGGCAGAGGGGCCGGCGGCTGCGGAGCCGGCAGGGAAAGGCCCAGGAAAAGGCATTGCCATCGGTGATACCTTGCCCCGCAACGCCGGCATTGGCGGCCAAGGCCCCGGAGCTGCTCCAGTCGGGGCTGATACCTCGCCTGACCACATGGCGCTAGAGTGGGCGGCAGCAGCAGCGTTCCGTGGGCTGGCTGACAACACCGATCCGCCCCTAGCAGCGCAGCCAGCTGCGACCATGTCCTGAGGACCCGGCGCTACCATAGGTGCCGTACAACCGCCAGGGCTGCCGCCGTCGTGTGCGGACCCACCTGCAGCGGGAGACGAGCTCGCCCCCGTCAGTACCACGTGGCCCACCAGCGGCGCGGCCAGCTGCCCCGACCCCGGTGAGCCGGCCTGCATTGCTGTAGGTCCTGCACCGCCGCCGCTGCCCGACGGCGCGCCAGGAAGCGCCGCGGCGGCCCCACGCGCCGCGCCCTTGCTGGGCGCGAAGCCTGTCGTTACCGGCGGCGGGCCCGCAGTCATCATCGGCGGAGGCCCCGGCTGCAGCAATAGCTGCTGCTGCTGTGCCAATGCATCGCCGGCGTTGCAAGGCGCACCCTGAAATCCGCTGCTCGTCTGCATACCTCGAAGGTCTCCACACATTAGGCCGCCATGCAAAGATGCTTGGGGCCCGCCCGAATATAGATTGCTCTCAGCAACCGCGTGCGGAGATGACGCCATGGACAGAGGCGAAGGGCCGACGGGGCTTCCAACGTGACGGTGCGCACCACTGCCGCCTCCGCCGCCGTCCAACGCATCCATGTCACTGAGGGGCCCTGAACCACTGGCATGCTGGGCATTCTGATCGAGCGAGTGGCAGTTGCTGCGCTGCAGCCAAGTGAACCTCGCAAGGCCGCCAGTGGCATCAACTGGAATGGGTGCGCCGCCACCATCGCTGCGGAGCAGCCCGTCGCCGATGCCGCCACCAGCCATTGCTGCCACCGCCATGCCGTCGGAGGTCACGGCAGGGAGGGAGGCCCCTCGGTCATCCAAATGCCGTAAACCGTACGGCGAGAGCGGTGACGGCGATTCGTGGTGGCCGCCCCCGCTACTCCGGGCAGCAATCGAATCCAGTGGTGTGGCTGCTGCTGGATCTGTAATAGTAGGCGCATGTGTGGCAAAGGGTGTCCACGGCTGTGCTTGGCTGCCTGGAGCCAACATTGACAATGTGCGCATCCTTAGGCCGCATTGCCCACCTTCCATGCGAACTGCTGACTTCACAGGCCCGTGCAGCCCGATATACAGCTCCTCATCCTTGATAGATTTGGTCTCTACAGCCTCTGGTACCGACGACGCAGTGCCAGGCCCAGCAGGGGCCGCGCCATTGCTGCCTCTGCCGCTGGCACTGCCGCCCCTCGCCTCCGGATTCATGTTGCCGCCGGCGGGCAGCTCTGCAGCGGCGCGGCCGCAGCGGAACACGTCAGTGGATGCCTTACTAGCGGCATCGCCAGACGGCACGGGCTGGGACGACACGGGACTGACGAGCATCACGGCCCCTGCGTGCCCTGCCGCCGCCGCCGGGTTCACTCCGGGATGTAGCATAGCAGGGCCCCAAGCCTCACCCCCACAGCTGCCGTGCGATCCCATCCCTGCAGCAGCCGCCAGGCTTCGCTGGACCAGCGGGGATGAAAAGGAGACCCGGTCTACGTTGTGCTGCGCAGCGGCCGCACATGGGGCGTGCACGCGGTCAGTTGTCTGCCTGGCGACGGACATGTAGGTGGAATGGGATTCGCGATGCAAGGACGGTCCTGTGGACCTGAGCAGGGCCTCTGAGCCAGGTGTTATCGACCCATGAAGCTGCTGCTGCTGCTGTCGCTGTTGCTGCTGCTGCTGTGGCGATCGGAGCAGTTGGCGCTGCTGCTGCTGCTGCTGCTGTTGTTGCTGCTGTTGTTGTTGCTGTTGTTGCTGCTGCTGCTGCTGTTGTTGCTGCTGTTGTTGCTGCTGTTGTTGCTGTTGTTGTTGCTGTTGTTGCTGTTGTTGTTGCTGTTGTTGTTGCTGTTGTTGGTGCTGTTGTTGGTGCTGTTGTTGGTGCTGCTGTTGTTGTTGTTGTTGCGGCGGCGGCTGCTTCAGCTGTCTCGGCGACAAGCCGCGGTGCAGCCCAGGACCGGAACAACCGCCCAGCTCGTTGCTACCCCGCGGAGAAGCGAAGCCAGCATCCACACGGGCCGCTGCAGCTGCGCCGCACCGTCCTGCCAATGCTTCGTCCAGCTCGGCGCACTGCGCCACTAGCTCCGTGCGAGAGCTGCGCCATTCGCCGCCAGAGTTGGGGCCCCAGAGTAATGCTGTACCACCGCCGCTTTGACGCGGGACAGCCGAGCCCGCTGGCCCGAGGATGATACCGGACCGATGCGCCATGGCCGAAAAAGGCCCCGTGTTGCCCAAATCAGATTGTTGTTGCGGCTTGTGCGGACTTGTTATTAAGTGCTCACGTTCATATGGTTGCCCTTTTTGCTGCTGTTGTTGCTGTTGTTGGTCTTTGTGCTGTTGTTCGTTTTGCTGCTGCTGCTGCTGTTGCTGAAAGAGCGGTGAGGCGCGCGAGCCGCTCGGCGGAGAGGATGCTGGGAGGTTCGAGTCCAATCGCGCACGGCATCCGGTGACCTCACGCTTCAAGTGTGTTACGGTCACTGTCACAGTGAGGTCGCCATGCTCCTCCAAGGTCGCGCCCATGTCTCGCCGTCCAGCAGCCGCCTGCTGCTGCTGTTGCTGAAGGACCAGCGGCGGATGCTGCACCGTGACTTCAGCACCTGCTGATGAGCCGGCCGGCCCTGGCTGTGCCTTTGGCTCTTGGGGAATGTTTTTCTTGCGGCGGTCGCGGTTGTGGCGCCGCTTTTTGGAGCTGCCCTGCCAGTCTTCGTCCGAGGTCGCTTCATCTGTGGGGGTGCCAGTGCCGCCGCTGTTGTCCTCCTCATCATCCGGATCAGAGCGGGGGGATGGTTCGCCCGCGAGGTCTGCCACAGCCTGCGAGGAGAGCAGAGTCGGATGAAGCCGACTTTACGAACGCCAGCCGCTGGAGGAATTTAGGCAATAAAACGAGATTGAAAGTGCATTGACGTCCATTCAGATACGCAAAAGCCCACTGTCAATTACTATGGGTCCAGCTTCTCTGTTGGTTATCTTACCCGCCGTTTGCGAGCCCTGTAGTCTCGAAAATAGTGTTTAACTGAAGCAATGTCGCGAAGGCCTTTAGCATGATTCCGTATCATGGTATACGTTGGCGGCTCGTTCGGAAATGCAAGCCGCGATTCCTCGCGGAACCACCTGCGACATGGGCCGAGACCATCATAAAATCATTAGCATTAAGGATTTGATGCTCCCTTTCCAAAAATTGTGCCGTGGAAGACCACGCAAAGCAGCTCCATAGCCCATACCCTAACGAGGGAACTGCCAACGGTACGAAACTAACAGGACACTATCTGTGACCACTGTGGACTATTTCCCCAAAGTATTGACAGTAAAGATAACGGTTATGCTAGCCCCCACATCTGAGTTAGGACAGCAAAACAGAAATGTGTCGACCACCCTCACCTCTTCAGGTCCTCTGCTTTTGGGCGCTCGCCATGCTTTTCCAAGTGCGCCCTCCACCATGCATTGAAAGGTGCCCAGTACCCTGTGTAGCGCCTGTGAAAAGCAAGCCGTATCGGACCGTAACTCGGCTAACGGACACTTAGTGCTCGACATGTGACTAGAACTTCGAGTCCAAGTAAAAGCTGACAGAATACTGTTTTACCCTACTCCAAACTAGGGACACCGGCAGGCTTACCGCCCTCGCTCGCCCCCACTCATTACTTTCCGCCCTGGGCAAAACCCCAGTGTAATCTTGAGTTGAAACTGAATATTATTGGCAACAAATGGCGCTGCGCCCGATGTGTCCTTCAGCAGGATTCAGCGTGCTGGGCGTGGCGCGGCGAGGCAGCTGCGTCTCACACCCAGTCTGTGGCGGGTTGTCAGCGTCGGTAATCATTACATAGTATTTTAAAGTATATCATTAGGTATGATTGTACAAGGCCGCCACCCCTTTCTGTCTGGCGGGGCACGAGGAGCCGAGGCGTTGACGGTCCAGTCGTTAAGATTTACGACGCGAGTGTTGACGATAGCGTGCAAACGCGGATGAATTGTCCTCCACAAGCATGAAACCGGAGTGTGGTTGCCTCCGAAAGCCGCAGACTGGTGTCGCACATTGGCTTCTCCTCCGCTGCCCTTGCATAGGGCCCGATTGACGAAAGAACCAGTTGCACATCGTGCTGCCGCGAAGTTCTCTCGTTCCCTGGCTCAGAGTGCTACATACCTTTCATTTTTATAAAGCTTGCAGTGGCTTGAAGTAGGTATTCGTTATTTTGGACGCCGTTGGTTTACCTATACTACTGCATTCTCTGTTATTGGCGCGCTGTCGCTGTGGCTCTGCACGACTTCGGCTCTATGCAGCGAAGAAAGCATATGCACTTTTCATGTGCCCATTGCCTGCGGAGGCCGGAGGGGCATGGGCGACCATTTGTTTCGCAATTGGCGAACGCTGTCCGTCGCATGAGATCTGTTGTTGCACGCATACAATAACTAAAGGCTTATCAAAAACAATAAACCATGACAAAATGCCTGCGCCTGCAAGCTAGAAGATTGCATTACTCTAGACGTCCAGTGTTACATCCAGTGTCCGAACGCTTTCTGTGGCCGTCTCTGCAACGGAAAATTTCCCAATTTACTTTCCAACAACTTATCTTTTAATATCTCAGTTGAAATGCCGATTTCTGTTATGCGTAATTGCTGAATAGGACCAAGTAGCGGGGCGCTGAATCCAACTTATTTTCCTTTAACCTAACCTCAAAAAAGGCAGGTTAAAGTACTTGCTGCAGTGAATCTCTCCAAGGAGGGATACTTGGGGGTTTGTGGGCGGCCGCCAAGAGGGTAAGGCAAGTGAAGAGATCCAGTCTCTTAAGTAATTCTTTAGGCATTGAACTTAAATATTATGGAACGTGCGAAGAACTATCAGCCATGTGTATGCCGTGTCCAGGCTACCGTGTTGTGGGCTTGACTTGAAACCCGACGACGAACGCAGGGTGGACCTTGCTAGGAGATAAGATGAGCTTGACTATACAAACATCTCGTTCATCCGCATGTGCGTGCCCTACTGCTGTCGGAAGCGCAGCCTTCTTTGCTCCACGATCATGTCTGCTGGAGCAGGCCAGCACCACCCCGTGGCAGCCATCCAAACCAGCTATGCAGCAGCAATTCCCCACCTGGCTGCAACCGCGAAGGACGCGTCGAACCGGTAGTCATGCAGCTTTCGCACCGAATGGACTCACCGCCTCAAGCCGAAGTTGCCTGGCCTCGGGCTGGCCGCCGCCTCAGGTCTACAGCCTTGTGTCCGCTTCCGCCCCTGCACCCCTTGGGTGCCGCTGGGGTTGTGCCCCTATTTTGTCACGTTGCCGGGCTGTGGGTTCCGCGGCAGCGGACACAGGCATGCCTGGCGCCGGGACCCCATCGCCTAGCCACGACTGGGCCGAGGCGCTAGCGGCCAGCGCGGGCCCCTTCCCTCCGCAGCCTCCCGCTCAGCACCAGCTCAGCGGCACGCAACGGGAACCTGTTCTGCAGCCTGGTAATAACGGCCGGCCGCTTTCTGAGGCGGCATCCATGACAGCTATGCAGGCCAACGGCGGCAGCGGCATTAGCGATGTTACTGCCACCGCCGCGACCACGGGGGAGACCTCAGGTGGGGAAGCGGGGCCAGTGGGACGGCTGGAGGCGGCCACGGCGCCAACGGACGCGGCGGCGCTGGCCTACTCAGATGCGGGTGCCACCGGCGTAGACGGCCTAGATGAGACGCGCAAGTTTGTGTTCGCGGAGGAATGGGGCTTTTCGCGCGTGGGAGGTGACCTGCCGGATGGCACCACGCCCGCCACGTTTGCCGACATGTTTCCCGAGCGTTTCTTCGCCTTCAACCCCCTGCGCGCGGTAACGGCGGTGGCGCTACCACTGGTCGCTATGGCCGTTGGCTACGGCTGGCTGTGGTACATGCACTCAATCTGCCCCGCCTGGCAGCAGCTCGCGTGCGCAGCCCTTATCGGCACCGCTTACACGGGCCTCTTTAAAGTCGCCCACGAGTGTGCGCGCTTCAGCTTTCTGCCTGAAGCTCCTCGCCTCCAAGATGCGCTAGGGCTTGTCCTCATGCTGCCGTCGTTGTACCCCTTCACCTCCTGGCGCCTCCATTACATCCACCATATGGCGCACCTCAACATGCTGTGGGAGGATACCTTTGGCTGGCACCCGTACACGAAGCTGCAGCTGGCCACGGAGCTCCTCTGTGGGCAGCACTGGCTCCTGGCACTGCGGCGCCTGGCGCTGACCACACCGCTAAAGCTGTTTGCGTCCGTGGGCCACTGGCTTCGCTCCTTTGACGGGCTGGACTTGAAGCGCTTCCACAAAGACACCTACTGGGCTGTGCTGGCGGGCTGGTCTGGGCCCATCCTGTTTTTGGGTTTCGGCATCCCGGCTATCATTAAGATGTTTGGCTTGTCAGGTGCGTTGTGCAGGGGGCCCGCATGGGCCTTGGGGGGAAAAGACGAACCACGAGCGAGTGAAGCTGCTGCCAAGGGAAAAAGTGCTGCGGCCGATGTACAGGACGGTAGCAGAACTGACCAGTCGGCGGTTGTGAAGAAGCAGTCCTCGGGATGATGTCGTGATGACGACAGGGGAAAACTACCTACCTAGCCGCCAAAACTAAAACAAGAGCGGAAGAAGAGCAGTAGAGCCAAGCCGTAAAATAGTCAAGGTAGGTGTCAAGGCGGCGAAAAAGGAATAAAAACTGACGTGAGATCAGAAAGGGATGACGTGAGCTGGAATAATGTTTGCCGCCGGCCAGGCGGCGGCATGGAAGAGGCTGGAGCAAAACTGTCTGATGATAAACTGCTGTGACATGCAAGTTCTTCTCCAACCCCCCAACACGCGCCCGACCCGACTGTCCTAGTCCGTCTAGCCGACCGGGCTTGGGGGGGTGAGTTCGCCTGTGTGTGTGGAAATGCGCGTCTCCTGGGATGGGACGAGATTCCTGGGACGAGACGGTTTGTTGGTGCAGCTGACGCTAAGCGGACCGGATGTCATGAACTGCCACCGAAGGGTTCACGGTCAGGGGTTACGCACGGCCGCATTTTGGAGGGAGGTCTTCAGTACGTGGCTGGAGAACACGGCAGTGGGGGGGGCCTATATACGGCCGGGGGATTTCAATGAAGATGGCACGGACTGTAAGGCCGACAAGCGTGTAGGGATCGCCAGCGAGACAAGCGCGGCGCATTGCTATGTCCCGTAGGTATTGCAGTTAAGTTACCTGGGGCACATGGAGAAGCTAAAGCAGCTCGTGAGCAGAATCTTGATTGTGGCTTTTCCCGTCTCGCTCCTTGTCTTCCTCTCTGCGCCCACAGGCTTAGTAAGCGGCTACCTGCTTCCCTGGCTGGTCTTCCACTTCTGGCTGTCCACTCTATCGCTCCTGCAGCACACCGCACCGCATATTCCATTCCGCGCCGAGGACGCGGGCTACGACTCCGGCCGCGCGGCCATCTGCGGCACCGTGACGGTGCGGCTGCCACGGCCTCTGGAGCTGCTGCTTAACGACGCCAACTACTCCCTACCGCAGCTGGTGGCCCCTGGGATGCCAGTGTTTCACGCGCGGGAGGCGTATGAGTACATGCGGGAGCGGTTGCTGCCGTACCTGACGGAGGCGACGCTTAGCGTAAAACTACTGACCAACCATATTACCAAGTGGCAGGTGCGTGGAGGGCGGTTGGGGGAAATAGCATACGGCAAGTGCGGACTGACAAGGGCGGGGCTGTTTTGGGTGGGGTGTGAGTGGAGAGCGCATCCGTGAAGGGTTGTTTTGGTGGCACTCTGCCTACTGGATTGTATGTCGATACTTGGGTTTTACTGGTGTTAAGATGGCCCTGTGTGAGCGACTGCGGTTGCGGAAGGAGTGGTGCAGATTGGACGGCGGCGTTTTCAGGGGAGGTAGGGACGGATGTCGGCAGCAGGATGGCGGGAGTACGCGCGGAGCCCTGGGACCAGCGTGCGGGCGCGTCAGTGACGTGGATGGGAGCCAGCAAGGGTAGCTCGCATGCCGTGGCTTTAGGATTTAAAAGGCTCACACGGGTTCCATCTTCATCAGGATTTGGCACGTCATAAGTTGCCTACAGGTGAACACCAGATGTAGGACCACGCACGCTTGTTTGTATACAAGGGAGGAGTTGTTGGGTAGGGGTTGTGCGCTGCGAAGGTGGTTAAACGTCTCGGGTTGTGTTGAGCGCGCGCATGCAGGGGGCTGTATGACTTTGTGCCAGTGAAATCGTAAGTCCCTTAAGGTAAACAGCACACCGCCAGCGCATGTTTAAGCCCCGGCCCGTCCGCCACCAAAAACGTTGTCGCAGGTTTATGATGCGGAAAAGGAGACGTACCTTCCTCTGGATGAGGTCATGCAGGAGCTCGAACGCGACATTGCCACTCTTATGGAGGAGGCTGAGCAGGCGGAGGAGGAGGAGAAAGTTTCAGGGGGGCCAAGTGGCGGAGCGGTAGAGGGGCAGGTGGGGAATGGCTCAGGCCCGGCCTTTGCGTAAGACCTGCACGTTGTTCTGAAGGCGGAATGCCATGGGCCGCCCCAAGGTTATAAGCCCTACTGGCATGTAATGGGGTTGTCCTTGCAGCTGCTTCGGGGCTTAGTAGATGCATGCAAGCTGGGGGTAAGAGGGGAGCTAGCCGCTGGGTAGCCACCAGATTACGTCGGCGTAGGTTCTCACTTATCGGTGTGGACTGGGGGTTACTGCTAGGAGTGGCACGGGCTGTCGAGGTGATACAGGCTTACTTGAGATTAAGTCCTTTTCCTGAATGGCGCTCTGAGGACTCTCTGGCATCGGAAGGGGCGGTTGGCGGCTTAGCAAAGCTTATGGAATGTATGCAAAGTTACACAGCAAGGTTCAAGCGGATTCGTAGGTGGGATCGACAGACTAGGAAAGATTTGATGGGTCCCAAGGTGGCCCCAGCTATCGTTGTCGGTTGGGCGTCTGTTTGGGGTGGAATTGCAAGCGGAAGGAGCTTCAATGTGGCAAGACCAAAATGCGTGCTTAGGAATCTGATTTTAAGATCAGCGGGCTGCTGCCTCGTGCTTCCGGTTAGTTAACGGAACTCAGGTTGTTGGGTGGCGGTATTACGAGGTGGTCTTGTCTCGTGCAGACATGTGCATATTTGTTACATGTTTGTGTCAGCGCACGTAATGCCCTTGGGTAATTGGATACCCCTGGGCAGCTGGATTCTTGAAGCCTGGACCTGAATGGGCGAGTAGTTTATCTGTGTCTTTCATGACACATTCTGTAACATAAGTAGAAGCAACTCATCTTTTACATCCCTAAAAGTATTAACTAAGCCATTTTGTAACTAACAGCCAAGTTTCCGCAGCCTTGCTAATTTCCGAACATCCGGGGCATCAGTGTTTTCGTTTCATCAAACGAATCTAAAAGTTAAGCTGTGGAATGTTTGCTCTTTTGTAAGGCTGCAAGTGGAGTCGTGCACCGAAAACAGGTGGTAGAATCCCGTGTACGGGAGTGGACGTGGCTGTCCCTCTATCAGCTGATGCGTGAACCACCTGTTTCAAGGGTCGCCTGTCTGAGGTGTAGTGCACGCTAAGACAGAGCGGCCATCTATATATTCTTGAGGTTTGTTTGCAAGTCCTGACGCGAGATGGCACCCGGGGCCCAGGGCAAGCGCCTGGCGCAGCTGTTGGGTGCGCAGCTTAAGCAATACATTTCGGAGGTTCGCAGCATCAGCAGCTCAAATGCTGCTGGTCGGGGAGCGTTGGGCAGCGGCCACACGCCTACGACGCAGGTCGTCACTGGCCAGCAAACACGCTCTCATGCCCAGGTCGCAGTCCAGCAGGCTACACAGCAGCACTTGAAAGTTGTGGTGCCGGCCATCAGGACCGATCTGGTCGGAGCGGTGTCTATGGTGTCTGATGGCGAGAAAGTGGAGCCAGGCGTCTTCAAGAACATTGACGGACACCGCTTCGACGACGGTCGCTACCAGGCTTTTATTGAGGAAATCACAAAATTTATCCCCAAGGAGCGGCAGTACACCGACCCTGTCCGCACGTTCGCGTATGGCATCGACGCGAGTTTCTACCGCCTTAACCCAAAGCTGGTCGTTAAGGTCCACAATGAAGAAGAAGTTCGGAAGATTTTGCCCATCGCGGAGCGGCTCAAGGTGCCGGTCACCTTCCGTGCTGCGGGTACATCCCTCTCGGGCCAGGCTATCACCGACTCGGTGCTGATTAAGCTCAGCCACACCGGCAAGAATTTCCGGAACTACACCGTGCACGTAAGCTAACACGAGCCCCCGAGCTCATCGCTAACCACCTGTCGTCAAACCTTGGAAGGGATACCGGGATGGGAGGCCGTGCGGAAACGAGGAGCTGGTTCATTCGGTGGGAATTGGGTTCGGCTTGCCCCGGGAGCACCATCGGGACCCGAAACCTCGACAGACACTTCCTACATGCACTGTCCACCAATATGGGTTAGCACGACCTCAGAAGCCTACACACTCTGCGGCGACGTGCACAGCGTTAGAGGCACATGACGGGAAAAATTGTTAAAATGCCCAAGTGTGACAAACTGAACAGATGTTGACATCCCTACGCGGATTCTGCTGGACCTCTTGCGGTTGTCCGTGTCCACGGGACCATCAATTTCCGGCCTCTTTCCGCCAATCTTTGCGGTGCTCTAAATTGGGTCATGTCCGAATGAGCGAATTTCTCGTTTCCTGCCCATGAATAATTCCCGTAGGGCGACGGCAGCAGCATCACAGTGGAGCCGGGCCTCATCGGTGGCGAGGTTAACCGCATCCTGGCGGCGTATCAGAAGAAGCACAAGCTGCCCATTCAGTACAAGATAGGCCCAGACCCGTCTTCCATCGACTCTTGCATGATCGGCGGCATCGTGGCCAACAACAGCAGCGGCATGTGCTGCGGTGTCAGCCAAAACACATATCACACGCTCAAGGATATGCGGGTGTTGTTTGTGGACGGCACGGTACTGGATACGGCAGATCCGGACAGCTGCGCGGCCTTCCTCAAGGTGATTATGGGGTATGCTGGAGTGCAGAGGAAGGGGTGGGTGGTTGTCCGGCAAAATGCTGATGCTCGGGCGGGGCCATCCAGTAGACAGCTTCCTTCGGACGGCCAGGCAGTGTTATGTTGCCCATACAGGGGTGCTCAGGGAGAGATGGGGATGTACCAGGGCGTTTCCACCAGGAGGAATGGGGACTCCGTTGGTGATGGCGACCACCGCTGCACCGCCGTGTGGGCATTTCTCTTTAGGGGCGATGGAATGCGATTGCGGGCTAGGGCAGAAGCTTGCAGCCCGGTACAGTGGTACTGAGTGCTTCTTACAGCACTTGGCGTTCTGGCTGCTGCGTGAACGCATACGGGTCCGAGGATAGGCAGTGCAGTGCCAACACAGCATGTGACTTGCTCAATGGCAAGTCGCAAGTGCCGGCGTGGGTGGTACTGTCAGATAGGGTCCCGGAGCGTCCATTTTGGGGCCCTTCTGGTTTACACAAGCAATTCCTGTACAGCTACGATGGCAAGTCTGTATGATGGGCTTGGTAGCTCGGAGATGTGTAATGCTGCTGTTGGGCCCCACGGGAAATGTACGCAGTATGGGCATTAAGAATATCTGTGGGTTGGCTGAAGTAAACGTTGCATTTTGGGTTAGGTTCGAGGGGGGGTGAAGGCATGGTTATCAGGGTTACGGGGATTTCCGTATCCTAGACTCCTAGAGTCCTACCTGCGCAGTGGTGCACGAGCTGGGCCCGCAGTGTTTCACATCATACGTGCGTATCTGTCGTTTTATTCCGCTCGCTATGGCTTCCCTCACTTCCTGCCCTCGATTATGCTTCTTTTGCTACCTTCGTTTTGCTACCTTCCCGTTTCAGAGCCATAAGGCCCTGGTGGACGGCGTCGTGGACCTGGCGCGGCGTGTGCAGGTGCGAGGGGCGGGCAGGGAAGCTGCTGCAAAGATAAAGCGAGCTTTGCACGGGCAGGCCTGGCAAAGGCGTATTATTGAGACACGATCTGGTATTTCTGTGTTTTTCGGGCTGTGCTTTGGCTCTGGCTGCTTGGGCCGCGGATGCCCACCTGAGCGTTAATTGTAGTGGGTGCAGCGGCCGGAGGCACGATGCAGGCCGTCCCCCAGGACGATAAGAAGGTTGTGGAGCCGCTGCGCAGTTAAGCTGGCCCACAGGCGAAGCGGCGTATGGGGATGATCCCATATGGTCCCGAGGGCAGAAGGCCCGACCCTTGCATGTCGGGGCCAGCGCCTCTGGCCGTCCCCGCTGCAGCTGCTGCCGGCTGTGAGGCGAACCCTAAGACTGCTAGGTCTCTCCCTCGCGATGGCGGACTTCTAGGGCTGGGTAGGAGGTCGCCAGTCCCTTGATGGCTAGCCATGCCACCCCAGCGCACCTGTGCTAACGAATAGCTGAATGGGTTCTGGTCTGCATCGCTGCTTCGGACACACCGCAGGCTGACAGGGAGCTGACGGCTCTTATCCGTCGCAAGTTTGCCATCAAATGCACCACCGGTGGGTTGGCATATGCACTCCGCAACGCGTGGGTGGGGTGAATGCTTCAGGTCCGGGACTCGTTGGGGCCTCCAAGCTTCCGCATAGGCGTCACCATATCGACTCGGCGTATGGTCGTAGATTTGGCTGGACTGAGAACAGTAGGGGCCCGCCTGCTTACGGCTGATTCGGCTCAACTATTTTCCTCGCGAGCCCCATGATGAATCTCACCCATCACTCCATTCACCTGCTTCTTTGGGGCTCCGCGACCACCAGGCTATTCGCTGAATGCGCTGGTGGATTTCCCGCTGGACAACCCCATTGAGATTATCAAGCACGTCATCATTGGCAGCGAGGGCACTCTGGGCTTCGTGTCGCGGGCCACCTACAACACTGTGCCCGAGTGGCCCAACAAGGCCTCGGCCTTCATCGTCTTCCCGGACGTGCGGGCGGCATGCATGTAGGCGATGGGGGAAGGAGTAGCTATTGGTATCAACGCCGGCAGCCTTGCCGGCAGCTCCATGAGCGCCATTACTCGGTATTTTGCGAGGAAGCCCAGTATCTAGTTGCTTGCACTTGTCGCTTACCAGCCGTATTTAGCTCCGCCTGACGACGGCACGACTTGCACGAGGCCAGTTACCATGCTTCAGACGCTACCGCCTCCCCCACCTGCCTCTGACCCCAGGGGTGCCTCCGTGCTCCGAAATGAGACCTCTGTGGACGCAGTAGAGCTGTTTGACAGGGCTTCCCTACGCGAGTGCGAGAACAATGAGGACATGATGCGGCTGGTGCCAGACATCAAGGTACGTGCGCATGGATGGTTATTGCGGGATTGGGAACTGGTGGGGCGCAGTCATGGAGACGGCGGGGCGGCGCCAATGCCGGCAAGGGAAATAGCTGAACGGCCGAAGGGTGAAAGCTTCAGGATTTAGACAGGGAAGGAAGGATGTCTATGCGGCAGACACCTCTTCTGCGCACGTGTCCTCCAATCTTCATGTTCTATCCGTCGTCAACTGGCTTTCGAACCTTTCGTTTTGTCGTGGACCACTCAGGGCTGCGACCCCATGGCTGCCGCGCTGCTGATTGAGTGCCGTGGCCAGGACGAGGCGGCGCTGCAGGTTGGTGGGCGGGTGGGGACGGGCTGTGCAATGGGCAAGCCTGGGGGACGACATGAGGGGATTGCAGAGTATGAACCCGGTGCGGACGGCGGAACGGGGCCCAACACGGTGGGAGAGGGTTTGCATTCCCGTGCCGCCTGCGCCCTACCATTGAGCTCAGGCTGCCAAGGTAGTAAGCCTGCTCGCGGCCTTCTGAGATAGAAATCACAGACAGCTTTTTTGCTCTACACTCCAGCCCAGCCAAGGCAGGCGCACGAATTGTTTTTTGTTTGGCACCGCCTGGGTCCGCTTTTTCAGGGTCGTATTGAGGAGGTGGTCCGTGCTCTTACCTCGGCGGGCCTGCCGGTGGGAGCGAAGGCGGCTGAACCCCGCCCCATCACCGCCTATCCCTTCCACCACGATGCCAAGAACTCGAAAGTCTTCTGGGACGTGCGCAGGGTGAGCAAGCAATAGGCTCGGGGCGCGAGTGTCCTTCATTGTCGCGCCTAGCATGCCTGCATTGCTCTGTTCTCTGTCCTGATGCTTTTAGCCCACTCTGGGAACGTTGTGGGCCCCCCGTGTTTTTTGTTGTCTCTTCTCGATGTCTTTCGAACACTTCTGATGGCGTTGTGGGCTCAGCAGGGTGTTGCGCTGCGTTCTGCGCCATACTGCCCAGGGTCTGATTCCGATCGTGGGTGCCGCCCGTGAGCCGGGTACCTCCATGCTTATTGAGGACGTCGCTTGCCCCGTGGACAAGCTGGCGGACATGATGATTGACCTGATTGACATGTTCCAGCGCTATGGCTACAACGACGCTTCGTGCTTCGGCCACGCGCTGGAGGGCAACCTGCACCTGGTCTTCTCTCAGGTCGGTGGGAAGCCCGACTAGGGAACCCCGCGAGGACTTATGGGACAGGGCGCGCGAGAGTTGTTTTTATATGTATCCTCCTATGCTCTAGTCACGATAATCTCTTCGGAATAATAATAATAATAAAGTAATTAGAAGCTCTGTTGGCAACCGGATAAGGAGCTCGATCTGGTATGGAGTGGACCAAGACCGTGAACCTGGCCATGTTTTGGATGTTCCGGTATGGACTTGAATTGGGCCTGGGTTGGGCGCATCCTGGTGTGTTTTGTCCTACTTTTGGCCATGCTTGCGCAGGGCTTCCGTACCAAGGAGGAGGTACAGCGATTTGCGGACATGATGGAGGAGATGTGCTACATCGTGGCCACTAAACACAGCGGCAGCCTGAAGGGCGAGCATGGCACAGGTGGGTGACTTGCTTGCCTTCGGCGAGGCAAACTCTTAGGCCATAGCATGGCACAGCAGCGTGGTCTGCCCGCAATATGAAGTATCATGAGGCACTGTTACGCTGTAACCACGTAACCGCGAGCACAGAGGCAATATCTATTGGAAATAAATAGTTGTATGGGCCAAGACAGCACCATGCAGACGATACGCATTGCACTGCCTCTATGGTAGGAATCCTAGCTAGTTAAATACAGTCGGAGTTACCGAGGCTGTGTGGCCACAGTGGTCGGTCGGAAGAGGGAAAACGAAATGCAGGGCAGGGCCTGTGGCCCAGTTAGACAGTTAGGTTGCGACGGAGTTAGGTCGCGCCTGAAACAGGCTGCAGAAGTAGTAGCAGACGGGGAAGGTTAAGATTTGCAGTGGCGATCACAATTTTCAGGGTTAGAGAGTGGGAAATATTTTTAAAAAATTTTACCATCTTTCTTACCCACTAAGCCTGAATTTAATAAAAATGTTAACGGAATAGATGTTTTAAAGAAGATTAAACAGGAGTCCCTTTCCTTGCGCTGGGATAAAGTTTGAAATAACTTTTAGGATATGGAATAATAAACTCTGTTATTATTTAAAAGAATATTCGAGAATTGTGAGCGTAAAGCACAAGGCAAATGGCATTTATATAGAATGGCAATAATGACAAAACTTTGCAACTTCTATCGACACAGTTTGATCACCGAAATAAGTAGTTGATATCTGGAAGCGATAAAAGGACTTTGGACACACGGGATAGATCTTCGGCCTCTGGCATTGCAAGAGCTTGCAAGGAGTCACAATTTGGGCGTCACAAGGTTTGATCCTTATTGCCGAGGAGGGCAGACACAGGCCCGAATGCACTCTTTTTGCCCCATGATGATCCCTTGCCCCATGGACTAAGAAGGATTTGGCTGTCAAAATAGAGTGTGGCTGGATAATTGGTTGGATGCCTGTGAGGCGCTGCCCCCGTAAGGACGCTGTTTTGCGTTTAAAAACTTTCGGGCCTGTTGTTCCGCCTCACCGCTGTGCCTCAACCCCCATCCCTCAGGCCGCAACGTGGCTCCCTTCGTTGAGATGGAATGGGGCAGCAAGGCGTATGAGCTGATGTGGGAGCTCAAGGAGCTGTTTGACCCCAAGTACACGCTCAACCCCGGCGTCATTCTCAACCGGGACCCCGATGCGCACATCAAATTCCTCAAGCCTTCGCCTGCTGCTTCGCCAATCGTTAATCGCTGCATCGAGTGCGGCTTCTGCGAGTCCAACTGCCCCTCCCGGGACATCACGCTCACGCCCCGCCAGCGCATCGCCGTGTACCGTGAGATGTACCGCCTGAAGCAGCTGGGCCCGGCCGCCAGCGAGGAAGAGAAGCAGCAGTTGGCAGTAAGTTGATTGTTTGGGCGATTATGGAGTGTGCTCGTCCGGTTAGGTTGGTCGGTTTATTCGTCCCGTAGGGCGAATGGTGGCGCTGGTGTTCAGTGCATGAGCTGGTTACTTGTAACTTAAATGTAGTAGGCAAGGAGGTTGAACCGTTGATAGGTTGAATATTTGTAGGCATTGCCGCAGTGCACACCTGCATGGATGGCTGTTTACTTATATGATGAGTCGCGAGAGGGTTGCAGAAAAGTCCTTTTGCCCACATGTGTATTCTGTGTTCGAACACCCTGCTGTGCGTTCCGTTGTGTAGCTTATGGGTGGAGAGGCTCGCTACGATGCATGGTTCAGGGGCATGTTTGCTTGGGTGCCGCCGCTTCCGCAGGCCATTACAAGCTCCTATGCTTACGATGGCGAGCAGACGTGCGCCGCCGACGGCATGTGCCAGGAGAAGTGCCCCGTCAAGATAAACACAGGCGACATGATCAAGGTGGGTTCTGTGAACACACTTCGCTGAAATGATCTTGGCCTTCGAGATGTTGGGCTGCCTGATAGACCCACCTAACAAAAGGAACCGTCAACCGGCGGCTTGACCAAGGTTTCCACGATGTTCATGCTTCTGCCCAAGGTTTTGCGACATGCCAAGTTGCGATTTATACTTAGATTTCCAGTGGAGACATTACTGTCCTTCCAAACCGCTTCCCATCCCCACACCCCGCATCGCAATGCCCCCCCCATCTTTCCTGGCTGTAGGCTCTCCGCGCCGAGCACATGAAGGAGGCCAAGTCCGCCAGTGGTGCTGCCATGTGGATGGCTAACAACTTCGGAGTCCTCAACGCCACAGTGCCGCGCTTCCTGAACCTCGTTAATTTGGCGCACAGGTAGGGGAGCGGCTGGCCGCGGGTGGTCCGGCCAGGGCTTATTTTTTTCTGTGGGGTCCAATATATTACTCCACCAAGGAGTGATTTTCTGATTCAGGCTAGGTAACTTAATTCTTCCACGAATGCCCTAATGTCCCGCTGGCCTCCGGTAGGGGACTTTTAAAGCCAATCCATTCCTTCCCCCACACACATGTCTGAGCCGGCGTTTTGGCAGGATGGAAACTTTCTGACCAGCTTGGAGAAGTACTGGGGCCAGCTAGATGAGGCTTTGTAATGGGCAAAAGAGTGCAACCGTGTCAGGACAATTACGACGCAGAATTGTGGCTGACCTTGCAGCCATGCACGGCGGCCTACTTAGCGGCGGATGAGATCGGATGTTCCGGTCTCGCTCCACGAGACATCATTTCATTTTTGCAGCTGCCCTCTGCCTCCGAGTCGTCCATCTCTGCCCGCCCGTTGCCATCCTAGCCCCTGTGCATTGTCCGATTGGTTCCCTTCCGCTGCCCTCCTTCCTTGTAGTATCCTGGGCCCCAAGCCGCTTGAGGCCATCTCCCGGGCGCTGAACGCTGCCACCAATCACCTGGTGCCCGTCTGGAACCCCTACATGCCCAAGGGCGCCGCGCCGCTGAAGGGTGGGTGTGACTGCGTGAGATTGGAGGGTGGGCAGGGCAATCGAAGTGATCGAAATGATAAGCGCGCCTCGTTTTGCACAAGCACGTCTGAACGTCTTCAACCTGTGATGGCAACTGTCGCGGTGTGTATCCACTTGGCGACCAACATCTGCACTACCAGCCACGTTCCATCTCTTTCTGTGCTTCCATGCATAGGCCATCTTCCTATTCTCCCCGCCCGATGGCACTCTGGCCTAGTGGGTTGCTCTTTCCATTCAGCCGTGCCTATGCTTCAGGAGCTGCTCTTCGCGCCCTGGATGCAAGCCTCCTCGGTCCCACAAAGGCCAGGTTCTCGCTCTGTGTTTTTGGGTCCATGACGACGGCATTTCCCTTACGGCCGAACCCCCTCGCCACAGTGCCCGCTCCGTTCCCTGCACCCGCGGCGTCCTCTGGCGGCATCCCCCGCCGAGTGGTGTACATGCCCTCTTGCGTGACCCGCATGATGGGCCCCGCGGCGAGCGACAAGGAGACGGCCTCTGTGCATGAGAAGATTTTGAGCCTCTTCAACAAGGCCGGCTACGAGGTGTGTTGCCGGGAGATGTAAAGGACCTACGCGCATTCGCGAGGCGGAAGGGTGGGCTACCTGGGCTACCTATGACAGGGAGTGTGTGGGAAGCAGACAGTGTAAGGGCCTTGCTGGGAAGTCCAGAGGAGCGGGCGATGAGCGCTTCCAATAAGAACTCCTCATGAACTAATAAGAACTCTTCATGGACTGATGTCTGCGAGGTAGCCCCACGCTCCGTCTGAATCGTGTTGACCGTCGCCTCATCGGGCATGCTTATCCTTTCGGCGGTTGCAGGTCATTGTTCCAGAGGGTGTCAGCAGCCAATGTTGCGGCATGATGTTCAACAGGTGAGAGCCCGTGAGGCCGGTGGAGATGTAGGTTTTGTAATCGTAAGGTGTAGGGTAGTGATGCATGCCCTTGCCCTCGGACTCTTTACACAGTCGTCTGCTCATAACCTCTTACTACCATATCGAACTACTTATCCTGTCGCAGAGCCAACACCGTGACGCAGTTTTGTTCTCTTCTTGGCCCTTGTTAAAACCTCTCTGTATGGCCTTGTCCACCGCCTCGCAGCCGTGGCTTCAAGGACGCCGCTGCCGCCAAGGGTGCCGATCTGGAAGCGGCGCTGCTCAAGGCATCCGATAACGGCAAGATCCCCATCGTTATGGACACTTCGCCATGCCTGGCGCAGGTTAAGAGCCAAATCTCGGAGCCAGCGCTACGCTTCGCGCTGTACGAACCGGTTGAGTTCATCAGGTAAGCTCCCGCTGCTCTGGTGCTGCTGAAGCTTCGGGGTTACGACAGCGAAGTTGCCTTCACTCTAGGAGAGCCGCACTGGACGTCCCATATCGGCTCGTGCCTTTGACATCACCACACCCTTTCCTTCCAATTTCGAATGCAGCTGCGGATTTTTATTGTTCCGACCAACCCTTACATGCATTTTCATTTGTCTGGTGGTCGGTCGGTATATCCGCAGGCACTTCCTGGTTGACAAACTTGAGTGGCGCAAGGTGCGGGAGCAGGTGGCCATCCATGTGCCCTGCTCATCCAAGAAGATGGGCATCGAGGAGTCCTTCGCCAAGCTGGCAGGATTGTGTGCGCACGAGGTGCGAGGGCTGCTACTAGATGGTTACGGGAAAAAATCTGGCGGGAAAACACTTTTGGGGATCATGCAGCTGTTCTTTTCCCGCCCTTGGGTCTGCAGGCTGCAGTGGATGTCCTGTTCTGAGGGGTTCGGAAGTCCATCTTTATCCCCCGTCCCCTCCTGCCACTGTCCTTTCCTTTTGCCAACCAACTACCGCAGGTTGTCCCGTCGGGCATTCCCTGCTGCGGTATGGCTGGCGACCGTGGAATGCGCTACCCGGAGCTGACTGGCTCCTCACTGCAGCACCTAAACCTGCCCAAGAGCTGCAGCGATGGCTACTCCACCAGTCGCACCTGCGAGATGTCGTTGTCCAACCACTCGGGCATCAACTTCAGGTGGGGCTTGGGGCGGTAGAGGTAGGGCGTCCCGTTGCACTTTAAGGTGTGCACAACGCCGAAAGGTGTTGTGGGTTCCGGGGGTATTACGGGAATGGATGGGCGCGACCGTGTTGGTTATCGGCGAGAGCGTATGGTTACTGGCGTTTGTGATGACACCCATGTGCTGCTTGGATAGCAACCGGCAGGTGGGGAAAGAAACACTGTTTCGCCAATCCGCCACTCATCGAGTCCGTGCCCCGACCCATTTGATGCGTGTGTTGTTGTTTCGTTGGACATACTTGATCCGCTGCACTGCATGGCTAGGAGGCAAAAATCACTAGACGATGGAAGCGACGAACCGTTTTGTCGCACGCAGGGGCCTGGTCTACTTGGTGGACGAGGCGACTAGCCCCAAGAAGGCGGCAACCGCATGAGGCCGCCAGATGGCTGGAGCCTGAGTTCTCGAGCTTATTTCATTTTGTTAACTGTTTTCTCGGTGTGAATCGCCAGGTTGCTTAGTTGCGGAGAAAAGCACTAGGTATTTGCCTGGGGCCATGCTTGGCGCTTGGGTTCAGAGCTTCTGGATTTTGGATGGTAAAGCCCTTGATGGGGCCTAGTACAGCCAATAGGACTGATACGGACGACGGTTGCATGTGCCTGGTAGGGCGGGAGATAGCGCATGCGGCGTCAGTGACGGAGTCCGTTGCGGACGTGAGCGATAAGCAGGCTGGCGGAGTCGTAGCCGAAGGACCGAAAATCCTCAGCGGCACAGTGGGCGTCACGGTTTGCAGGCGCGTAAACCGTAAGATCATTCCTGCTGTCCCGGGCTGTTTCAAGGCGAGGTCACGAGGGTCTCTAGTTGTTTCCTAAGGACACATCCGGGGTCCAGCAGACTGTGTCCGTTGAGCACGTGTTCTTTGGTTTTGGCTCACTTAACGTTGAGCTTCCTGCTTAGGCCAAAAGGAAGTTGAAGCGGAGAGATGTACGCGCAGCGCCTTCCAGTGCCGCAAATGGACGGCCTTGCCTTATCCGCAAGTGCCGCTACTTTGACCAGGACTATACGAGTGAGCACGAGTGTTAATGCTTTGGGACGTTTCTGAAGGGTTGCAGGAGAGCTCCGGACCGGCAGAGAAACCAAGGCGGTTGCGATTTTGGCTGTTTTTGTTTTTCATTTTACAGTGGCTGCTTGTCTACATATGTGTTTTAGTGAGAGAGAGTGGTGTTCTGTTTGGATGGATGCATCCCCGAGGATGGATGGCCTAGCCAACTGAGGAGGCGTTCGCCTGGTCTCGCCTGTTCGTGGGGAGGTCCAATTACTCCCCAATGAAAGTTGCTCTGGGACCGACCACAAAACTGAGCCTAAACTGTTCCTAAAATGCTGCTTTAAAAAATTTGGCCCCCTAAGGACACCGCACTGTGCGCATCAAGTTCAAGCCCCAATTATCTAAACCTAGATGCCGTGCGATAGCCGCTGCGCCATCTTCCCCAAAAGATTATATATTGGGTAATTTATTTACATGTTAGCACTAGTAACAGGTAATGAAACAGCAGCACATCAGTACACAGCTCTGTCAGTTATCGTGTGGAGAGCCAGCGTGGCATTTAAACTTGACTTCTTGCAGGCGCTCCAACACATGCGGAAATTTTATGCGCTTATCAAGTCACTTGTAAATTTAATATGCAAACCATTTGATCGCAACATTGATGACGAACAGGGGGGCGGAGCGGGGGAGTGGAGCAGGGGGACGGTGGCCAGGGCACCAAAACCTACTTTGGAGACTCTGCGCCGAGAACTTTATCTGCAGTGAAGTTAGAGCACGAGTTCGGGTCAATATCCTGTGATGCTGCGCAGTCACCCAGACCTGCCAGCACGCGCGCGTTGCTGATGAGGAACCGACGCTGGGGTAGCTGGGAGTAACCCTTTGCGTACACTGGACCTGTGGAAGTCGTACATCGCACAAGTCGAGAGAAGACTCTAGCGCGCGCGGGGGCACTAAATCCTACCACGACCATACATAGCAGGAATACAGAACGAAGTCAGGGGCCTGAATAATACGGAAGTCTGGCTGAAATTCAACAAGGTTCAGCTTAAAGTTCGCGTCAAAATTCTCTGAAGGTTTAGGTTGTGGCCCTGGTCCAGCTTCCTCTACACCAGCAGTGAGGAGCAAACCCCAGCCCTGCTGGTCATGACGGACACACATCGCCAGTCACTGTTGCACCCGATGGGCTCCCAAATTCCGAATGTCCAGCTAGTGGTGGCTGCCCCTCCTCGTCTGCAACCCCCTGCTCCTGCTGTGGCGGCGGCGGTTGCTATTGCTGCTGGGCCGGCAGTGGGGCGGGTGGTTGCTGTTTTCTGCTAGGCCGGCAGCAGCGGTGGTTTGCGTGAAGCTCGGAAGTCGTTTTGGCCCAGATTAGGAGGGGAGTGATGGCATGAAATGCTTTGCAAGATGTCCCTTTGTATGATATTATATGATGCGTTGGGGGATGCGTTGTTGGCCCCTTTTTATTCCGTCATGTTTGACGGTCGCAGTCCATGGTATTGAAAACTGATCCTAAGCCCGCGGACACAGATTGTAACCATACCACTACAGATGCATCTATCCCACGAATAGTTGCCGTTATGTCTCGGATGTTACATGAGATGCGCCCAACCGGCACGGAGCATCAGGCGCTGCCCAGTCCGATGTGGGTGGGTGGGTAGTCCGATGTGGGTGTCCGTTAGTTCACGTCTCGGCCCTTCATAATCACCATGGTAGTGTTCACCATGCCCGAAAGAATAGCTTGGGGATACCTGGACGAAGTAGCAAAGTGAATCTTTCCGCAAATTTTTGAGTCCACACTGTCGTACTGGGCACGCCGAAGGTGGATCAAACGAGAGGCAAGGGGGTAGGAATGGGCCAACTGCACGTCCATGCGCAACTAATGCGAGCATATTTTGTGGAAAAACACTCCGCATTTTTGATGCATTCTTCAGCTCCAGATGGAAGGCCCCGTACTGTAATACCGTATCAGATCGTACTGCTCTCGGAAAGGGAGCGGAACGCAGCATTCATTGGCATCGCTATAGCTGAATGATAAGTTTGTATATGTTTCAGTGCTTTACTGGCCGCCATAGTTTCGCACACTGCAAGCTGACAGTTAGAATTGACGCCTTGGTCCGAGCGTCCTTGCAAACTAATCTTAGATAAGGTCCTGAAACATACGATGCACACCAGATAATGCACATCTCAGATATAACTTACGGCGCAAGGTCATTACATTTAGCTTAAATTACTATGGCGGCAACGACCCTAGTTGCGGTTGGTGGCAAAGGCACTAATCCGAAAACTACTTTGTATGTTGGAGGCCTGGAGGAAACTGTGAACGAGGCAACTCTTCATGCAGCTTTTTTGCCCTTCGGGGAGATTAAGGAAGTGAACATACCTCTTGATCATGCAACGGGGACACATAGAGGCTTTGGATTCGTGGAGTACGAGGAAAAGGAAGACGCAGCTGCTGCGATTGACAACATGCACAACGCGGAACTCTTTGGGAGAGTGCTAAAAGTCAATTACGCACAACCAATGAAGATCAAAGGTGGTGACAAGGGGTGGAGCCACTTACCTGTTTGGGCAGACACGGACCGCTATATTGAAGAGCTGGACGCGGAGGTAAGTGTGTATATGTGTATGGTACGGCACAGGCATGCACGACTTGATTCGACGCAGAGGTTGCCTGGGACTGCAGACACTCCTAGACCCCTCCAAAAGCAAAGACTGTATGGCTGCTCGGACCTGAATGTTCTAACAATTGCTAGGGTCTCCTTGCTTTTTCCAGCGCCTATACAAGGCATGTAACGTTACGAACGTCATTTTTCCAACCTGCAGAACGAGTTGGACGAACTCGAAAAGGAGCAACGGAAACAGCAGGCGAAGGAGGCCGCAGCAGCAGCCGGAGGTGACGTGGCGGAGCAGCCGGCAGCGCCGGCAGTCTGATAACCTCCTGTGCCGGGGCCGCCAGGTGCAGCAAATCCGCACAACAGTGTCGAGGCTGTGTAAATCCTCGCTCAGGCGTGGAAGCATATAAGTGACTCACTAGCTATGGAGTTTCGCAATGTGAATGTACAGATGCGTGTTACTGTGCCAGTTCGTGGTTCAGAGGGAAGATGCGTGTCACTGTGGTGATAATGACGGTCGTCGTGACCGCCAGCATAAGGCCATTGAATTGCAGCGCGCCGGTCCTCACTTTGCGCACACTGTTCCCTTGCCGCATCGGCGTGCGAGAATGCAGGATTACTGTCGGTGGTGGCTCTTGCAATGCTCGGAAGCTCTGAAATGACTTGCCGAAAGAAAGCGCTTGAAAGAGGAACACAGCGCCAGCTTCCAGGCGAGGGAGGGAGATCGCGTCCAGCAGGTAGTGGTTTTCCAGGACGGGTCAGCCGTATGGGGAGCCAGCTGTTGGGTCAGTTGTATCTGTCCATTTGCACCTTCCTTGTTGGCCCTGATCCCCGTGGGCGGGAACAGGGACAACTAAAGAAGCGAAGTCAGGACCACGTCGAACCATAGGTTGGCATGTTGTACGAACAGCCGTTTCTTCCTGTTTAGCTGAGGCAAGACTGGAACGCTGCTCACGTGAAGTTTGGTGTAGCACCACGTGCGGGCGACGAGCGTCGATAGAGCTAAGTCGGGTAACCCGTCGTGAAGGCAAGGGTAGTAATTTTCGGGGAGGTTCACCGTTTGGATGTTATAGCGGAAGTACGGCGGCCGGCAGTGTGTGCATGACGGCGAATTTCATGGCTGCGCGTTGTCTTCGTAGGGGACATCAAAGGAAACGTCAAATGAACACAAGAGACTAACCATCACCAGCTCGCTCAATTCCCCTTGCAAAGCTTTTGTCCAACCTACTTATGAAACGTCCTTTAAGGCTGACTGCACTGCCCTCTCCTACCCTCCTTCCTCTCTAACCTTGGAACGACGCTTTGTGGAGGCGGCGCCGGTCGTAATGTAGAGGGCAATGCTATCATTCACCCATGGTACTGCAGCTCTTCTTCCCTCACTATGGCACAGCCACCCAGGTCATGCCTTTTCCGTTACGCAGAAGTAGCTCGTGCAACTCTCAACCACCATGCATGCCAATGAAAAAATGAAACACCAGACCACCATTTGATACAGCGCCTACATGCATCTTTATAGATCCTCGCTTTAAATCTTTCCAGCATGATACAATATGTTTCAAGCATGGTCCTCACAGCTTTCCCACTGTCACTCGCCTTCCAGTACCTATACACCACCTGCAGTTTTCCCTCAGCCTATTACCTTCGCCAGTCGATGCACAGATCTGTCCTCTCATTTAATTTCATTCCCGGCCGTGCTACCTGCCCATACCACCATTGCCGTTACTGTTAGCAAGCAGAGCCCGCAAGCGCGGCCACGTGGCCAGGCCGGGACCGAAGCCGTCGAACTTGGCTCTCGCCGCTGGGAAGCTCCCCTGAGCATGTGTTCATTGCACACACAGGAATGGCAAGGAGGCAGTTCAATAGGATGTGAACGGATAGGCCGATGCACTTGAGGGTGGGGTACAGCGAGGTTAGTTAGCAGGGATTACAGCCCTACCCCAGGGCTTAAAACCTACACAGCACCCTTCGCCATGCAAACCGACGCAACGTCTACGTAAGACGAAAGCAACGCTCCCCGCGCACAACGCAGCCCCGCACGTCTTACCTGCGTTGCGAACCGTCGCGGCACGGCCACGGGGAACAAGCCCGAACCAGCAGCAGCCTGCGAACGGAGGGCATTGGAAATTGGAGAGTCCGGATGGGTAGGCGGCTCACATTCATGTTTGGAGCGGGCGCGTGCGTGCGAGTTCTCGCGGAATCATGCTGCTCTCCATATGTGTACGACCAGGCTTCATCTCCCATCCAGGACACATGCAGATGACAATGCGCATATGCGCAACGCGCAGCTATGTCAGGTACGCCAAAAGCCTCCAAGCACACAATATGCATCATGCACTAGCCCGCCCGCGCTCGACACCTGGATGCGCCCTAGCCCCCCCACCGCACCTGCAGCATGGCGTTGCTGGCTGCCACCGCCAACGTGCTGCTTGCCGGTGTGCCCGTGGTGGCCACCAGTGCTGCTAGGAACTCGGAACTGACCCGCTGCTGGGAACCCCCTGCGGGCCCACCCAGATGGCCCGCCAGGCCGCCAGCCAGAGTCAGCAACAAGCGCGGTTCCAGTCTCAGAACACAGCACCACGATGGGACGACATAGGTGGACAAGGGATGGGGGCAGCAGCAACTGCAGCAACAGCACATGGACACGCGCTCGGGCCAACAGGTCCGCTATGGTACTGCGGTACAGTGAAATGCGGGATGAGGTTGTAATGTGCGATTGTTGCTGTCCCGACAGGCATCCTTACCGGCAGCCATGAGGGAGGGGTCCAGCCCCACACCCATGGGCTGGCCTTCACCGTCTTCCTTCCGCCTTTCGGACTGTGCGGGGGGGCCGGGGCAGGACAGGACAGCGCAGGAAAGCGTGATAGCGCGACGCTGCTGCTGAGCGGTGCGGGCTGAATAGTGGTGAGTCTTCGAGCAGCGGAAGGTGAAGGCCTGCGATGAAGGAAACAGTGACGAGGCTGGCAGCCCCCTGGCAGCTGTCTGAGACACACCCACCAGCGCCGTGTACATACGTGGATCCGCACAGATCTCCGTGCACCTTGCGGATCGTAGAGCAACTCGGCGAAGCCCATACCTCTAGTGGAGTCATCCAAAGAGTGACCACGTCATGGGATCCGCGCGCAGCCAACATAATCGCGTATGCCAGCAGGAGCCCACATCCCACATGTGGCACCTCTGATCAGCGACTGCATATTTTTATTTCTACCCGCGCACCTGCCAAGTGCACACCAGCTGCATGGCTGCCCGCTGTTTAAGGTCTCCGGCGGCCGCGGAGAGCATCTGGGACAGCATCTGCGTGGGCGCCTCGTCGCCTGCGCGAGGGCAGCACAGGTGCACATGCAAGCAAGGACATTATGGTGCATGCAAAAGTTTTTGATTCTGCTACGAATTAAGAACCTGCACTACCAATTGCCCTTCAGTGCATAGTAATGGCGTGGACATGGAGATGATCCACGTGCATGTGTATGTATGTGTGTTTGTAGATATGGTCAGGGTGAAGGAAGAGAGTGTGGTGGGCGGTCCACAGTACGGACCGGCCTCCTGCCTCACCTGCCCAGACATGCTCAGTCAGCTGCAGGCAGCGAGGGGCCGTCACTCAGCAGTGTTTTTTTTTTCGTTTTGGGCCTAATACCCTAGAGTAATAAACTGGGTGTTTCTTGCGGTTACAATTCCTTTTTGTATAGTCGCTGGGGGGGGCTGCGGCCCCCCCAGACCCCCCCCTGACCCCCCCCTGACCCCCCCCTCAAAGGCTGTACGGTGTGCTGTAAACAACACCTGACGTCTGGAAACAAACATGCCGTACCACCATCGTTCTGTGCACCTAACTGCATTTGCGCCAGTGTCTCTGTGAGCAGTGTCTGCGGAGTTTCTGAGCCGTTTGCTTTGGTCAAGAATGAACGAATGTCCCGTTGACCTAAGTTGAATGCAACAGCGGGCCGTCTCATGGTGATATCATCAAATATTTTATATATAAATAGTGTATAAGCTCCAAATGTTCAGCTTTATATGTGCAGAAGGCATTTGCGGCGACTTATGGCCGAAGTAATGAACCAGTACGGCCAACTGACCAATTATTCCATTTCTTCCAGGCTCAGACCCCCATTTATTCCCAAAAAAGTAATATATTACCAAAAAAAAACACATGTGACACTCAGGTCTTCAGACAGGCAGGCAAGCAGGGCAGCCATGCGACTACCGATCACCTACCAAGGCCCAACCCCATCGCTAGGACAGCGCCATGGCAGTCAGGTGTAGCTTTAACCTGATGGAATGTCACCATGTCGGCCTCGGCCCATCGGTGCCCATTGCCCTCCTGCCGCACCCCGTCCCAGCACAGCGGTGCACCCCTCCCCGTTCCTCGTTGGCCTAACTTGTTGCGCTCGCTCGGGGTGATGCACCCTTCCCCCCTGGCACACCCTTCCCGTGCTCCGCCCGAAACCCACACAAGACCTTAACCACCTTCCGTCTCTGGCGGCGTCAGTGTGAAGGTGAAGAGCCGCACCGCCGCCGCCAGGTCGGGTCCCAGCAGTCGCCGGCACGAGGCCGCCAGGTCCTCAGGTAGCGTGCACTGAGTGCCGCACAGCAACGATACCGCGGCGCCGCTCGTCACCGCGTCGGAAATCACCTGGGGAGGTGGGCGGGTAGGAGGGAGGGCAGAGGGAATCGTGCGGGAGAGTACTCTCCTGGCAACCGGCTGCTAAAGAGGGTAAGGGGGCACTCTGCAGTCGCAGATGATCCGGTGAAGGGGAGTAATAGAAGCTCTACGCCCACCCTCCTCGGCGTCGTCCGCTTCATCTCCACGGAGCCGCCTATGGTGGCAAGTGAGAAGCCATGCAGGTATGGCGTGGCCGCCCCGATTCGCACCCACCTCCCGCGCGCCCTGCCGGACCTACCTGCTTCACGTCTGGCCTCAGAGGCACCCGATCGGCAGCGAGCAGCTTAGCTAGCTGCCCCTCCTTGAGAGAGTGCACCTTGCGAACGAAGGCGGGTCGCTCCGAGGTGGCTAACATGACTGGCCAGCCCACTGAGATGGGGAGGGAGGGAGGGAGGGAGGGTGACCTGGCGTATGGGAAGGAGCAAAGCGGGCCCCGGAGCCCCGGGCCGCCCCCGTCACTCAGTTAGCCCCCGTCCACTCGCTCTTCAGAGAGCGGTTGGGGCCTTCCCAGCCTCTGGCGAGTCTCGGAGTCTCCGGACCCCCCGGAGCCCGCAGTCCCTCCCCTAACCTTCTTGCGGCCCCAAACGGGCGCTGAATCTTTCCTGAGTCGCGGTGGTTCAGGTGGCTCACCGGTTGTGTAGTATGCCGTGATAAGGCCCTCCCCCGTGCCGTCACTGCAGCCCAGCAGGTCGTTGTACACGGCGGGGGCCCACTGCACGCAGTCCATGCCGATGGAATGGAAGGCGTTGTTGAAGGCCTGGGGGGGAGGGTTGGGAGGGCGGGCAGGTGGAGGAAGGAAAACTGAGGATTATGCAGAGAGGAGGGCAAGATAGCGGGCGGCGGAGCGATGGGGGCAGCAGCAGCCACAGCAGGGGCTGAGGCAAAGGCAGCGGAAGCGGTGGTGTGGGCGTGACTTGGTGAATGAGAGTAGGTACGAGGAAGCCGGTGAGGGGCACATAATACCCGGGTAGGTGCCCGAGCAGATCGAGCGGCCCCAGCGGGACGATTGAAACCGATGCTTGCAGTCCCCACCCATTTCGCAGGCGATTTACTCGCCGGAAAGCCGGTTGCAGGTATTGGACAAGTTCGAGGAGGTGTCTTGGCGCTGCTCGGGTCTGCGTGACCCGCTCCGCTTGCCCCTAGGGTCTGCAAAGTGTCAGCATGTATGCCCGTACACCAGAAATGCTGTAGCGAGTATCTTAGGACTAACCCACCACGCGATGCCCATCGATATGGATGTCCATAACGGTTCCGTCAACTTCCATGAGGAGCCCTGTTGCGCACGGCTTGAATGTTGCTGAACCCGACAATGTCCGCAGAGTCGGAACGCACCATCGACGACTGCTCCAACGTAAATCATTTCTTGCATGGAACTGCAACAAGCAAAAACCGAAAGCGACTTTTCGTGCAGGTGTCAAAACTAACATTCCGGTAGATGTTGCAAGGCTTCGCACAGCTACCAACGCACACCTGTCGTCTCGCAGCTATACATGAGCGGTAACTTTCTGCGCCATTGCTGCGGAACACAGCCGGGTGCGAATTCATGGGCATTCCGGGAGCTTCACTTTAATACTAGGTTCAAAGCTGACGGATACCGCTGTGTATTGAGTTAAATCAGCTTGGGCCACGCATCCAGACAAGCTCCATTAGCAACGGAGAGTAGTGCAGCCGTTCATTGAATGGATACCTTGAGCTCACAAGGCCCAGACAGTGCCCACCAGTCCCGCCTGAATAACGGGACCCTTGTACCTGACACTTCACGTTTTTTGCAAGATTAGGTTACTATATGACAAGGTAAGCCAAAGACGGAACGCTTTCGTACTAACCTGCAGGCCAGCTCTTAAGCCTTTAGGTGACCTCTTGCCAGCTCTTGTCGGCAGGTTTCATAGCGGATTATTATACGGAACCTCACAATGATGCCACCTTACCATTGTGCTTGTAATCAGCACTAATAGGCGTGGAGGTCGACCTCGGTGGCGCTCGATGGCATCGCTTTCTCACGAACGGCAACAATTACAAAAGGTCGCCAAACACCATAAAGCAATGTTCACCTAATACGTCTTAACAAATGCCAGTCCTTAATCATCAAGGCGTATATGGCTTAGGCTCGTCCTTGAGTCGTGGGTTTGGAGGCGGACCGAATCGCCCATCCGGTGGAAAGAGCCGGACTACACCAGCCTCTAAGTCGTTCAAGTTTGGCTTTCACCCAACGTCTTGTGTCCTGAAGATCATCAGCATACATACCATCACAACAGCACAGGACTCCTGCAGCAGCTACTCCATCTTTTACATTCAAGCAGGGATAATATAATCAAGTCTTACCATTTGTAACATACTTCGATTAGTGGCTTGTGCGGACCTCGTGTTTGGCTAGAGGTTTCCATTGTCTGGATTTGATGGGAAGAGCGTGGGAAAGCCGGTGCCACCTTTCCGGCTATCTAGATCCCGGTATTTAATTGGTATACTTGATTTTTGTTCCATTTGGGCAGTGAAGTCAAAATGTAGAAAGCTGAGCTTTGCGCGTTCGTAGTGAACTGCAACGCCAACCGCCGAGTTGGAGGTTCAACCGCCCTGCAAGGGGATCTTGCTGAAAGGGAATGAACCTCGCTTTCTCGCTGGGAAAGCTCACGTCTCTAAAAAACATACCCTTTCTTCCATTTGTCCTTTCCTCTGAAGCGGGTTCTTTGCATATACCAGATTTATTCGCTGAACATGTTACTCGCGGGAAGCCACCGCCTCAGTTGCACACAGCACAAATGTTATACTTTAATGTCTCGGCACGCTGTGCGTGTACGTGCGACTACGAATACCAGCCATCAAGTCCTCGAGTCTACCCTAACCTCCGATTGCTACACGCGCGATCCTCAACTCCAGGTAGCGCTACCATGAGAGAATATGATATTCAGGATGAGTATCTCAATGGCTTCTAGGCTGTTTTAGTGCTGCCTTCGCAAGTCAGTACGCCGCTGTGCCAACGCGGGTCGTTCGGCGTTCGCAGACAGCACTGGATGACCTCTTTGCGGATACGATTGATAAAGGGCACAGGTAAGTCTCCCTGAGAGTGCTTGCGCGCATTACCCTGACCTGAAGCACAAGGGTTTGTGTCCGCTCCACCTCGCCGCAGCACCCTCCTTTCCTCTCAACTTTTCATCTGGAGCTGCACGATGCGGCCACGCAGATCCCCGCACATTGAATCATCATAATGCTAGGAACTTACTAACTTGTGTTCATAGGTTATTTATCGCCCCTCCTACCTTTTACATCGCTTGTCTTGCCCAAAGCTACAAGCAATTAAGTTTTTGTGCCCACGACGTAAGCACAAAAAACACGTTTGGTTCTTACAGGGGAGAAAGTTCGGCTAAATTTTTGGAAAGCTACCGTATTACTTTTTAGTAGGTCATAGACTCTAATGATATAGTAAGGAAAAAGTAGAAGCACGCCTTGATATTCAAACAATTCCTATCATTTGTGTAGGCGAGTCAGAAGTCCTTCGTAATAGCTCTTAAGACCAGCAAAGCGCCGGGTCCTATTACTGTGGTTACCATTCCCTGGTATATGAGCGTCGATCATTTCCAACAATAGCAGTAATTATAGAGACTCAGCTATAAGAATTCCTACCTACCACAAATAATTAGATGATCATCCCTATGAGCCTGTTTGGGCAATCGAAATCAAACCTTGTTTTCATCCTCTCTGGTAAATTACTACTAATCTCTAAATCTAGTAATTGCATCTGATCCTCTTAAAGGATAGACACCAGAAACCTCGAACTGCCGAACGCGGATTCATTGCTGCACATTCCGCCATCCATGGAGCTTGCGACTCCCTCTGGTTCCGCAGGCGTGTGCAGAAAGCGGACATTGCCCACCACACAGAACGCATCGAGCAGCTGGGCAAGCGACTGGGTCTGAACCGGATCAAGCCGGAGTGGAACGATGGTGGGTGCATCCAGGTGTTGATGGTCTCATGCCCCCCCACTGGCTGATGCTGCCTGCTCCGACCGAACCTGGATTGCTCGAGGCCGGCCACCAGCCAGCCACGGCCCACCAGATACGTGGCCTTGGGATCAAGAAACGACGCGACCACCAGGAAGGGACATTCTTCCTTCTTCATAAGTCAGGGAATCCTAAAGGATATCAGGCCCAGGCGGCGGTCTTCAGCGGGAACGGACATTGAAGCACGGTTTCCCTAACTCCCTCCCCCCTGTCCTGCCCTGCCTTGCGACGCGTGGGTCCCTGGTTCCAAATCCGGAGGCCGTGGGCCCTCCCTGGACTCCTCCCTCGTCCCTCCCGCTCAGGCGCCTTTCGCGGCCTGCTGACCAGCATCACCACCGGCATCAATGAGGAGGACCAGTGCACCCTGGCCCGGCTCACATTCGGCCAGGTGGGTCCCCCGGACCTCATGGTGGAGTTGGATCAGGCGGAGGCTGCAGGACTGCACGGGGAGCCTGATCAGGTGGGTGTGTGGGTGCGTCGGACCATGGCAGCACGTCTGCCATCGAACAGGAGAAAACATAAGTGATTCACGACTGCAGTACAGTACCGTACAGAGGGACTGACCGCACGAACACAGCTTCCCTACGGAAAAGAAACGACTTTCTAGTGGGTACGTCATACGTTTCTGGATGAATCAAGCACTTGACGCGACACAAGACACAAGACCCGCCCATTCATCGCCCGCCGCACATCACTAAAATTTCCTGGCTGGCTTGCTGTGTACATACATACAGCTCAAGGGGCCCCTAGCCAACATCCCGGACAATCCCGCCCGAGGATACGCGTTGGTGACCTACTTCAAGATCCTTAGCAACGGAGTTTTCGGACGGATGACTGCCAGGGCGCGGTACGATTTGGACGAGGAAGACACCACCAAGTAAGAAAACACGCGCTATCGATGATCGAGTTGACGGTGTTTTATGATGGTGTGCTTATCAGGACTGGCAGTTTTTAAGCATCCGCGCCAACGTCTCTCCACGTGACGCAATGGGCTCCTAGATGGAAAGCACCTTGCGTTCCAAAGTCCGCCGTCTTCAACGTGTGAGTGGGTACCTGTGCTCGGCAGTCATTGCCTAGCCTAGCTAATCAACCAATTAAACAAACTCGTAACAAACCAACGAACAAAACCGCGCCACTTGATTGGGGCAGGCTGCATGTGACCTTCACCGGCTTGCTGCTGGAACCGGCAACTTCGGACGCGCAATCTCTGGCGCTCTGGAGGGACGCACTAGGGGAGTGTAACCCAAGCATGGTGGGTCGAGGTTGGGTGGGGATGGGCGGCTGGGATGCCACAGGTGCCGCAACGATTTCAAGCAGGCGCCGACCCTAAAGCCGCGATTTGTGTCTGTTCGCACCGCGACGAAGTCCAAAACGCCATTTGCCATTTCGCATTTTGCTCCCAGCCTGCCCCAGCCATTTCACGAGCAGACCTTAGAACCGGACAAGGAATCCACAATAGTCTCCGCGAGCATCCCAGTTCGCCGGGCATTGGGCTGGCCTCGCCTCCCTTGTTTGCGCTTTACGTTCCAACTTCCTCCGCTTCTTTTTGCATGCCTTCAGTTTACCTACAACCTGCGCAGAAGTTACTCATTTCACCGCACCCCACAACAGGGCCCCGACGGATCCATCGTGGTGGATCTCAAGGTCCAGCCCCGGGCCTGGACCCGCTACCTGGTCATGGAGCCCGATCTGAACCTAGGACTCTCCATGCGGGGCTCCCTCATGGTGATGCAGCGAGTATCGTCGGTCCATACATGAGTAATATGAGGTCGAGCAGCCGGTGCCACTTCCTTCTGAGAGGTCGAAAGGCGAAATGAAGAGCCAAGGGAGATCAAGGGAGGGAAAAACACCACTATAACCGGGATTCACCACATGACTTCATCTGCGTGTACCACAGGTGAAGACTAGAAACGCAGGGATGCCCGGACATAAGCGCGTACCACCACTGGCTGCCTCGAAGGGTGGATGGTTGCAGGGAGATGGGTTGGTAGGCGTCCTGCCCGGCTAAATGGCGCCATGACCGTGAACCTATACGCCCCAAGGAGGATGGGTCCATGTTCATGATCACGTGCGATCGATCATGGATCGTGTGATTGGAATGCAAGCGTTCCGTTCCATTCGTGATCTGTTCTTGCAGCTTGCATTTTTGTGGGCTAGAAAGCGAAAATCCGTGCTTGTTGTCATGGGCAGGGAGGGCATTCAACTGGGAGATGAAAGTGAGACGCGACTGCGGTGGCGGCTTTGCGACCAAAACGGGCAAAGCCCTGTAGTTTTCACGGCGTTATCTTGTTCACGGACTAATCCTTGCTCCAGGCCAGCCGGTGCTCCTGCTTTCCTTCTTTCTTCCTTCTTCCACGTGTCGACGGGAACGGTTCCTGCAGAGCGGTGTTTCCTATTTGATTGGCGAGCCTTTATCCTTTAGAGTGAAGCTGGCACAGCCGTTCCTCTGCTGCGTGCTATCGACCGGCCGTCAGGCTCCGCGGCTGGATGGCCCGGAAGGGTGGATGGGAATGCTAGCTTCTGTCTGTTAGTATGGTGCGGTGCGGTGCGGTGTGGTGTGGTGTGGTGTGGTGCTGCCAAGGCGTCCGTATTGAGGGGGAGAGTGCACTTGCATGTCGGCGCTTACCGGCGTGTGAGGCGGCCGATGGAGTCAGTGTCAGGCCTGCACGTTTGTTGTGTATATAGTGATATTCTATAGTTTCAACGATGTACATTTTTTCCGTACAGTTTGTGTTCCGTACATCTCGTCAACGGCACTTTAGAAGCGCCAGGCCGGCAGTATTTGCTGCTGCGCGGGTGCGCAACCATAGTTGGCTGGGTTGCTCAAGTTGAGCCTGCAAGTCCTAGGCAGCAAGCCGACTGTTCTTTGATGTAAAAACGTATAGATATTTCATTTTACATGCGTCCATGCCAATATTCCCAGGTTTTCACTTAAGTAGCCTGGCATGCAGGCACTAATGTAAATGGATAAACTATACCAAGTCGCCGCTGCACTCACCAATCGTACATCTGTTGGTCCACATGCTGTATGATGTTCCTCCATGCCGGGCTGTCTACATCATACCAGTGACAATCACAGTGCGCCACACTATGCTGCTAGTGGTCTCCAACTAACATACGCCATGGGAGGGATCCCAGAGTGTCCTCGAAGAGAGCTAAGTCCCTCGCCGTCTGCAAGGCAAAACAATTCCACATATCCGCACGTTTGACTGGAAATTTGTACCGGTAGGTACCAACACCCGTGCGTGTGTCCCGGCGCGCCTAACTGTCTCTCTGCCGCCACATCTTCCAGCGCCCACCCGAACCACTCCCTCGCGTTTCTAGGCGCTCCCTTGCGCACTCGCCGCCTCATGTGGGGCCCGTTCCGATCCTTACCTTGCCATACCAATTGCAGTGCAACTGTGGCGACGCCTAAGGAGAAGTTCAACGGAGCCCATTCTCCGTTAAACCCCGCAGGTATAACAGTAATTTTTTTATGGTACTGGGCCTTCAATCAATTTGCGTTCGGTCGGGCTGTGCGTCGTATCTGTCTTTCAACTGCGTACGTTGTCAACGGCTCTCCCATCACAACGACCTCAGTCACGGAACGCTTGCCGGGCGCATACGTTGAAGCCTGGACGCCTCCTCCAAATAGCTGCGGCCTGTTGCTAATCACGCAAATGGGCATCAGCTCACCTGAGTACGGCAGGCGTTTTGGATTTACGACGGCCCAAACCATTTGATGGACAGATGAACACGGCAAACACAGCAACTCGCTGCGGGCTTCAAGGCATGCGCGTCCTGGGGAGGAGTTCCATCGTGAAGCTCGTAAAATTGCGCACGGTGCGCCCCGCGACTGCTTCAACCTCCGACTACCGGCGTGATCCGGAACTTCAGGTAACTCAACCCGCTGCCGAAGGATAGCGTTTTTCTCGAAATATCGCCTTAGCGTCATACAACTGCTGCCTACGTCGATTGTGTTTCCAGGTTGCGCGGTAGTATCTTGGTTACTTATAAGCTCTCTTGATGATCTAAACAGGCGGCGTTGGAGGAGCTGTTTGCGGTCACCGTACGCAAGGGCCTCAGGTAGGCCTTATGTTAGCTGGCTGACGCCCCAGGAGTTCACAGATACGCCGCACAGCTACTCCTTGCTAGCTTCCCGTACCTCGACAAGGTCGACATCCGTTGGCAAACCTTTGGCGCCGCTGCATTTCTGAGCCCTTGGCCGCGAACACGTTCCTAGCTTATTGCATACCACGTTGCATACCGCAGGCGTTTTCAGAAAGAGGACATCCAACACCACATTGAACGGATCGCGGAACTGGGCTGTCGACTGGGCCTCAACCGGGTCAACCCCCAGTGGAATAACGGTAAGGGCCTAAGGGGAGGCGGGCCCTGAGAGCGCGGCTACGGGGTGTACCAAGGGGCTGACGGGCAGTAGCGAGGCAGAGTGCGGGACTGGCACTGCCGAGCCCCAGAGCACCACTATAAACGTCATGGACTAAACCCTAAACGACCCGTGGGTCGGCCGGCCTGCAACTCCGCAGGCACATTCCTACAGATCCTCACCACAACCACAAGCGGTGTGTCCATTGGGGAGGTATGTTCGCTGCAGCGCCTCACGTTCGGCCAGGTGCGACCAGCGGACCTGCAGGTGGAGCTGGGCGACGCGTTCCAAGTGGGCAGGGGAGGAACTGCGGGAAACGCCTCAAGTCCTAGGTCTTTACATTTCCTGTGCGACTGTGCGGGGCAGAAAACTCCGGGTGCGGTGTCAGCAGTGAGTCGAGCATTTCGCATGTAAAAGCTCATTGGCCTGTCTGTCTGTCTGCGCGCAAACTGATTGCGAAGAACGCTGCATGCATATGTGTGTGTATGTGCGTGCGCACGCGGTGTGCTGCTGTGCGTGCTGCTCCCAGGCCTAATGAAATCTGCCATGTTGCTCTGGTGGTTTTGCAGATTCGGGGGCAAGTGCCGGGTGTGGAGGGCAGCGCAGTCAACGCATATGCCTTGAACACATACTTCAAGATCGTGCAAAACGGCGTCGAGGGGACGATGGCACCCGAGGGTCTGTACGACACCGACGAAGCGGAGCCTAGCCGGTGTGAATGTGTGTTTAAAATGAAGTGCTGCGAGGCGTATGTGCATGTGTTGTGTGTTTGTGGAAGCTGAGATGGTTTGAGTTTAGAGTGCGAAAGGGCCTACACAAATCGGCACATGGCCAAGAAACAGCTGCTTTCCGTGTTTTCAGTGTTTCGTGTGCACAATTACGTGTATGGTTATAGGTGCAACTTACCGCGTGCAGGCTGCGTGTCACCTTCTCCGGTTTCAAGGTCAGTCCAGAGCGCCAGGACGCACAGTCGCTGGCGCTGTGGCGGGAGACGCTGGAGGGGCACAACCCGGAGATGGTGCGATGGTGGCGAAAAGGAGGGCCGGGGATCGGTGGAGGGCTATTTTCCTGCCAGCGCGCGGCGGTTTGGGACACGCTTTTCTAACCGACGATTGCTAGATCCAGGAGGTCCCACGCCTCCAATCATTGCTTAGGGTGCTGCCCCTCCTGAGGCCATGAAACCGTCACCGTTTGGAGGATGACCGGACTGCACAGGTGGTTTGCCAGCAGGTTAATGATAATGGTAGTTGCCGTAATCGTATCTCCATTTGGTGGTTACTTCTGCAGGATGAACATGGCGTGATTCGGATCGTGTTTCCCAAGCCGATCCGTGCCACGATCGAATACATACTGATGGAGCCCGACCTGCACATGCATCTGGGGGCCTCTGGCGACTTCACTGCGGTGCAGCGGCAGCAGCAGCCCAACTAGAGGGAGAGAGTGCATGACATTATCAACGCCGAATCGTTGGCAGGCAGGACATACGGAGAGCCACAGACGACACTGGCCTACGGTGTTCTCGGGCTAGGCTTCAACGCGGTTCCGGATTGTATGCGTGCCGGTGGAGTGAGCAAGTGCCATCGTAGTCAGAAGAGTGCACGAGGGGGAAATGCTCGCAGGAAAGAGCGTTTAGACGGACAGGCTAGGTAGGTATCCAATGTAACATCTAGCAAGGTCGTCTCTCACTCCACGCCATGCCAGGTGCCGAGGGAAAGCTGCTCTCACATATGCACTAACTATTGCGTGAAGGTCTGGTTGCCTACACCCAGGTTGCCTACACCTCAACGAAATGTTTCGGGCTGGAGGACTTCGGCCCTGGCTAGGGCAAGTGCCGAAATTGGCGGCAGTGTTGCTCAACGAATTAGCGCAGCGGTGTGTAGCGACTTGACTGGAATGACTGTACGCATTCCACCGGCTGGCACCGGTGGTGGTCACCATGCCCCTGGCGTGTCGGTCGGTGCTGAGCTTTCCCAAGAGCCTAAGAGCACAGAGCGGCATGACCCAAGCCTCAACAAGCGTAAGAGTTTAACTTGTTGGGTACTCCACGTCAAACCTCAGAGCGACGTAAGAATTAAAGGCACTCTAGGGGAGCTTATCGCGGGCGGCGGCGGCCCACCGTGCACACCGCGCTCCCAAAAATGCAACAGACTCAAAATGCACGACTCATTCGTTCAATGGGAAACCCTTCAGCCGCTTCAGTTCTGGAACTGGCAGCACGCCCACAGCAGCTCTCCTGCATTTCGTGTGCTCGTGCCTTCCTGCACTGCAGATTTACTGCCTCCATGCGTTGTACTTTTGTTTTTAACCGAACGGTCCAATCCTGGTGGTGTCGGGTTGCAACCCCGATGGATGGAAGCGCTGGCACTCAGCCGCACACCGTCGGCCCCACCCTGCCCCACACGCAAGCTTGCATCACGACACTGCTGGTACAGCGGAGCGTCGTACCCTGAATGGACTGGGGGATTAATGCGTCTATTTCCTTAGGCCGTTCAGCGTTTGAAAGGACAAGGCGACTCGGATTGTAAGTATGAAATGCGAAATATATAATAATGGACGATGATGAATGGACTGCTGTTGCGATGTTCAGTGTGTGAAAAATGCTCTCTGCATGCAACCCAGTACCCAAGGCAACATGGGAGTGAATGGCTGCCGAAGGATTTGGCCAACTCAAGTGCTGTCACCCTAAACCTGGAAGGTTAAGGTCGGCTAGGCACTTTCGGCACTTTCCCACACACGGTGCTTCCGTTTCTGAATTTCCGTGTCGACTCAGTACGCCAAGATTCGCGCTCTGCCTTGGTGTACGCGGTGCTTCCCCTAACACCACAACATCCCAACACATCAACACCGCCATAGCCGACACTAGGACAGTTTGCCAGTACCCAATAGACGCTGCAGCCGCTCTTGCAAATTAGAGGAAGCGTTTGATGCGGACTCCGAAAAAACGGGCGACACGGGTGTCATCGCGGCGTACAACCTGACACCATCGCTCCGTGTGTACGGATATGAGGGCTGTTGCTGCAGTGCAGAAATGCCGTACGTCCGATGCGGCTGCCGCTGCTGTGCGATGGGTGCATACCTCGCTGCGCTGCTCGCAGGACTGGGGGACGTTGTCAGGGACACTGTGCGATGCGGCGGTGGTGCCCCGGTTGCTGGCTGGGGCGTTGCTGAGGCGTGGGCCGTGTAGCCACTTGCTCCCTGCTCCACTGGAGTCACGTACTGCACGGGGAGGAATAGCGCCCCCATGACAGGCGGGAAACCACCACGTTACTGTCTGTCTTTGCCTATCTATGCCTTGGGGCAATTCCATGCTAAGCCAAACATTTTGACGACGCTTGAAGCTCCCAGTTCATCGCTTGAAAAGATAGTCGCCAATGTCGACGCACCTATTCCTGGCTTCGGGCTCCAGTATTTTCAGGAGGCTAATGATAATGCCGGCCAATGCTGTCCAACCTTTTAAGATTATTAAGCGGCTGACGGCCCGGACGGGTTTGACAACCTATTCTACCGACTGGCTAACCCCTTGTCGGGCAGAACGCAATAAACACTCACCGCTGTGTAAGCCGCAGCTGCCACGGCCGCTGCGCCACCGGTGGAGAATCCCGCAGAGGAGGTAGACGGCATGGGCAGCACGGGGTAGGAGGCGGCCTGGGGAGCCGGCCAGTGGGCTGCGGCCGGCGGCGGGGCCTGGGGCTGCGCCGCCCGGCCGCCACCCTCCGAGACTCCTGTGCCAGGCTGGTGACTAATGGTCACATCGTAAGTCCTGACACAGCCGGCTTCCGCTGCATCCGCTTGCGCAGTCTCCTGAGGATGGGCAATGCCTGCATGAGGGTGTACGTGGGGATGCTGGTCGTGGTGCTGGCGCTGAGGCTGCTGGGCCTGGGGCTGAGGGTGGCGGTGCTGGGGTGATGCCTCCGGGCCGCGTTGGAAATCCGGCTGCCTCACGTTTGCCCCTCGCGGGGAGGTCCCGGCGCCGCGGCCGGCTGGGCGCCCTATCTCCTTGGAGGTCGGCTGCCTGCGCGATCTCTTCTCCTCGTCCAGCGACTTAAACCAGCTTTCCGCCTCCTCCTGCACAACCCGCAGTTCGCAAGGGTGTCAGCGGCTATACTACAGCGAAGCAACTGGAGATTCGGAAGGTGTACGGCATCGACGCTACACAGTAAAAAGGGCAGAATTGGTCCAGAGGAAAAGGCGAAGAAAGTAAACATTATGAGCGGCCTGGTGACGTGCCGTATGATACCAGCCCTCGGCCACCAGGCTCGGCTCTCACCTCCATGGCCGATACATCGTGGTATTCACGCCTGCCTCCAGCCGTGCTGCGACCTCTGTGGGCTCTTCTGTCCAGCTCCTCCTCGTCCTCCTCCATGTCCTCAACGTCGAAAGGAACTGGAATGGACCGCGCGGCGCCAAGGCTTTCCCCTCCTCCCCGGGTGGTCCCGGCTCGACGCGAATAGCCCTGCCTGCCCAGGGTCAACTCGTCATCCAGATCCATGGCGCTGCAAGGCTGCCGCGCAGTGGCGGGCGCCGTGCTGGCTCCTCCTCTGGTCCCTCCCCGTTGCGAGTAGGCCCTCCTGTCCAATGCCGCCGACCCCTCGTCCAAATCCGATGGCTCACACGCCAGCCGCGGGGCAGCAGTGGCGGCGCTGCCTCCGCCTCGACCGCCAAACTGTTGCCCGTAGCCGGCACCGCCGCTGCCGCCCCACGCGTCGGCTGCCGCATCTGCTGACCGGCGCAGCGCCGCGGCCACGTTGGTGCCACCACCGCCGCTGCGGGCCGTGACCACGTCCGCCACCATGCGCGCCCGGTCAACTTCCCTTGTCAGCTGGACCACCCGATCCCGAAGCCGCTCAGTTTCCGCCTGCGCAAGGACGCGACCCCGCTCGGCCTCCCGCAGCTGGACGGTCAACTCGTCCAGAGCACGTCGCTTGCCCTCCAGCTCCTGTTTGGGTTTGGGTTCCGAGTTGGAGGAAGTAAACGGGGTGGGCGAGCAATGCCCCAAGTGAAGGGGAGCATCGCCTTTTACACGATTGAGAATATCGGTTATGTAAACTGATGGATGAGTGCTCTGGATACAAGCTTGAGCGAGGGAGGGGACTACTGTCAGCATCATCAGAGGGTGCAGGACCCCTGGGCTGGGAGTGACACAGTATGCATGGCGTCCGGATGGACGCGGTTAAATGCGCTATGGGATGCGTGGCGCAGCCACCATGTGATATGGTTTGACACATGCAGTATGGCGCGTGTGATGCCGGGTCGTTTGGGCCCCAAAAGATCGACGGCACGATGCACATAGCGGCCACATTTGGAGCTAGAGCCGGAGCAGCGCGTTCAACAGTCGAGGACAGCCGCCCTGGAATAGACCAGCACAGGACAGGGCACTTGCCTTGGCGTGATCCGCCGCGGTGGCCGCCAATTCATGCCTCAGCTGCGTTACCCGCGCCGTCTCCTCGCTAAGATTCTGGGTGAGTTGCCTGATCTGTGGAAAAAGGGAAGGGCACGGTACTCGACAGGGTTTGTATATCCTCAACAAACCACCCGTGGGCAGGGCCCAGGGGCCCCGGGCCAGCCCACCTGCATGTCTCGCAACTGCATGTCCTGCTGGACCGCCTCCACCTGGCGAGCCGCGGTCTCGTTGGACACGAGCACGTCCGCGAGCTGCGACCTGAGGCACACCGCACCACCGCCACCACCACCAGGCGGACGAGAAGGAGGAGTCCAACACACGCTGTGTTGCTATTGCAGTTACAGAGATTGGTATGGGGACCTCGCGTGCGGCAATGGCTGGGTGAGATGCCGCTGGGCCACTGTAGGACCCCATGCTTCATCTTGTAAGTTAACGAGGGACCCGTACGGATGTCGTACAGTACCTAGCGGACCAGAGGGGGCCAGAGGCTTTGGGCCACCTTGCAGGCAGGTCTTCACCAAACCCTGTGAAGGTTGTAGTGCAGGGAAAGGAGGGGAAGGACCCATACCGCACACGGCGCGATGGATTGCGCTGTAATGCACAGTGCGCCCACCTGTAGGAGCTGGAGTCCTGAGTAGCCAGAGCCAATTTGGACTCGGTGCTGGCGAGCGCCTCCTGCAGATGCAGACATACCCAGGCATAGTGTAAGTTCGCCAGGTTAGCCGGCCCGGTTGGTTTACCGCTGCACACAATATGGCTGGGAACTTCTCACGCAGCAAGACGGTAAAGTGACAGGCAGGTGGGACGGCCGGTTCCCGCAGCAGCTGCAGGCCAAGCCTTCGCAGGCCCGAAGACGGGTCGGTGGTCAGTTTAAGCCCAAGAAACCCCGGCCATCTTTCGTCAACTCGCTCCAGCAGCCATACCGATTCGAGCGGTAACTCCATCTCATAACTCCATCGTCCGTACGGTACGTACACGTACCTGCAGCCTCACGCGTTCCGTCTCAGAGGCACCGAGCTTGGCCGTCAGCGAGCGCACCTCCTGCTCCACTGCCTCCAGTTCAGACTCCTTGACCTCCAACTGCGAGCAATGGCAGAATACAATGGTTGCAAAGCATGAAGCTCTCATTGTCAGGTGCGTGGCTCTTTTGGGTTTTAGTCTGTGCACGATACAAGCCATGGCATGGAGTTGGTGAAGTGAATGTGAACGAAGAGTTGAGCGGTGTGAACGTAGGAAAGCGCGCAGGGCCTGTGTTGTGGGCAGGTGAGTAGGCTGCTCTTCTATGAAAGAAAGGCATCCGCCTCCAGCGCATGTGCTTTGCACGCAGGAAAGACAAACGGTGTGTGTGCCAGGTCGAACCATGCCGGCCAAACGTTGGCGCCGCGCCCTTCTGCCATCCGCGCTACCTGTGCTTGCAGTGTCGTGCAGCGCTGCTTCCATTTAGCAGCTGCCTGCGCAACCTCATTCGCCTCCGCCTTCCACAGCTCCAGCTGAGCAGCATGGGAGCCCGCAGCCTCGGCTAAAGATGCGTCGCGCGCCTTGACGGTTTCCTGCACGTGGCCATGTGGCACGGCCTGCTTAGTGCTTTTGACTTCAGGGCTTTCGCTCTGGGCTGGACTGCCGTTCAGCGATCAGGGTGCACCCCATTATACAATCCAGCACGCGAGTAGCCCCATCGCTTGAAACAGGACCCAGGAGGGTTAGAGGTTCGAGCAGGGACAGTAATTATTTACCTCACCTCCGCCTCATACCTTTGAAAGGTGTAACACACACATACACACCTCACCTCCGCCTTTGCCAGTCGCTGGCTCAGCTCCTCGTTCTTCTTGTGCACCTCCGCGTAGTGCTCGCTCTGGTACTTGAACGTGGACACCTCGGCCGCCAACTCCCCCAAGCTGCTCTGTGCCTCACGCATGCGCTCCCGCACCTCCAGAAGCTCCAAGTCCTTACGCTCTATAACCAAAGAGACGCCACGCCACGCCACGCCACGCAAGGGGACGGGGAACCCAGCGTATGAGGGACATCCAGGGCGTCGATCCACGGCAGGGAGGGAGGGAGGACACGGCCGGTATTGCCTTGGTCTAGGAGCTCCCTTCCAGGGAGTTAAGTCCTTTTGGATAACCGGCCTTAAAACCCTTCCCATCTCGGCGCGTGGCCAGCCTGCCCGCAGCAACCCGAATGGGCATCCTCCGATAAGGTGCAGCCATGTTTCTTCTTCCTTTTTTTCCCTACCAGCTATCAGAGGCACGGGCCCCTGCTTATGGATTTGTGCTATATTAGCGGTGAGTTGGGGCGCCTGCGGCCTCGAGCTAGGCCATGCCATGAAGCTCCCCAACCCCCCAAGGCCCCCAGAGACGCCCGTATCAATGCTCACTTAGCTCCTCTCGGTGGGCGCACCGCATCGCATTGCGTTCATCCTCCCAGGCGTTCTCCCTTGTCCGCAGCTGGCCCTCCCACTGCCGCTGCTTGGCCGCAAGCTCCTCGCCGTACGCCAGCTGCCTAACGGCTGCATCCTCCTGAGCCGAGCGCGCCCGGCCCGCGATCTCCTCCCGCAGGCTGCGCTCCAGGCGGTCCTTAGACTCGTGCGCTTCCACCAACTGCAGCTGCAGGTCGTCGCGCTGCTGCTGCAGCTGATCACGCTGCTGCTGCAGGGTCTGGGCGTTGGCCTACAAGAAGACGAAGAAAACACGTCAACGAGAAACGTACAAGGGGCCCACCACGCTTTCCTCAGCCAGTGAGCCAACACCCGGGGAGCCAGCGAAGGACACATGCTGGTCTGAGATGGGGTCATTCAAGCACATGGCAGACACGCCGGCACGCCTTCAAGGCGAAGTTAGGTTGCTAGTAGGGATTGTGACAGCTGGCCGGCGAAAATGAATGGCAACGGAGTCCTAAAACGGCCAGCAGCACGTATGGTCGATGCTTCGTGGCCGTGTGATTGAGGATTGACCGCCGTCAGCACACGACGCTGTTCTCTTTCAACCCCGCATGCATACCTGAGCCGCCGCTTGCTGCGAGCTAAGGTGCAGAACCTCCTCCCGCAGCTTCGCTACATCCGTTCGGAGAGCCTCGTTGGCCACCATGAGCTGTTCCGCCTGCACGCGAAGCCGCTCCACTTCCGCCTGTTCTGCGGTTGCTGCCGCGGCTGCTAGCTGGGCACTGGTTTGCAGCTGCGTCAGGTCGGACTGCAGGGAAGCGGTGCGCTGGCGCTCGGCAGCGAAGGCCGCCTTCTCGGCCTGTAGGGCCGAGCGGTGCAAGTGGTCACAGCGCAAACAAGGCCCGGAGATCGCGTAAGCAAACGACTCACAAATTTGCAAAGTTGCAGACTCTCCTATCTTTGGCACTGTTCACAATCCAAGCTGCCGTTCAGGAAATGACAACATGGAGCTAGTAGGGTCAGCTGTTCTTGCCACACAACGTGCCTCCTCCAACAGCACGCGGTTCACCATCCTGCTTCAGAGGGCCCCCGCAGCGCTTCAGGCAGTGCGGACTCGCGTCGTGCGGCTTACACTATAAGATCAAGCTTGCGAGCTGACTGGCAACCTCCAGCACAGCAGCATCACACGCACCTGCAGGGCCTTCTTAGCGGCCTCAAGCTCGTCTTCGAGAAGCTGCATCTTAGCCGTCACCGCGCGCACTCGTGCCTCTGCCTCCGAGCTGCTTGCCACCAGGGTGCTATGTCGCTCCGTTGCGAGCTTCAGGTCTGCCTCCAGCGCTTTCTGCCGTCCAAACAGGTCCTGCCGTGCAGCCACCTCGTCCGACAGCCGTGACTCGGCGGTCTGCAGTCGCGACCGCAGCTCCGCGATGGTGCCGGCGTCAGCCGCAACGGTGGCCTGTTGGCGCGCGGGCGGACGACCAGCAGTTACACGTGCAGGCCAAGCCAAGCCATGCCGAGTAGTTGGAGAATGGTTTATTGTAGCCGGAGAAGAGGCGCGCCATGTAGGAAGCATTTGTTAACATCACCACATGCAGGCGCCCGGGAGTATGCAGGCAAGGTGCGCGTTTGGGGTTGAGCTAAGGCTGTCCGCTGGTTCCTACGATGCGAAGTGCAGAGCGAGAGCTTGTTTTGTATGCTTCCACGAGGACAGACATAGGACACACAAAGCTGATGACGGTGTCCCCCGCCCAGGTGCCTGTTCCGTGCCTAAGCTTGACGCGAACGTCACGTTCCTCTGTAACGCCGCTACGGCCTATGGCCTTTTCCCTGTATTAAATGATGCACTTGGCTGTGTCCGTCGCGGAATCCACACATGCAGCCGCTTTAAGGAGTATGTCATCTGATTGTTCACGCCAGGCAGCACCGAGCTGCTGCACATCCCGGCTCGGTCTACCTCTAGCCGGCTGCTGTTGCTCCTCTGGGAGTTCAGCAGGTCCATCAGCTGCGCCCGCTCCTCCTGCAAGGACTCCACCTGCAGGAGGTCCCCCGGAGCAAGACCGCGGGGCAGGGCGGGGAAAACAAACCATCCAAAATGCTTAATTTTGATAGGGCCACATGCAGGGCCGGCAAAACAGATACTTGCTCGCTCGCTCATGCTGGCTCCTGGCTGACGCTCTAGCGGCGACACACAGCAACCATCACAACTCAAGGCTGACGCTGTATTGGCGCTGTACCAGTGCTGCACTGGAGGCAGTCAGCCATCCGCCTACCTGGTGGTGCACTACGCTCTTGCTGGCCCGCAGCTGCGCACATTCGGCTTCTAGAGTTAACCTCTGAGCTTGCTCTTCTTTGTACCTGCGGGGATTTACACGCCCGTTGGTGGCAAATTTGTTTTGCAAAGTCTTCAGCAGGGAGTACGGATGCGACTCACAATGCACGGGGAAGCGGCACATTCGCAAAGCGCCCGCCTCCGGTGCACTCCGCCGCCCACCTAACACCCCGCCCCCAGCCTGTCCTTCCGAGCTCCCTGCCCTGTGGCAGGACTTATATCGGCGGTCGAGGCGGCGGTCCCCCGCGCCGCGCACCTCCTGTTCAGCTCCTTCAGCTGCAGCAAGTGCTTTTTGTCTACAAGCTTCCTGGCCTTCTCCAGCCGCTCTATTGTGGCCTGCAGCGCTTCGACACTTAGCTCCTTCTCACGGAGTTGGTCACGGACCTGCGGACAGCAAACTTTAGACCCTGAACATGTGGTGGACACGGCTGGAAGGCCTGCATGCTGCCGGAGCCGTCTGATGCGGGTGTGATGGAGGAATGCTCCCAAGGCCATGCTTACCCTTCCTTCCAAGCCCACAGCATAATAGGGCCCTAGGCGTTGTAAGGCACAGTGCCGTACCTGATCGGAGCCCGATCGCGCCTTCATGAGTTCATCCGCTAGCACGGCATTTGCATTTCGCAACTCCTGCAACCCACCCGAAACACTGTCTGAATGTCCACATGCAGCGCGGTCACCAGGGGGATGCAAGAGCGCACCTGGATGGCGCTTTTGTTCATGGACACCAACTTCTGCTCCAATGCTCGCTGGCCGCCGCGCACCAAGAAGTTACGAGGGTCATGGGAAGACCCTCCCAGGTCGTCTGTCCCGGGTGTCCCGCATGCATGAGCACTAAGTTTTTTAGGGGTTTTGGGTTTCTTACCGCTGATACTACCAAGCTCATAGCTGGAGGAAGGAAGGATAAGAATAGAATTGCCAGCCTTGCACTGCGCCATTTGACACCTCGCACCAAAGGTGGCAGCCAGGGCAGCTGAAATTAAATCAATTGAGTTCTCCTATGCATGCCAAGAATAGCATGTAGCGACCGTTGAACAGCATGAGCGTTGTTAGCTGTCCCATGAACGAAAGTCAAAAACGGTCAAGTAACATCTACAAAATCAGTTAAAAATTTGAAGTGATTTCATTGAGGTTCCTTCTGCAAAGCTCTGCAACCAGTATGAGCAGAAGTTGGAGTTTCCAGGTCGCATCGGTGTGTAAGCTGGCGTAGAGCGCTTCAGAGGAGAACTGGCTGGATTGTAGCCCATGTAACAATATGTTCGACTCCGGCCAGTGTTTGGCAGCACGGCTACTGAGGGTTATCTAACTGCATTCTAACTGCTTATCGTACAGAATTCTAGCTGCACCTATCACCGGCGGGCATCACATCACCATCTTATAAGGAAAGTAACATGCTTAATATATTGCCACATATGCATCCTTCCGGCTGCACGTAGCTTGTGTCCCTTGGCTTGTGTCCCTTGACTAGCTATTAGTCGTTTGGATGCAGCACCCTTAAACGTCTCTGGGTGAAGGCCCTGTCACAAGTGTCGTGTCTCATTTTCACAAGATAGCAATCTAGTCTTTTGATATCAAACGTTTCCCAACAGCATATCGCGGTGTGGATCCAGCTGTTTTCTTTTCAGAAGGGTGCAAGAGGTACACTTGGCAAGCATCTTCGTCGGTGAATTAACGGAACCATGGGCTTTTGGTAGAGTGATGAAGAACAAGTACCTCTTAATAATAAGCCCCGCTGCTGTCACGATACATCGGCAAACGGGATATTCCTGGTTTCGGGAACGGGTCTATTCCTGTCTTCCAGTACAATTTCTTTTACAAGGCCGCGGGATGAAAATGCGCTTTTTTGACGTTCCGAAAATCTGAATCTGACCTGGCCACGTCAGCTTGCGTACGCAGGCCTAGTCCACTTGGGAAACACTGCACGATACGACATTTTAAGGTCCTGTGCCTCTTTTCGTGACGGCCTCGAGAAATGGGGAACAATGGTGCACACCGACAGGGACCGACACGCAACGGCAGGTGCTGCATATCATAAACAACGCCGCCCAGCAATGTGGAGCGGCGCGGCCCAGGTTGGTGTACATAGACTCACGTTGCATCCAGCAGCTGGCGGCTCCTGACAGTGCACCTTTTCCAGAGAGGGCAGAGGTGGCTGACGGGCTGCAAGGAGCGCAAGACATCGCATTCCAGCGCATTCCAGCGCATTTCCACTTCCCCTACTGCTGGCAACACATGAGTTTTCTAACCTTCCAGCACCATCCAGTACCACAATTAAACCCCACACACACATACACCATCACACACACCTTTGACGTTGCGTTAGGGATTCCATTGCCGCCGCGTTGAACGAAGTGTTGAAGGAAGTAAAGATGTTCCTCCAATGCCTTCAACAATAACTTCCGTTGATGTACGTCAATTTTAAGCAAATATATTTAATTAAACAATATACTTTTACACACAGGAGACGTGGCGCAATGGATAGCGCATCAGACTTCGGATCTGAGGGTTGTGGGTTCGAGTCCCATCGTCTTCGGACATTTTTCCTGATGTATCTCTAACTAAGAATGTCATTTTTGCGGCTTTAGCACAATGGTCAGCTATCCTACAAATACGCTCGAAGTAGGAATATGTATCTCTTGTCTGCACAGTGCGGATTACCAAGGAAGCTGTCTTGTTTTGCATGTGAGCGGTGGGACGCTGTTGTACCCTGCTGTACAACAGAGCGCAACCATTTTCCCTTGTCCCCAGTTGTTCCGTCGCAGGTTTCCTCTCCCTAGCCATCGTTCTGCTCTGAACCATTAATCCCGACCACTCAAAGTGTTGACCACGCGAGTGCCTCTTTTCCGTGGTCCGTAGAGTGTCTGGTATGTGCCTTCGTCAATCCTTCCGTGAAACTTAAAAAAAAGGCAGTGTGGAAAACATGTGGTCCACTTCCATGCTACGGTATATGGAGACGTTGCAACATGTGTAAGGAATGTATGGACAACACAACGGCAGCTGCTATCCTATGACTATACGTCCCATGACACCACCGTGTAGCCATGCTTTGCGTTGGTCAAAGATTTAGTTCCAACGGAAACTGAGCGGTATGACTGCGGCAGGCATATGCTAATAGGGGAGGTGCGCAGGGTTCCCCAGCCAGGAGGCTGCCACTCGCCTGCCACTCGCCTGCTGCACCAGGCCGCTATCACGCTAAGCTCATTGCCGCTGACGCGGGTATGTCCTCTCGGTTTTCGGATCCTACGCGCCTCTTGGAACGTTGCTGTCGCTAGACTGTTTTAGTGCTTCGCCCGCCCAGCGTACTGGACATGGACGAGCACGCATGGACTCATTCGCCGGATGTAAGCCTGGTTACCGGTACATGGTGAAGGCGAATAGCCTCTCGTGCGATTGTACAAAATATCATTCCATCAATGTGGCCACAGGTTGCGGGTTTACACGGTGTTGAAGTCGTGGATTGCACAATCTGTCGCCTGCTTCATGCTATCCAAGCCGTACCGTACCGACATAGTCATGGGTCGAATTTGTTTAAGCATTTGTCGACAAATCTTTACACGAGCAACTTAGCCTATTCAACATTTCACGTATGACAGTTAGGTCAGGTTACATCCTTGGGGTTTTCGCAGGGAACGACATCCTTTGTTTCAAGGTTGAGAGAGATGGACTGGTTCAAAAGTGGCCTTCAGGCTGCTCAGAAACAAGCACAGGAGGCTGCAGAGAAAGCAAAGGCTCTTGCGCAACAAGCTTCAGCGCAAGCAAGAGCAATTGCGGAGCAGGCTTCTGAGCAGGCAAAGGTGCTCGCGGAGCAGGCTTCTGAGCAGGCAAAGGTGCTTGCGGAGCAGGCGACTGAACACGCCAAGGTTTTTGCAGAGCAAGCATCTGAAAAGGCGAGGCTGGCTTCGGAAAAGGCGAAGGTACGAAGAGCACACGCCCTGTGCGATGATTGATTAATCCCATGAGAGCTCAAACTTTGTAGGAATTGGCAAGCGCTGCTGCAGAGGAAGCGCAAGCTAAGTTACAGCGACTTACAGCACAGGTGGGACCACTGCGCCAGACATCCCCGCCTTGGGCGCCGGCTTAAGGTTTCTAGCAGGGTCTGTTGCTGAAAACTCAGGGGCCACCGGATGGTGGTAAAGGGAAGTCCGAGATAGCGGATGCGTAACTCCCACATGGCCTTGGGTAAGGCCTTAGGCTTTGCCCGGGTCTGATGCTTCCCTCTGAAATCCCTGCTCCACCATGCCCAACCTTTCTGCTGAATAAATACTAGACGACCAGCGGCGGTGGCGCATCCGCATCTGATGTAGACCCGGCTGAGCTGGCCAAGTACGGCATCACGTCAGGACTCCTTGAGACGATAGCAGGGATGACATACAGCACCTTCAGGTAAGACTGAAGCCTTGCACCTGTCCCAACGGCACCACTTGTAACGATGCTGCACGGTTATGTGCACGGGCTGCCCATTGGCTTACCTGATGTAACTTCGACGTGGTGCTGCTACGGTGCCGCTCCAGCCGTCGTCTACCGTTTCTCGGCATTCTCCTTTTTCCTATTCGCACCTTCATCCTTGTCCATCTTTACGCATGTCGCCCTCCCACGGTCGCCCCTTCCTCACGCCTGCAGTGACTATCCCGTGGAGTTGCTTCCCACCACAAACCCTATGGGCCTCACGACGCCCATCCCGCCGCCGGGCTTTCGGCTGAGCCCCTGGCAGGAGCGACACGCGCTGCTGGTGCTGACAAAAGGGGACCAGCTCCAGGGACTGCGCTTCGCATTGTGCCCCAAGTAAGGCCTGCCTGTGTGGGGAGCTCCAGGATGGGGCCTTGCGGCGGCTGGCGCTCGTTGGGGGTGCGGGCGTGGGTAGGTGTGGATGTTCGGCATGTGGGTGCGTATGCTGGCGACGGTATGGCGAGGATGTTAACCTGGGCGCTTTGTGTGAGAAGGTTTTTCAGTTAGGCTAAAGTGGGTTAATCATTAAGCTGTGCTTGTTATCTACCCTAAGTCACAGAGCCGGACTGTGTGGGGGCTTGGTAATTGTAGACCTAGCTGCATGCCCGAGCTGGACGCAATGCCGCCCGGGTGTCTACAGCATGGCTTATTACTGCATCTTGACAATGGCTGGATTGTAGGCTCCTACGTGACGCGCTTCGATCGCTGACCCTTTACCACTGTGCCACTGCACCGTTTCGGTCAGGCGCATGAGCGAAGAGGTTTTTTGGATTATCTACTTCACGCTGGTGAAGACATTGCTGCCGTTGGAGGCCTTTGCTAAAGACGCGCTGGAGGGTTCTGCGGCCGGGGAAGCGGTTGCAGCCGTAACGGCGGGGACTCTGATCTCCGCATCCCCCAGCGCTAAAAGCTTGCGGGTGAGTGGGCGCGCTACCGGGTGGCTTCCTGACCTTTGAGGATAGTCGAGTTAACAGTACCTCATCGCGTTGAGGTAACGCGACCAATCTTGGGCGTGTGCGCGGGCCCAGTGCGGACAGGAGCGAGAGAAATGGGGGGAAAGAAAGCAACGTGCGAGTGCTTAGCGTATGGCGCAGGTTTGATATGCCGTGGGAGTGCAAAAGTGATGTCGTGGTACCGTTTTCCCGCGGGAAAGGGTCGCTGTGGCCTACGCAGCTTACGCAGGGGGCGAGGGCGCTCACTTAGGGCGTTATTGACGAAGCGCTTGAGTCACTATGTGCGCCGAGAATAGAAACTGGCTGCCTTGCCTTCGGGCCCCCACCGACCGCTCACCGCAGGCTGCCCAAGCGGGCACTACATCGACCATGCCGGTCTCCACCCACAGCAGCACCTCCCGCCTGGCGGATGAGGCTGGTGGCAGCAGCACCCCAACTGCAGGCGCCAGAGGCACGGGCGCTACCAGCGCCGCGGCTGGGGCGGCGTGTACAGCCCCGCCCCATCCTGCAGTTGGGGATGAGGCCGTGCTGGTTGACGTGGGTGCGTCCTCTCACACGGGCGAAGACGATGATGATGACGACGGCGCGGAGGGCGGCGAGGCGGATCTGGACGAGCTGGAGGATGATCCCGAGCTGGCGGCTTACTTGGAGGTGAGGCTGTGGGGACAGTACGGATGCCAGGGCAGGGGCCAGCTACCATGGGGAGAGCAAGAAGGCCGTCCTTGGCAAACGCGAATGGTTTCATGCCACGCAGGAAGCTTTGGACGTGGCCGAGGGTGGCGAAGCTGAGGGGATATCCGACCTGGGCTCAGCAACGGACGACCTGGACGACTACATCAACCAACTGGATGCTGAGCTCGGAGCGGACGGCGGCAGCGGGGAGGGAGAGGGGGGCTCGTCCTCGCCACAACCGAAGCCAGTCCAGGAGGCCGCGTAGTGCGCTCCGTGCACTGTGGATTGTTATGGGCTAGCCCTTCTGGCGGCGCTAGCGTATGAAGCCCACCGAGCTTGGTAAGAAGTTTCGGTCTGGCTGGTCTATATATGTGAGGGTTATAAGCGGAACGTGACGTATTGGTGTGGGAGATAGTGGCCGCCTGGATGATTTGTTGTTTGCCTGTCGCGGGTAGCTATGATGCAGGATTACGAGGTCGCGAGCTGTAGGACCTCCCTTCGTCCGACGGCAGGCGGTGCAGCTCTTCCACCGAGCTGAGCGGCGCCAGGACCGACAGCGCCAAACCATTTTCGGGCTTTCATGGAACTGTCGAGTGAAATTATTTGCGGTTTGCTATCTTCGCCAGCATTGCCTTATAATTATGTGCCACTCTTGAACGTTATGTATTGGGTGCAGTGCAGGACGGATCGAGCCGTCGGTTGCGCTGTGGTAGTTACACGGCTGCTTTTGCCCGGAGGTAGCGAGACGGTAGTGCAGGACGCGTATCCATCCATGCGCTGTGAGGCGAAACTAGCGCGTACTGAGGCTCCGCGGTCGTGACGCCACCGCACGCACCACGGCTTCCGTACATATCTGTACATACGCAGTATTTGTGAAGAGTCACCTAGCAGTTGCTATTGTGCGCCACGCGGATGCACATTGCGACACAAAACCACGGTTCTGAGTAGTTTAACTGACTGCTTAGGTGCCTTAATTCATTTCAGATCCAGATCCCAAGTTCGACAGGCCGCAGGCCCGAGTATCCCGCACACGGGCACTACTATGTAATAAAACAGCTAGGTTACTCCTACTCATATATGAAGCGTTTTTTCTTCCGCTCTCGCTCTCTTTAGTACTGCGCGCTGTAGCCTTCCTCAGGCACGAGTACATCAGGGCCACCAGGGGCTCGACCAGAGGTCTTGTGTAGTGGGTTTACCGCTTGCCCTTCTGCGCGTAGCCCTTTTGCGCGTACTGCGAGCATGCGTAATATCAATGGCGAGGTTAAGAGCTATGATCTGCATGGAAGTGGACTGCGGTGCCCTGTTCCTGCAGATACGAACATCCGTACCTTCTTGCCGTAAATGAGCGGCGTCATGGAGTCTATCGCCTCTATGGCTGGCTGCTCCATCTCTCGTGTCTGTCATATGGCAGTCAAAAGGCCGTTAATATGCAGCCATCGAGAAGACTCGTAAAAGTGCTGGTGCACGACGGGAACCGGGAAACCCACCACCGGGGACGTCTTGGACGACAAGCTGAAGAGCCTGTCCTCCGGCTTAAAGGTGCGCGCCTTCTTCCGAAGGATATCCTTTGAGTTCAAGAAACCTTCAAAGCCCTACACAGGAAGCTTCATAAGTATCTTGACAGTTCTGTCGTGTGTCGGCTGGACAACCGTTGCACACCTTAAGAACGGTACCACACTGGCTGTACTCAGCTGTCAGGTAGCTATGCTCCATTTCAGCAATCTGCACAGTTTGAGGGCTTTACAGCGAGAGCGCTCTTGCCAAAGCTCGCAGACCTCCTTCAGCTCACCAAGCGCTCTATTTTGCTGAGGTCGCCTTCTAGAGTTTGCTTTAGAGCTTGAAACTCCTCCAGGAGGCTCATCCTTTGGCGGTAGTCTCGCTACATATGTAACGTTGTTGAGCACAGGTCTTTTTCGGTGGACACACGCTTACACGTAGCCATTTCGATTATTTAAATACTTTGTTTTAACTGAGCAAAACTATTGCGAGCCTGAGTAACGTAGAGAGGTGAGGGACAATTTGAGAGCCCTTGTGATGTAAAGTTTCCACTGCAGACTCCTAGCCCCCTAAATAAAGAATACATTATGTTTCAGCATCGAGGGCCTAGTAGGGTACATCCTCGACAGTACGGACACGGTTCACAACCTAACAGGCAGGCCAACATCGTGCTGCTTTGAGAACGCATCATCAGGAAAACAATGGGCAATTCCATGGTTTGCACAAAAATAACCCCCTGTAATAACCGAACACCCTTCAACTCCGGCCATGCAGTTACACCTGCATCGCGCACCCCTAACGCTATATGCCAAGGAAGTACCAGTACACTACCATGCACACGAAAATAACTCTAGCCGTTGAACCCTTTGCCATGGAACGACACAAGCGCGGCTAGGCCCCGGTGAGAGGTGTAGGATCCCTACCATGCGTCCGATGACTGTGTAACTTCTTTGCCCGGTAGCGATGTCTCCCCTAATCCTTTCACCATCGTGAGAACTCGCCCGAGGAGCGGCTCGGACGAGCACCAGCCGACCTCCAGCCATCTGCATGATGCCGCCGAGACCCGTGGGACTCTTCCTCGTCCCAGTCCCCGTCCCGCGATTCCTTCTCCCTGTCTCGGTATTCCCTTCCGCCTTCTCGAAATTTCGACCCGCCCTCCCGGCGCCCCCGCCCACCGAAACCACCCCCGGCCCCGCCCCAACCCCCACCCCTGCCTCCTTGCCGCGACCAACTGCCGCCCCGCCGCTGTCCCGTGTAGCCGCCCTGCGCCCTCGACCTGTCCGCCATCCGCCGCAGCTCCGCAGGCACCTCCTGGCCCGCCCCCTCCAATACCTCCAACAACGACCTCGCAACGCCTCCGTCGCGGGAACGGTTCACTAGCGCCAGCGAGTTTCCTTTCGCGCCTGCACGCCCCGTACGGCCGATTCTGGGGTGGGGAGGCGGGGCAGGGTGTGTTGGCGGAGGAGCGGACGCAACACGAGGACGCGAGACCAGGTCGGGGAAAGAGATGTCGGGGGAGGACAGCAAACCCAAATAGGCAACAGGAAATTAAGAGCGCGCAAGCGGGATTACGAGCTTGATCTCCACACAGGTGGATGGACAAAGCATGTACATCTTACCTGTGGACGTACATCTCAATGTCCTGCGGCATGTCGTAGTTGACAACGCATGTCACATGCGGGATGTCCAGTCCTCTTGCCGCTACGTCGGTGGCCACAAGCACAGGTACCCGACCCGCCTTGAACTTGGCCAGTGCGTAGTCGCGGGCAGCCTGGGACTTATCGCCGTGCAAGCTGGCGGCTTGGAAGGGCATGGTGCTGCGCAGGGCCGGCGGAAAGGGTGGTGGGAAGAGCCAGGGGAACTGCTATGGGGCGGCTCAGCTGCAACAGATGATGGACGACACCATCATCTGAACAGCCTTTTGGCACTGAAACGGGTGGTTGGAAGTGTTGTGTACGTCAGGACATGCATGACGTACACAAGTACACTCATGTACACGGGGGGACCGTACACGAGTACATCGGGGGAGAGGAGTAAGGTTTGAAGCATTCGAAAATCGGAAGTCCATGCTACCTATATACGGAAAGATCATGGATTCATGAACCAGGTCAGGGCCAAGGCAGCCGCGCTCTAGTGGCCGCTCAGGAAAACATATTTATAGAGACCCGCAGATCACCACACGCACATGCGATGTCCCGTACAATCCGTACAACCACACACGTACTTGTTGATGTTGTGCGTCAAGTGGTCGCAGCCGGCCTTCGTTTCGCAAAACACAATGGCACGCCGCACCCGCCGGCCCTCGCCGCCCCGGCCCTGGCCACCTCCACCGGCCTCCGATTCCTCCCCGTCGGACTGCTCATCGCCCTTCGCAAACTGCTCTCGCAAGTACGCCTCCAGCGCATCCAGCTTGTCAGCCCCATCTACCACCTGTACACGCTGCGTGATGGTGGCTGCAGCGACCGGCTTGGACTGCAGAGGAGAAGAGACGGGGTTGGGGATCGAGGGCTTTGGTTTAGCAGAAACCGCGTCATGGCTGCCTAGGGGGAAATTCAGCCAGGTGCGGCTCAGGCGAAGGGAAAAAAACCAAGCTATGGGTAAACGAATTGTTAATGGAGTGGATGCATAAACAAAACATTCCACATCTTGGAGGATGAAGACCTGCGGGCATCGGCGAAACAAAATAGCATTTGCTAAGCATGTCAAATATATTATTTATCTGTGAGACATCACAAATAATCCCAAGTTTCCTGCCGTTCCCTCCTCGCTCCAACACACGCACCTGAACATCGCCGATAAAGAGCCGCACCGCTCGTCGTTTAGTAAAGGCCGCCGCCGCCTGTCTCACGTCACTGGGCCAGGTAGCCGAGAAAAACAGCGTCTGCCGATCTGCCGACATGTACCGGGACACTTCCGCGATCTGCTCTTCAAAGCCCATGTCCAACATCCGGTCGGCTTCGTCCAATACGAGGTACGACACCTATATGGCATGGCAAGGTGTGGCGTGTCTAGGTACGGCATACACTACAATACTACCTCTCTTTGATACGCGGAGCCGCAGTAGCGCCTCTGGTGGTGTGGTGAGCTGCGAGGAGCTCGCACGAGGCCAAGTCCCTTGTTCCATTGCGGCACCTCTCGAAAAGATGCCATGCCCGCCCAGACACGAGGTGCCCTTCAGGATCAGAAAAAAACCACCTTGATTGAATATTCGTGTTCGTGTTTCCCCAGGTGTGCTGGTATGTCAATGTTAAGTGCTGGGGAAGGGTTTCGGCAGCTCATCAACAAAATCATTAAATACATTAACTGCACGAGTTCCAGTTCTAGTGAAGGCGGCACCAGCCCACCTGGCTACAACAGGCAACTCCGTGGCAGCTGCACCGCACGAGTCCGATACACACTTTGTGGACCAGACTGCATGCCCCCTCGGGGAACCGAAGGACCTGCGGCAGCTGACAACCCCCCCCCGCCGTGTCCAGCCTGCCTGCCTACCCCGGGCTCGCTACTCCGGCCCACATAGTTGCCAAGGGACGACCTGTCATAACCCTAAACCAGCTTGCCCTGCTTCACCACATTCCCCAACCTCATCCCACTCCGCCCCAGCTCCCTAGCCCCAACCCCTCCAGCTCCAAACCCCTGGAAAACGCCACGATCCCCCCGACTCCGCGTGTCTTAGTGTCTTTTGAGACTACAGAAAAGAAGCGGCCCACGTTCCCCCCGTACCAGTTGCTGCTTCGACCTTCTGCAAGGGATCACCCTCCCCAAGCCTTCCTCCTCCTTCACAACCCCGAGAAGTCCCACCTGCTTCATTCGGATGTCGCCCGCCTCAATGAAGTCCAGGAGCCGACCCGGCGTGGCAATCAGCAGGTGAGGGAGCCGCCTGAGCTCCTCCAGCTGCCCCCCACGTGCCGCACCGCCATACACACACGCGCTGCGCAGACCCCCCTCCACCTCGCCCCGGTGGCCCCATCGATGCTGCCGGCCGAAGCGACCCGATGACGGCGGCGGCCGCTGCTGCTGCTGCTGAGGGCCGCTGCTGACCACCACATGTGAAAAGCGACGGGCCTCCGCCTCGATCTGCCGAGCCAGTTCGCGAGTGGGTGCCAGTACGACAGCAGTCGGGCCCAGCGCGGGGTCGCAACCGCGTGCCTGTGGGGAGGTGTGTGTGTGTGTGTGTGTGTTGGGGGGGAGGAGGAGGGGGTTTCGGCATCACAGGGCAGGAGGAGGAGCTGGCTGCGTCATAGGCCCTGATACCTTGTGGCTTCAGCTATACCAGCACTCAAAGCAGCTAGTGCAACTGCCGACACAACGGGCTGCAACTGCAGGCTGTGGGGCTACGGGGCATTGCAGTCCTGAAGGTAAGGAATGTAAGTCCTTGATAACCCAAGACACTTGCAGTGCCCCGCAGCCGCGTTGCAGTCCCTGACCTTGACACGATGCGGTAATAGTTTCAAGTTTCAAGTTGTTGGCCCCCCGACTGTGTAGCCAAGGCCGGGGCGTCGCGCGTGGATTTGTTCGGAAGACCGCAAACCAGCCTCATCCTACCGAACCCCCCGTCTCTCCTCAAGCCTACCCCCCTTCCCTCCGTCCCCCGCACGACACTGCATCACCCGACCGCCGAATTGCTCGCAGCCCACAGGCACGCAGACCCCCTCCACTGCAGCCTCATCCATAACCCTTGGCCCCCCCCTTGGGAACACGACACCCCTTGCACACACACCTCCCACCCGTCTCCCGTTGCTGCCTCGCTTGCCTGGATGTGCAGGAGCGCGGGCAGCAGGAACCCCAACGTCTTGCCCGAGCCTGTTGAGGCAATGGCCACCAGGTCGCGACCCGCCAGGGCGATGGGCCAGGCCTGGGCCTGGATGGGGCTGGGTTCGCCGTAACGGGCCGAATGAAGCTGCGAGGAGCAGGTTAACATCCCGGGGGGGTGTCCCCAGCGAGGACGGGGCGGAAGAGGTTCTGGTTCGTTCAACAGGTGATGGTGCTTCAACAGAAGGCAGTGCATTCATGCAGAAGCAGCAGGGGGAGTGGGGATGTGCGGCGAGCAGAGACCGCACCCGTCACTATGCTGCCGGCCAACGAGGATACGGCAAGGACGCGACGAAGGGGGGGACGGGGCGATTGGAGGACATGGCGGTATGAGCTTTCTCGCTGACGTCACCGCCTGTGATGTTGTTCATAATGACCCACACATCCAAAGCCTTGTAACTGCTAATCCGAAACCTGAAGTCCAGAAACCGAAAAACCCACCGTCCCTTCAAGGCGCTTTCCGTAACCTCAGTAGCAGCAGCTGCAGGTTAACGCCGTATGCAGGTCACCAAGTACTTCCGCTACGTTACGCTGAGGATCCCAGTGTCCCATTACCGCGGCATCAACTGCCTGCACCTCATTCCTTCATGGGCTCTTTTGCTTGGCTAACGACGTGGCCGCACCCTCCCTTCTTTCCCCTCTTCCCCCGGTATCCCAACTCCCTCCCCAACCCCAACCGTCCTACCCCCCACCCACCACATCCATGACTGCGGGGGGAAAGGGCGCGTCACGAAACGCTTGGAAAGGCTCAGGGATGTTTGCAACACTGCCGGGGTGCTCCGGGTCCTCCACTACAACGCCGTGGCGCTGCCGATACTCCTCTGCAGTGAGCAGTTCCCCCGCCTTCACTGCCCCCGGCCCCGCCGCGACGCCCAGGTGCGGCAGCGGGGCAGTGTGGCGGGGACGGCTGGAAAGGGAGACCCCTCCTGCTGGTACGTCAGGTGCTGCTGCCGCCGCTTCGTCTGTCTCAGCGTAAGTGGCAGCGTGCTTGCCGTACATCCGGATACCCCCATGGAGAGACAGCGGCTGGCACGGCTGCGGCAGCGGCAGCCGCACGCCGGTGCATGAGAAGGGGTACAGAAGGGTCTTGTGGCTGGGTTGGGCTGCTACTGCTACTGCTGTCGCTATTTGATTCGGGTCGAGCAGAGCGCCTGAGTGCTGCTGCTGTGACAGATGGTGCAGATAGTCGGCACGTGGCAGGGGCCGGGTCCACGGCGGTGCCGGGAGGGTGACGGGAACGTGCGGTATTACTCCTTCCTTGTCGCCGCCTGATAGACACTCCGAGTCGTCGCTGCCACAACATGCAGGAGTGCTGCCGCCCTCAGAGGAGCTCTGCGTGCGTGCGTGCGTGCGTGCGTGTGTACATGCGTCAGTGTGTATGTCTGTGCTGGCATGATGACGTCAACAGGCAAAACAGTGCTGTGGAGTGACCGGGAGGTTCCTGCAACAAAACGAACGAAACTGCAGAGGTTGTCCATGGGACCGAATCGCGCGACTTGAGTGATGGTGTGCCTCCGCCCCTTGGACAGATGCTGTCGACAGCGACAGAAATGTGCGGTTGTGACGAAGTCCTTTAGTGTCCCCAGACGGGTGCAACACCTCAACGGAGCGTTGTAGAAAAATTTCAGCAGAAGCCGATTAGGATAGCTCTGCTCGCCAACCGGGTGTATGCACGTGCAGCGTGCGACAACCACTATTAATAAGCAGCGACGGGTGTTAAGATTTACCGTGCAGCTGGTAGAATCGCAGGAATCCGTCATGCCTTGAACGGCCTGTGCAGCGAAGCCGTATGTGGGCTGCGCCCGGGCATGCAGGGCAAACTGCGGCAACGCCGAAAGCGGAGCTGCCCATGTGGAGCCACTGAGTACACCTGCGATATCAAAAACATTTCTGCAAGAACCCTTCGTGTCGAGCACTGCTGTACAAGCCGACACTGGTAGTTATCATCAGAAAGCTCAGCAATCGCCACGATAGCCACCGCACACCTGCGCTGCGCAAGCAGCTGCGCCCGAACCGACCACACTCGCTGTACCCTCCGAAACGTCCGGCGGCCCGCAAAATGCGCGCTGCTGTCTGGAAAGAGCGCGTTGACGACATTCTCGCAAGCGATCTCGTCCGTAAACCTTACAAAATTATAGAACAAAGTCGCAAGTGACTTTATATGTATAATATTGGCGACGCTTTGCAAATTAAATTTGCTGTGTCATGCTATGGTAAATCGTAAATCCAGTTGCTCTCATGCTCAGAACAAACGGTCGCTATATGCAAACCAATCAAACACACCGCGACATGCATTTGGCCCACAAAGGAAGGTCGCCGTCATTCGTTGTACTGTTTCGTACTGTCTTACGACACCAACTAGCCCTCCTGCGTGCAAGACTACTCTTTGAGTTCATATAACCCCCTACCTCCCCTCCTCTAATCACACGCTCGAAAATACACAATTAAGCAAAACTGCCTCCCTGTTCTCGGTCGCGAGCCCTGCACTCCATTGCCGCCAGTCACGTAGCATAGCCCGTCAGGAAGATATATACGGATCGGCTCGACGGTATGGTGAAATGCGATGCCCACCGCCGAAGTACCATCCTCCCCCCAGTGAACAAAAACATGCGAGGATAGCCTGCAGGTCAGGGAAAGGCGACCGGAGAGGTGCTTACCGACAAAAGCCCAATACACAAGCCCCCCGTGATCGAATCAAAATAAGGAATGGTGGTAATCATGTTCCGAAGGCCGAGCACTGCGAAGTTGGGTGCAGCTAATGCAAATATGCCATTCGAAATTTTGGATCAATCCGTGATGCCTCGTGTTCCGTGTCCGGCGTTGCACACGCCTCCCAAGGCAACAATACGTTTTGAAGTTAACTACAACACAATTCACTGCACATACACAGCACTACACATACCATTATAATCATGATGGCGAAAGAGCTTCCATAGTGAATCTTGCATTGGCAGGTTTCGTCGTCGGGCACGTATCGGAGCGGTCCTTTGTAACAACAGCATAATCCGCAGGCCCTGCCACGAGACGGGAGCAACACCCCGGCGTTCCAATGGGTGGCGATAATGGCCGGGTTTTGAAGGGTCCAGGGGCACTTCACGCAATGCGCATAGGATAACCACAATATTTTGGCTGTGGGGTGGCGCTTGGATGCGAAGCAAAATGGTAGCAAATCGGTATCTGAGGTGCTGGAGAAATGCTTGCACGCCCGAAGGCCTGGGAAGAGCTGCGGATGCTTAGGGGGTTGTGTGGAAACTGGTGTGGCACGCGTGTATTCAGAGGCTGTCGCATAGAGCCCGACAAGAACTTCATCCGAAAGGAAATCCCTATGGAAGCCCCGTGAGACTTTTGTATATGGCGGACTCAGACCCTGGATCGCCGCACTATTTTCCCTCACCGAAGGGGTGTGTTCCCCTTCGGGGAGACGAAGAAGAGACTTTGGGGATGAACTAAAGGGGAAGAAGACGTAGGGGGGTTCCCCTTCGTCTCCCCGAAGGGGAACAACCCTTTAGTTCTTCCTGTTACATGGGATGGCGCTTGCGGAGCTACGGAGAACTAGTCAGGGTTTAGGGGCTTCTGTCCACCAGGAAGTGCCAAGAACCCGAGCAAACGCACCGTCATTTTCATCATTTTCAAAAGTGTAGCAGTGAGAGGCCCAGGCAAGGCGAAAATAGGTCGACATTGGCCACTTACCCGCAGGTCCCTTTCATGGTCCTGTCCGCGCACATCGGGTCCTGTGCGATTGCCAAGCTTGCACAAGCTGCTAGGCAGGCAAGCAGCAGAAGCCAGAAACTCGCGCCCATTTTTGTAAGTTGTAAATCGGCGAGTGACGACGAACGCGTTAAGTGTACCATCAATGGAGGAATGCCAATTATAGGGAAGCAAGGTAAATCGCGAAAGAAGCCTCAGTTTGGCCGAAGGCAGGCCTACACCTGTCTTCGTACAGCGAAGAAAGACGTGTTGCACACCAGTTTTCTTTGCTTTGAAGGGTAAGTTTACATGTGTCTATGTAGGGAAGGTGAAGGCAATGTCTCTATCTACGAAAGTGATGTTCTGGCCGTAACCTTCCTTCCTCTCCTGTTGATATCTATGCCAGAGTTTCTTACCTGGTCTTCCACATAATGTTATGACTCAGCTTTCAGACGCAATAGACGCGAGCGTATTGTAGGCTCTATGTGCAATGGCTGCAACGCAACTGAGTGTTACTGCCGAAAGTCCAGCTCTGTACTACGAATAATGTGTTTTACCGATAACATGTTAGGATGGGGCCTCGGGGATTTGTGCTTTCGGATGATAGTGCTGTGAGTAGCGGGTACCAGTCGCCTGTCTACCGGGAGTCCTCGGCATCCTATCCTCCGCTCCGCACCATGCAGCAGCCAGTTAGTCCAAGTACGTTGCAGATGCAGCTTCATTCGCTGCAGATGCAGCTACAGTTACAGTCTTCGAACGGTCAGGCATCACAACATCAGCAACCGCGGATTTCAGGATTAGGAACTGCTTCATCAATAGCCATGACACCAACGAGCAGTCTCGGCTTAACCTTTGGAGGTGCGTCTTTGACTTTTCGTTTATAACGTTACGGCCAATGGACAGGTGGTTATGAACCCAAGCACCGCCGACCGCCTCCCAACCAGGACCTACACCCACGCATGTATTGCTCGTGTTAAGCGAGCCCAGCTTGGGTGCAATCTTCCGCCAGGCGCTGTCTCAGGCCCCTGTACCGAGCGTGCTACACCTCGCCAGCACACTCGAGATGTGGGCCGTCATCGAGCAAATAAAAAAGGTGAAGCGCACCTCTTTTATTCTGCGCGGAGATCCCGGGAAGGGAACGGATGGGAACGGAAGAGCGGCTCTCACCATCCGCCGGTTACAGAACGCATATCCCATCCGTCCAAGCATTAGTATCTGCTTAATCTTTACCGTAACATCGAAGCAGCCTGCGACATGCCTCCCAACCAACAACCAAATACAATTCTGTTCTCTTGTGTCCTGTCTCTCCTTGTGTAGGCAGCCGGCCGACCCTCGGGCCCAGACATAGTCTTTTTCCAGCCTGAAGTCCTGATGGCCAACCCGGGTACGGTGCTGCGGCTGAAGCAAGCGTGCGGCGCCAATTGCACTGCGGTAGTGCTCCAGGGAAGCGAGGCCATTGCCCGAGCACTGCAAGCAGACGACTTCCTGGTAAGCGCCAGGGCACCGGAGGGGCTGCGGAAAATCACACGGGATTTATAAAAGCACGTGCGTCTGGTCATGAAGCGTGGACGAGTGGGCAAGCGCGTGGTGTCCACACGCGAGGGCGAAGTGGTTACTTATTGCCGCAAAGGATGTGCTTGGCACTGGCGTGTGACTGGCTCTGGCCAATCATTACGGACTATACCAAACGACCCGCGCCCTGCAAATGTCAAATCCACCGGTGACGAGTCGCATGGGCGAGGTAGCTGATGTTCATTAAAACGCTCTGACGCCTACCAGCCAGCCTTCTAACTTGTCTAAGGATGCACCACCCGCCTGTACCAATCGCTCACACGTCCAAATGGTGGCGGGATTGCCGCCTCGTGTCTGCCCTCGACAGGGGGCCCCCACGCCTTCACAACCCCTGCGCAAGGAGGACCTGGCGCTGATGATTCTTAGGTGGTGTGGAGGCCGGCAGAAGGCCAGTGGCAGCAGCTCCACCGCATCCAGTGCCCTATCTGCCGGTACTGCCTCAGTGGCCAGCGGCCCCACAACGACGACGGCAATGCCCAGCACCCTGGGCTCCACGCCGTCCGCAGTATCTCTGCCCAGCACTACCTTGTCTCCCGTTTTGTCCGCCCAGATATCCCAGCTCCAGGCGCTGCAGGCGAAGCAGCAGACAAAGCAAAGGGAGCAGAAGTCACCCGGCGGCGCTGCTGCTCTGGCCGCAATGCAGCTTCGTAGCAGCGGGACTGAGATTGAACCGGCATTGGGGCACGGCGTCTCGCCGCCGCGCCGTCCCCCGCCTCTGCGCCTAGCGAGTGCGGGGATCGTGCCGTCGGATGTGCAGCCGGAGTTGGAGCGCAGCTTGGCGCGCGCCACCGTTCCCATGGCCCATGCAAGTGCCAACGGCAACTTCAGCACTGGCGCCACAGACGTCAGCGACCTGGTGGCGCAGGTTGCGGAGTTGCGCCGCAAGCTTCAGAATAAGTCGCGGGCGGGCCCTTTGCAGTCCCCGACGGGCGCGGGTGGAAGCAAAGGGGCCCCCGTGGCCCTGTCTCCAGCTAGCAGCTTGAGTGGGTACATGCACGGCGCCAGCGGGACTCTGGCGGGGATGCTGAGCAGCGGCGGGGCAGGGCTGGGTGGTGCGGCCGCCTTGGGGCCATCGCTCAGCCAACAGCTGCCGCCGCAACCATCCTCTCACCAGGACTTGCAGCTTCAGCTGCAGAGTCTGCAAGCAAAGCAGCAGTCAATGCTGCAGAATTTTGCGGCCTACGATGGCGGTGGCCGTCGCAGTAGTTGGGAAGCAAGCAGTGGAAACGACGGTGACGGCATGACGCAACAGGTCTCTTTGCCGGGCGCCGCAGCTACGCCTGGCCTGGCGACAGCCAGCTCGGCAAACCGCACTAGGCGACCGAACGGGGCGCCGCCGCTGCAGACCTCCGGTAGCCTGGTACGGCCGGCCGGGGCAGCCGCCGCCGCCGCGGTGGTGCACAGCCTCACGGGGCCACGTCCGCCGTCACCTGTGCCTTCGCCATCGCCCGCGTCACAGCTTGCCAACATCCAACTGCAGCAACAGCTCTTGCAACTCCAGCAGCTACAGCTGCAGCTACAGCAGCAGCAGCAGCGCATCGTGTTGAGAGCCTCGGCGCCGGCATCCTCTTTGACCATGGAACCCCTGCCACCCGGACCCGGAGGCAGGTTGTCAAGCACCAGCCCGAATGGTAGCCAAACCAGCAACATCGGAAGCCCGCTCCCTAGCCCCGGCAGCGCCCCTGGCCCACTCCAGACTAGCGTCTCCACACCGGGCAGTGACAGCGGCTCGGTATCGCGCTCCAATTCCTTCGTGGCCGCTGGCGGAACCCGGTACCGTCCACCGCGGGCGCGCTCGCCGTCTCCACTCGGCGGCGCTACCGGCGCCGGCGCCGGCCACATGAGTGACACGTACCCGGGTCTGGGAGCCTCGCGCTTTGCATCGCTGCAGCTCCGGAGCGGCAGCGGCAGCGGCGCCAATGGTGCCGCGGCCAACGGCAGCACCGGCGGCAGCCGGCACGGTGTCGGTAACAACAGCGGGCACACCAGCGACAGCGGCACCAGCCCGGACCTGGGCGCCAGCGCGCGCAACAGCATGCGCAGCGTCAGTACGACACTGGCGAGCAAATCTGGAGACGACGCCATCGCAGCGGCGCTCAGTGTTGCCTCAGTTGAGGCTGATGGAGAGGCTGACTCGCCCGCTAGCAAAGCCGAAGACGCCGCCGCCTCCGTATCCGCAGCAGCCGGCGGGCCCAGTTCCCTATCGGATGCGCTGCAAAATATGGAGCCAACGGGCGACGGCGGCAGTAGCACCGATGGGCGCAGTCTCATGGACGCTTCCTTTGCGCTGGAGGACTCGGGGGCGGGCGGCCGCGGCAGCATCAGCGGTGGCGTTGCATCTTCCATCGACCTCCAGCCCAGGCCCAGCAGCAGCCCAGGTCCGACGGGATCGGGATCGCCGCAGCAGCAGCCAGCCCAAGAGCGTCAGCTCCACCATTCAAATCATGGGCGCTTGGCGCTGGGCTCCCATCGGCTATCGGCCACCTCGGTTCAGACAGAGTCAGCAGAGGAAGGCGACCAGCCGCTGCACGCCCAAGCCGTTTCCGCTCGTCAGGCCGTCCAAGTCGCCAAGCCCTCGGCTGCCGGGAGCTCCGTTGACCTCGCCAACGGGCCCAGCAGCAAGGAACGTAAAGGTACAACAGCCTTCGCAACAGCGGCCATTGCAGCGGCGGCAGTGGTGTATTTGGACGCCGCAGTGGAGCAGTCCGCGCAGAGCCGGTCACCGCAGGAGGCTCAGTCGGCGGTCGCAGGAGGCAAAGCGAACGTGCCTGGCTCGCGTTCCGGCTCTGACGGAGTTGTACGGATCCAGGGCTCCTCCATCGGCAGGGTCGACCCACGGGTCGGCTTCTCTGAGGACATGGTTCGTTTGGCATCACCGGGGGGAAGCGGTGAAGTTCAGATCCCGCCACCGCCATCGGTGATGTCTGTGCAACCATCCAGCAGCAAAGGAAGTGGCAGGGAAGGCGGCAGCGGCAGGGGGAGCGTGGGGGCCCCGGCAGCAGTAGCAGCGCTGCCTCAAGCTACAAGCCAGGCGGCCAGGCTCCCACGGACCGACAGCCAAGGCGAGGACCGCTTGCCGTCCATTGACGGCTCGCAGCCACTTACTGCCGCTGTCACACGGAGCGGCGGCGGCAGTAGTACAGCAGCCATCGGCAACGGCAGTTGCAGCCTCCGTCGCCAGGCCAGCGCCCGCAGCACAGATGTTGATGGCCGCCGTGCTGGCAGGGCGTCCTCAAGCGCCCAGACGGGGGTTGTGTACAGCGACAGCCCATCCACAGACGATAGCGGCAAATCCGCCCGTGATGGCAACATTGCCACCTCGGAGCTGCGGGACCGATCTTCCACTCGCAGCAGCGCTCCGGCCGGCATGCATGAGACACATCAACCGAACGACGGGCCAAGCCTAGTTGCTAGCATCGAGGGATCCATTACTGCAGGCCTAGCTCGCACTGCTAGCCACGGTGCTGGGCAGCGTGAGCCGCCGCTGCCCTCCTCCGCAAGCAGGGGACGCTCTGTCACGACTACGGTGGATGCCAGCTGCTATACAGATGACATCTTTGCGGCGCTGCAAGCGCATGAGCGGACGGAGATGGTCACGCCGGCGCGGCTAGTTGGCGGGGAGCCCCAACCGCTACAGTTACAACCGCCATCGCGGCCACCGACACCACCAGCACGGCGCGCGGCGCGCATCTTGCTATGCTCGCATCCGATCGTCATCACGCGTGAGGATTTTCTACCATTTTGAGATCAAGACACAGCTGAGGACGCACTGAGCGGGCGGGGATCAAGGTGATCCCGCCAACGGATTCAAGCTGTAACGTAGACGCTACCGGGTCGCTGGGTTTTGGAAGGCCTTGAAAAGCAGTGGGCGCAGGCCGGGAAACCGCCCTGAAATGGGCGTGCTTGGTGTTCTTGCAAAACCTGCAGGATTGATCTTCTATTGATGCGTGGATTTTTTGGCCGCAATGCGCTTCACGTGCCCCGGCAATTCTGCCGTGCTTGAGTTGACTTAATGCATATGGGGTCAGAGCCAGGTGAGGACTTCCTGGCAGACAAGGTTGGTTGAAGACTGAAATTGGAGCTCGGTGAGCGCGGTACGACAAGTGATGACAGTATCCAGTTGGAGCGAGGCGCACCCGCCTCGGTTCTCGCATCTATTAGCCTTTTGCCGCCAGATAATTGCTGCAGGGAGTGGGTGGCCAAGCCAGAGCCTAAGCTGTCCTTTCCAAATGAGGATGATGTAGTAGTGTACTAGGGTGTATGTTGGGATGTAGAAAGGGCCTCTCGATTGCAGTATGCAGTTGTGATGTGCATATGTGAGGCGTAAGGGAATCGCTGTCGCACAACAATGGCGTTGCCTAGGCAAAAACAAGTGCAAGGCAGGGGGGACAGCCTGTGCTAAGCCCACAGGCAAATCCCAGGGCGAGTCTTGCAGCCATGATCGCTTCGTCGTAAGCCATCAAAATTTCAAAGTGAGACTGGCGGCCCACGGTCCGCAGTCGGACAAGGCCAAATAATGAGATGATGTGGAGAAGAGCTATGCAAGTTAGGGTGGCAATCTCAGACTTTACTTTCGTGGTTTTGATGTATCCCTGGCTCTCGTCGACGCAAATCAATCGAGATATTCATCGGTCTTGGTTTAGTGAGCATTTGCAGGCTCATGGGTAATCGCATGCTTGCCAGCTGTGGCACGCTGTCGCTAATACTGGCAGCGAGTTACACTCTATACGTGAACTTTTCTCTTACGACTGGTGGGGTTGTGTGTGATTGAAGCTTAGTGTAACTACGCAAGGCTATCGATAGGCCAGGGCAGCACACTGTGAGAATGGACTGCCATAAGCTACAGCGGTATCGGTTTTTACAGCAACACGCCCTGGATGGCCAAACGCCATAACCCACAAAACACGCTGCTGTAGCATCTGCTCCCTCCCTGCAGCTGCAACTGCTTTAGCGGTTGGCCTTGGCCACGCGCTCAATCTCGTCCTTCTTTTTAATCGCGTAGCTGTGGCGGAGGAGGCGGTCAATGGGGAGGAACATTAGGAGACCAAAATGACGTATTTCGGCCTATCATATGATTCCATTGAACAATCCCGCTAGGAAGGATAAACCCCACATCGGACAATCCACCCGCCTGTCACCCAGCCTTCGCAAAAACTGGCGCATAAAACTGGAAGCACATCCGCCCTGACCCGGCAGCAGGTTCAGCATTAGTTGACACGAACATGTCCGCAAAAGGCTGCAAAGCGGACAGCACCCACAGTGCGGCTTCTGCCAAATAGACGCTGCAACTTGCCTGACTTGGCCTCACCAATTTTTAAAACTGGAAACAACGCCTACCTGTTAGACGAGCCCTTGGCGGCGTTTACCAGCTCGTCAGCCAGGCACTCCGCAATCGTCTTAATGTTGCGGAACGCGGCCTCGCGAGCGCCGGTCGTGAGCAGGTAAATAGCCTGATGCGGCATGTGGCAAAGATGCGGCACCATCCAGGAACATACGCTAAGAACGCACGCATCTGCAGCATTGGAGCCTCTAAACTGAAGGTTACGCAACGCACGACGACGGTCACCTTGTTCATATCCCACTGGGCGGGCGTCTTTCTAGCCCAATAATTAGAAGTTCCACTAGCCCCTTTACCGTTGAAGCCGGGAGCCCCAAGGTCCAGTCTCAGTCCCCAAAGGAAACCCCCTCGACTAAGCGCCCACCTGGTTCACGCGGCGCAATGGCGAGATATCGACAGCCTGACGGCGGACCACACCAGCCGAGCCAATGCGGGTCGCATCCTCACGCGGTCCACTTTAGGCACAATCGGGCCCAAAGAGATGGGAGGGTCGCAGCACGTTAAGTGCTCCAATCGTTCGACTTAACCTGATGCCGGGACTAGACAATGCAGGAAAGTTGCGCCTTGCACTCCGAAGGCAAGGGCACGAAGTGGGGCCCCGGGGGAGCACGCCGGTGCCATTTCCCCTGCTCAGAGGGCTGCACTCTAAAACGATGATGAACCTGAACGTTATTTTCCAGGAACGCCAGCTAGGCCACTGCCAGAAGACAAAAGTAACGCAACCCTTGTCAAGCGTACTAAAAGGGAGCTTCCTGATCCGCGCTAACGGCCGCCTTAAGAAGAGCACCCTGGCATGCACATGATTTCCTGCCCTTTACTTCTAGCTACTAGACCGGTAGCATCTTTTATGAGACGATGCGTGCTGCCTTCCCCATTTCGTTAGCTTTATGCTCCGCTGCCATGCCGCTACCAGGCCCAGTGACGCACCTGTTGATAATGGCGTCCACTAGCACCTGGATAGGGTTCTGATCCGTCAGCAGGTGAATGATGTCGAAGGCGTGCTTCACAATCCGGACCTGCAAATGCGGGCAGCCAACGTACGCGCTTGTAGGGCGGCCAAGCACACAAGACCCAATCGAAGCGAGCTGCACTTAACGATGCTGCCAAACATGGCAACCTGGAAAGCATGCCACGCATTTGAAGCTGTGCACCTTGCATATACCCCCGAAACCCGACATGGACATGATCCTTACCGCCATCAACTTCTTGCCGTTGTTGCGGCCGTGCATCATCAGCGAGTTGCACAGCCTGCATGCATACGTGAAGCCAGCTTATCACCCTTGGGAAAGAACGACGCAAGGCAAATCAAGCTCAGAGTGCCTCCCAACACCGGCGTCGCGTAACCCCAGTTATGGTGGAAACCCGGCAAGTCCTCACACAACAGCCCGACGCCCAACCATCGCTCCCACGGGCGCCAAAACCACGCACAGTCAAAAACTCGAGTGCCTAGTGGGAGGGCACGCTACGGAACAAGATTGGACAAGAGTGTTGACGACCAAGCTAGAAAACACTCCACATTGCGCTGAATGCATCGAGTCGAATGCAGCTGCCCAGCACAACCAGCACGATGAAGTCGACCGCCGTAAGCTGTATAGTTTTTGCCAAGTACACCAGCTGCCCCTCTCCCGAAGCGGTCGTCGCTGCTATCGGCCGGCGTACCGGCGGCGCCAGTCCCCAAAGCAGCCTGCGTTTCTGCATGCTGTCCGCACCTCTCAACAATCGGGCAAAGCGCCTTGCGAAAGCGCTTCTTCTGGTAGCGCCCAGCCGTGTGCGGCACGTAGACCGCATACTTAGTCTTCACGGCGATGTAGTCCTCCAGGGAAATGTCCTGGACCTGCACACGCCCATGGATGCCATAAAACTATTCAATTTATCCGTAACAAAGAAGTCCATTCCCGTGATGTAAAGTTTAGCCGCCCCACCTCAATGTCCTCAAAAGACCATTTCCCAAACAGCTTCACATCTGGAGTCGCCATGGTGACGAGCTAGGGTGGAAGAGGACTCAGAGAGAAAGGGAGAAAACATTTGTGTCAGGGAAATTTCATTCCCGCTCGTCCAGCGGCTCCAGGGTGGCGCACGAAAGGGGCAGGCATAATTCTCAGTACTGGTGCTTCTAACTTAAATTATTATTGTTTTCAGTATACTATTCGCAGTCTAATTAAGTCTAATATAGCAAAAAGCTCATAGCTCAAACTCAACTGCAGAAAGAAGTGTCCTTGAGTAATATAGCAACCCCGGTCCGTGCCAGTTTATGGTCGCCGTTAAACAAGCGCCTAGAGGGAAGGGGACGGGCACGTTGGGGAGAGGGTGGGCATACCAATTTGGTGTCTAGTACTTGGCAGGTGCCGGATCACCTGACTCCCCGCCCACCAATCAGCTTCATAGTTTTGCAGATATGCTCTGTACTGACGCAGCATGGGACTTAGGTTGCGTATATTGCAACCATTGGTGGGACTTGCAAATTCCGGACGTGGTTGGGATTTGGTTATAAAGGCTTTGGACCCCAGGGACACCCTCAGATGCATAACACGCGCAAGCACATTTCATCAAGTGCCATGGAAGGGACGCCCTCGGCCGGCCCGTTATACCGTCCCCGTGGGACACAGGGCATGAATTCACGAAACCGAAGCCGATAATCCTGCGTCCAGTCTGTCCTTTTGTGTTCACTTACGGTTCACTTCTCCGCACAAGCCCCATTGGACACCGTCACCGGTCCGATCAAAGTTCATCACCGCTGTTAAGCAATGCACATGAGCCATTGGAACGCGCGCTCTTTCCCTTAGATACCATGGAGCGCATTTCCCGATTCCCACACATAAGTCAAGTCCAAGTCAAAACCAGCACCGAGTACCGCTATCATCACTCGAACCCCTACCGGCAACCACTCGTGCACTTTGCTGGCATGCAATAAATGATGAAGCAGCACTCACGCCGCGAGCTGCTTCAGATGTATGGGCCAAGCCTGAGCCATTTCAGCCCGCACTCCTAGGCCCCACAAAAGTACTAACGGCCCCCCACACCCATGGGTGTCGACTTGACCATGGCTAAGCAAGCGGCCCTTCCGTTACTGAGAGCCGCTTCATTAGCGTCTGGATTTTTGCATCCTTGAGACGCACCAGCTGCTCCAACTTCCGGACTTTCGTCTCCAAAATCTGCAGGCAGGAGAAGGCAATACACGCCTCGCCAGAGTAATCATGTGATTTCGACCTCGTCCCATTTCCTTGGTTTACGATTCAGCCATTAAATGGCAAACGACATGCTTGCGCTGGACAGAAGAAGCCAGTTCAGGGGAGACCTTTGCATTAATCACGTATATGGGGTTTTCAAAGCTACGCACGCAATCCCAGCCCACACCTGGTTAGTTTCCCGCAGCTCCGCAATTACGGCGTCCTTTTCTGCAAGGACCTCCGGCGCAATGGCCGCGTTCATCTTAGCCGAAAGCGGCGCCATCACGCCCATGGGCACATGGCCGCCCGGAACCCCCGGCCCCTGGCAGCAGGCAGAAGACGCACCCATGCAAGATTTATACAACATGATAGAGCAACAACAAAGCATCTTTTGGGGGGGATGTTAAGAGGACGACCCTGATCCAAAGAGACTTGCGGGAAGAAGTTCCATGTCGAGCCCGTCTCACGACCCATGCAACCACTCGCTATCACAAAGGCGCTTGTGCAAGGCCCCGCCCAGGGCGTGCAGTCACAACCGGAACACTCTTGCAGCACTTACCGGACTCCGCGCCATCATCATGCCCACGGCTTGATGGTGAGGCTGGTTGTACATGTGCATTTGTTCATTCGCCTACACCATACCAAAGAATGAAGAGCACACCACATGTTCTGTGCAAGTCATTCCTTTGTGCACATTCAAGCACTTAATTGTAGCGACAGGACGCCCCAGGTGGTGGCGACCGGCAATCACCATTTGGCAGCTATGCGCTGTCTCAGCGCACGCCGACTGCACATTTATCGTCGTCCCCGTAATAATGTGGCTTTGCCAAGGCCCTAGATATTCACAATAGGACTTTGCTCCGGGATGGGCCTTGTCGCAACCCGCCTGTGGCTACCGTACTCCTTGGGAAAACGGAGATTCGACCGGGAGTTAAGCTTTAACCGTGTGCTGTGCTTGGCAGCTATCCACACAACGACTGCCAACCTATCGACCTGACTCCGTACCTGCATCGTCGATGGAATGGCGCCCGGGATAGCATCCCTGCATGTTGCCATAGAGAGGAGCGGCAATATGTGTCCTGTCAGCATTATCTGTGACCCATTCATAGGAACGATCGGGTGGTTGCATGGGTTGGACACCACCGTGGTACGCCAACGTGTCGCCAAGCAATTGAACCACCCTCCCCCCAGCAGCCGCTGAACACCCATAATCCACCTCCTGCCAGCCCCGCATAACCCTGAACCACCCACCCGTTCTCCTCCTTGAACTTGGCAATCTTGACTTTGATGAGCTTCAGCACACGCTCTACCGCTCCAGGCTTACAATTGCAGCAGGCCTCACAATCTTGCTTCGGCACAACAAAGCCTAAACGCTTAAACACTTTTGCATTTAGCGTATTCCAGTTGTACATCTTCTGCTGTAGCCCATTTGCGGAGCTGGACAGGGGGCGCATAAAATGTAATTGTGCTGGAAGGGCCCTCTGTTCACAGTTCGCTTTCACCAACCTGTAATTGTGAAGTTCAACGATTTTGGGGTAGAAATGGTGGATAACCTCCGCCATGAGGACTGCTCGGGGCGGTTGGTAAGAAAACGCCATCTGTTGGTCAAGGTTTGTTTCAGTTTCGCTACTCCAAATGCCTTACCGCCATCGCTAAAGTCACGGGCAATGTTTCGCTTAGGCCTTGAAAGAGGGATTTCGTCCACCCAGGTATAAAGCCCCTGAAGCTCTGATTCATGAACATCCATGGTTCCAGCCTTGAGGTTATGAGCAATGGTCCGTAGAAAATGTAAGGTAGCTTGGCAAATCGTTTGCAGCGAGCGCCACTACGTTATTATTTCTGAAGACGTAAGAAGTTCAAGGTAACCTAAATAGCGCACTTTTCATAAGGAGTCCCAAATAAAGTGAACCTTTTTTGCCGAACGCTCTTGATTGGGTTTGTCGAGAGCCGATGAAGTCTAACTTTGACTGAAGTTGACGAACTGCGTCGTACGCGTCTGAGCGCGCTAGCACTGTTTGCTAAGCACATCAGAAACGCATCATCCTCAGCATGCTATTCAGTTCGCTCGTAGGGTGTTTGGGCAGTGCCTTGCTTGGGCAGTGCCTTCAATCGTGCTCTCCTCTCTTCTCCTCTCCCCGCAGAGTACAAACGGGCAGGACACGAGTCCGCCGCAACTTTCATTTTTCACGGGCCTATCCCTACCTTTTTGGTGTTCCAGCCGGGGTCCCAGGCTGGGGACCATTCCATGTGTACGGGCCCACTCGGGCCCTGATTAGGACACGGCCCTTGCCGCCGGGCGTGTGTGATGGTTGGACTCTTTTACCCATGATGTTAAGGTGCGCAGATTCGCGTGGTACAGAAAACCTGAACCCAATATTCCGATGCGTCTGAAAATACAGTGATGTGATGACGCCTCTTCTTTCCTAGAGTTTTCTGGTGGCTGAAGGCGCACTTTGTAATCAGAAATACCTGCAATGATCGCAATGAAACCTTGGAACTGCAAGCGGCGAATGGTCTTGTGTCTCAGCTCCCTGGATTGTGCTCGTATGGCCGATGATCCCATGGGCCATGTCTCACGCCAGCTGTGCATTTAATCTCAGCCTCCTGCGAAGCTCTGGGCAAAGGTCATCCTCCCATAAAAGGGATTTTGCCCGGTTGAGCAACAAGATGCGTTTGGGCTGTTAAATCTACCTCACCAGCTCGCCTAGATACACGTCCAGAGGAACTAGCTGATCCTGGACGGTATGCATTTCGGAAAGCCCTTTCACAGCCTAGAGTGTCAGGAAAGTTCACATGCACAATGGCCTGGTCTGGAGATATCAGTGCAATATGTGGTTCAAGGTCCTGTGTTTGATACCTGGGTAGACCCCTGTCATTGTCGCGTGTGTTAGATTATGGCTAGCTGCTAAGATGTATAGCTCAGGTCACAATTGATGGACCGAGATTCGCACCACGCTGGATAGTTGGCAACTGCTGAACCCTCTGTCTCTACGGATGTTTTGGTGAAAGGATGCGGAGGAATTCTGGAAGGCTGGTTAACCGCCTTAGACTTGAAGTCACATGGCGTAGTACAGTGTGGTAATGGTGGATGGTGCTGTATGATAATCAATCCTAGATGGCCATCCAAATGTTTGCAAACGGCCCAGAAGCCTTCCACAACAATAACAACAACAAATGTGGCAAGTGATTGGACGGATGGATTAGGAGGGTTCAGGGGCGAGCTGACTTGCAACGCCGTAATCTATTTGACTTGGCTGTTCCGTAGACCCTCCGTACAGACTCCACTGCTTGCCTAGAAAACTTCCCTACCATTCAACACGGCAGTGAATGAAAAATTAGGCATATACCGACGACGTCAACGTCGCTGTCGATGTGGCACATCTACTGCTGACGCTACACTAAGCCTTTGGCCGATATCCTCCAATCCTACTTCGCGCCACTAATCTGCTACAGCGTCACTGTCCGAGAGAGCAGCTGTACCAGCTCACACGATATCATACGGCTGCGCCTCCTTGGCCAGCCAAAAGTGGAGTATTTCACATCACCTAGCTCACGCTTGAATACAGTTTCACCCTGCGTCCAGTATCCTTGTGACATCCCTGCCGCCGCGACGCTACTCAGATGCATGGATGCGTAAAATGAAATTAAGTTAAGGGGCACCCCGCCAGTCCAATATTAACAAGGAAAACACCCGATAGCATTGATCGAGCGGCCTCGGGAGGAAGCGATTAGGAAAACCCCACCCAACAGGCGCCTGCAGGCTCACTCCGAAGAGAAGCGAAACCCAGAGGCCCGCTGTGCGGCAAGCTCCCGACTCCTATCTGACAAGCTGGCTGCCTCACGCGCCTCATTTAGCCGTAGTCATCTTCGCATACACAGCCGCGCTTATCCCTGCCACTGCGAGAATGCCACCGATGGCTATCGGCCACATGGGTGTCATGGCATGTGCCGAAACGTCGAACACTCCTTTGACGCATACAATGTCGCCTCGCTTCACGCTCATCCCGATGCCAGGGTTAAGCTGGTAAAACTGTGAGAGGGGCAGGGAATTCAGGATCGTGAATGTGCAGCTCACGGCGTCAGTCGATTGACAAACACGTATCAGGATTTGCTTCGGATAGGAGAGCCGCTGCTACACGCACGCTTCCCTCGCCTGACAGTTGCCATATCGGGGCCTGCCATCAAATTTCCCCACAGCAAGAGTGGGCCGGTGTGCGACGAAGATGTGCTTCCCTAGCAACGTGAATGGTAACCAACGCCCTGTTGGTCTTACGCAGGCCTTGGCTATGCTAGCCATAAATCCGGCATCAGGACGTCGAGCAGGTGCTTGTGCGGATAGGTATGAAGTGCTACCTTAACCCTGTAAGCAAACCAGGAGCTCATGCAGCGGCTCCAAGCCTATCGACGACAACACAAAGGACGTGTACGCGGGTGTGGTCACACCACGCCAGGCGCCAAGATGCTACCTTAAGCCACGTGAAAGGTGGAGATCCCATTCTCAAACTGAAGAACGCGAAAGGAGATCTAAAGCCTATGACGAAGTGTAAGCACCTGGTGTTGCGTAAGCGTGAACATTTTGAAGAGCGACTCGGGACTCTCATAGCCCTGCACCTCATACACCTCTTGGCAGTCGATGCCCTGCGACCAGAATTTCTTCTTCGTGTCCATGCTCATGGAACCTGCAGGAAATGGTGGGAGAGGACGCAGCTATCGGAATTCTCCGGAGTACGGTACGGCGCCACCATGGTCGGCATGGCGTCCGGGGCATGCGAGCAACAGTAGGTCCTGCGGTTTCCCTACTGCACGCCGCCGTATAGAAACAAATTGGACATCAAAACGTGGAAATCTCATGTCCAGCCCATACAGGCACGACCCGTGCTTCCCCCTTCCCCCCCTGTCATGGCAGAGAGGTTTATATTCACCCCGGGGTGGGCCCCTTAGCCCTTGAGGTCAACCGCAACAGCCAGGGTGTGTTGAGTATGCAGGTTGGTAAGATCATTGTACTAACAGGAGCTGGATATTCGTGACACCCACCTCCAGCTACCGATAGGAGGTGTTGCTGGTGGAATTGAAAGTAGACGACAGCCCCGACAACGGCAGCGAGGAGGGTGCCAAACACGGCAACAGTCCGCTTCTTCATTTTATATATTCTGCTCGGCACACTTTCTGATCTGATTGAAAGACACTTTTCATAGGTAACGCCGCTCTAATTCATGTTCGCGCAAAAAGGGTGCATAAGCTCTGACGGTTTTTTTTTCTTCTACAGAATAGAATAGGCTAAACGTCGATTCCAGATACGTTACAACGCTTTGCAACGTCGCGCTTAATACTCTTCTGGTTCGATCGCGCCTGATTGATTATGCAGTACGGTCAAGCGCAAAAGACTGTAATCAAGTAGCCAATCTTGCACATAATGCTTGCGACATACACGTGTGTAACGGGGGTGGTTACATGGTAGAGCATGCCAAGGCAACTGCTTATTGACAAATGGAGCGGCGCGCAAGAGGTCCATTTAAGCACGGCGCTGGACCTCAACCTTTCGGACTCGACTGTGTATCGACTTGGGCGTCTCGTTATAACGTCGGTCCGCCTTCACGATGTAGGGTTGGTCGGGTAAGTCTCGGTTAGCCACATGGTCAGCGGTCGCCGACAGTTCACGGGTTGTACCAGCTTAAAGTTACCACTCCAGAAGCTGTATGCATTTACAGTGAAGCTTCTCTTCATTTTCTCGCTTTTGTCCTCTGACTTGCTTACCACAGGGGGAAGGAGCCAGTTGCCGTGACGTCCGAGGCGCAAAGCGACACAGAAGCGTCCTCGATCTGCGCTGAGCTGGTCAGTTTGGGGTTGCCAACAGCCTTTGGAAAGAAGGTATGACTGAGTAGGAGCGGACGCTGGTGATGATTAAGTAATAACCCTCGCTTTCCCCTGCTTAAAGGGGGGTGCTGCACAGTATCGTCGCGAAGGCAAGCGGACGCAGGTTGGCTCGGCACACAGCATCTGCGTTGCCAGCAAAGGTACGAGTGGGTTTCGAGGCCCCGATAACTGGAATCAACCGGTGAAAGTTCCCGGGCTTGGAACAGCATCTCACCAACTGATTAGCTGTTCGCTTCTGCTCGCGCTCCCCGCACCCTGCCTGTGGATGGAAGTACCAGCACCTATGATAGGCATGTTGCAGTCAAGGTACGCAATCTCCTAGGCGTTTTGTCAACCAGGTATCCTCTCCCGCAGAGCCATGCGACCGACAGCCGCGGCCCCGCAACGATTCATCGGGCGGGGCACATGGCGGCCATGTGGCAACTGCTGCGAAGGGCCGCAACGACACCCCCTGGCTCCGGGGCTTTGATGATCGATGGGGGTGCCATTATTATTACAACACCCAGACGGAGGTACGGCATGTGGCTGCAAGTCTGAACCAAGGAGCAGCATTCAAGCGATGTTGTGCAGCTGCTTTGCGGGACCAGAGGGAGGGCCTGGGGACGCCCCGGGGACGGTGACAGGACATCCTGCGCTGACTTAGATCCTTCTGTAATCCTCGCTCCATGCTCTCGTTTGGCAGCATCTGCCTTTCACCTCCCTCGCACTCTTAGTTAGTGGTATGTTGTTTTTAGAGCTTGCCCCGACGCTCCTGTATCATGCAGCATGTCTTCACTGGCCGTTGGAAGACACTACACACTTACTGTGTCGGCTGCGTGCATCGCCGTGTGCCATATTTCAACGGCTGTTTTTTCCCACGATTGGCGCTGTGCAACTGTCTCCCTATTGCACCACTGAAGGAGTCTACCTGGGAGGCGCCAGCCGTGGGCTTCGTGCCCTGGGAGGAGGCCACTGGGCCTTCACAAGCAGCGGATTCGGCGCAACAGGCCGCTGCCGAGCCAGGAGGGAGAGGTGCCGAGCAGCAGCACCAGCAGCAACCTCAGCTGTTAAGGCCAGACTGGGTGGCAGGTGAAGCCGACGATTCGACGCCAGCCGGCACGGAGACTGGCAGCAGCCGGGTTGCAAGCATGCCCGGCCGCTCCGCTGCTGCCGCAGCGCCGCTCCCCAAGGGCGAAGCGGACTCCAGGGCGCCGCCACGGCCCGCTCCGCGCATGCTCACCGAGGAGGACCTTCTGCGAGCGATGGGACTGTGGCAAGACAATGGCCGTGACGTGGAAGCTGATGGTAGTGGAGGAGGTGATGGCACGCGGGCCACAGCATCAGCAGTTCCGCCAGCCGCTTGGACAGCAACAGCAGCAGGTGCCGGTGGAGGAGCAACCAGCGAGCCGCCCGGTGATGGACCAGGCACGTTTGCCGAACCCGTCGCAGGAGGTGGCGGCGGCGGGAGCTCGGGACCCGGGCTCCTGAGGAACCTCCTGCTAGGCGCCTCTCCGTCAAGTCGGCAGCTGTCGTCAAGTGCGACGCCGACGCCTCGGACGGCACAGCAGCAGCGCGTCGTGCCGCCTACGGCCCTATCCGAGGAGCAGCTCCTGGCTCGTCTCTCTCTAGACGCTTCTACGCAGCTGCCGCCACCTATGCCCCCGCCACCACCGGCGCCCGCTCCGCCGCCACCCGCGCCTCCGTCGCCACTGCCGCAGGCAGATGCGCCGCCTTCCTTCGACGATGCATCAGGCATACCGGCTGCCGCGGGCTTACCTGGACATGCGGCTGTCGCCAAGCCCTCTACTCCCCGCATGCTGACAGAGGAGGATATCCTTCGTAGCATGGGCCTGCTTCCTGGAAACCCCACAGAGCCGACGCGTCCTGACAATGAGGGTCGTAGCAGCAATAACTCAGCTGACACTCCGCAGCGGCCAGCCGGCGCTGCTGCACAGGCTTCTAGCGCTGGGCCTCGGCCTCCACCTGGATTTGGCGCCACACAGCGATTGCTAATGCCGCAGGGTGACGGTGGCAGTCCGAAGGGAGGTGACTACACAGCTCCCCTTCACTTGGCAACGCCGGCGCAGCCGCCGATTCTGACTGATGATTCCCTGAAGCCTCAGCCCGCTCTTCCGCAGCTGCTGCAGTTGCAGGGGGCTCCCCACCCAGTCGACCAGGCCCTGCCTTACCACGTGATGCAACCACCGCCCCAGCACCAGCATCAGGGGCTGTACCAACCGCCGGCGACCCATTGCTTTGGGCCGGGCGCCAGGCCGCCGCTGCCCCCTGGATTTCATCCGCCTGGTCAGCCCATCGGCCAAGGCCGCAGCAGCTCCGCGGAGCACCACGGGCCAGGGCACCATACCCACGGGTACCATCACCCGCACGGTGCTGCACATGAGTTGCGGCCGCCGCGAACAGCACCTTTCCATCACGTCGACGTCGCTGGTGTCCCATACGCCGGCGCTGAGACGCTGCCGCCGCCGGCACCGCCAGGTTTTGGACACCCGTCCCCCTTTCCACCGCCGGCGCCGGTGGATATGTGGGCCCCACCGCGGGGCCCCTTTGGCCCACCTCTCATGCCCGGGGTACCGCCACGGCGGCCGCCGCCGCCTGGGTTCGGCTTGTCGCCAATAGCTGCACCAGTTCCTGGCATGCCGTACGGCCCAACGCCGTACCCGTACGAGGGTCACCCGTACGCACCATACGGGACGCCGCCGCCGTGTGAGATGTCGCCATACGCGGTGCCGCCTGGGTTTGCTCACGCAGGCCACCCACCAATGCCATCGCCGCAGCCATTCGAAGCAGACGGCCATCCAGCCAGTCCCATGACCCCCGCAAGTATTGGTGGCCCCGAGCGGGACTTGCCGCCTACATTTCACCACCGTCATCATCATCACCACCATGCTGCCCACCCTCCGATTCCCGTTTCTCACCCGCCCCTGCACTTGAATCTGCCCCAACACCATTATCACAACGGGCGGCAGCAGGCTCAGCAGCTGTCCTCGCCACCACCAACACCGGTGGCTAGTGAGGGGCTGGGGCAGGAGCTGCCGGGCGCACCAAAGGAAGGAAGCATCGCGGCTGGTCCGGAACCAAATCGCCGGGCCGTGACGTGGACACTGAAGGAGCTGGAAAGGCAGCTGGAGGTTATGGCGGCGTCGGCGTCGGTGTCCGAAGGGCAGCCCGAACACGGCATTACAGCGAGGACGCCGGCTTCGGCAGCCGCACAGCACGAATCCAGGGTGGCAACGGATGCTGGCAATGAAGGCAGCAAGGGTCAAAAGAGTTCTCTGGGTAGTGCGGAGGGGGGTAGCCAACAGCGGCACAAAGCTAAGGGCAGGACTCAGCAGCTGCTGCCGCACCAGCACCAAAGGCACCATGAAGGCAGACATCCAGGTGCTGCTGATGGCCATCATACTGGGGCGCGCAGCTTTTCCGGTGGGGGCGCCGGGGCGGCGGATGCGGATAAAGATGACGATGACTCGGCCTTTTATGACATCTTTACCGGCGGAACTGCTGCTAACGTCGCTGCGGCTGCTGCCGCAGCCCGAACGGCAGCGGCGGGGCCCGCGGCTCGTCAACAGCGCATGGCGCCTGTGGCCAAGCCACCGGTGGGCGAGGACGACGGGTGCGTACGGCTGTCTGGCAGGAAGTCCTGGTGGGAAATCCTGGAACATAGTTTTGAGGGGGAGTGTCTTTGCGCATGCATACATGCGTGCATGCAGAATGGCTGAGCACCCATGCAGGGTTCGACACTGACCTTCCTGAAACTTGCGGGCTCCCCCGTACCTCCCAAATTTTCCTTACGGAGGGGCCCCCGTGCCAGGCTCCTGTACCGGCCGAAAACCTTACGGGGGCCCCCGTAACCCCCCAAAACCTTTACGGGGGCACTGTCCTTGGCTGAAACGCTGCGGAAAGTGACGCGGCTGAAACGCTGTGGAAAGTGACGCTTTGCATTTTTTTGGCCTGTAAATCGTTATTTTCGTTATTTTCTCGTGAACCATTACACTCGGGGACACACGGCACACTCAGTGAAAGCCAAGCGCCTTGGCCGCCACGGCCGCCCATCCCTTCTGCTCCTCAACATGATCTTCACCCGATACGTCCGTACTGCTATCTGACATAATACTAAAGAATGGGCTTTCACGGATTCAAACAAGCTGGGCGGCAAGGATGACTTCGCTCAGAGCGCGCATAGCCGTGACGAAATAGCGGTACTGGTTGTACTTGAAGTGGATGCCCGGAAGCCCAGCCGCCGCTAGCATGAGAAGCATGCTCGGCAGCTTAAGAATGGGAATATGTACCGTACGGCCTCTTATAAATCCTTAAAATCCTTACGGGTGCACCCGTAACCGGCCTTCGGCCGGTCCGGGGGCGGCCCCGTACGGGGGCGCTTCGCGCCCCAAAATCCTTACGGGGGCCACTGTAAAGTCCTACGGGCCCTGACGGGGATACCGAAAAAAGGCCAAAAACTTACGGGCCCCGTACGGGGTGTCGAACCCTGCACCCATGGTTGCCTTTCCCACTCAATGGCGCGAATGCGTACGGGTGCGCGCATCATCTACTCTGCATTGACGTGTATCCCCTCCCATATTTTTTAACTCTTCATCATTGCCGCACTATCATGCTTCCCTGGCTTCCGGTCTACCCTTACCTGACCCTGAAATTGAGGACTGCTACCACTGCTAGCACGGCCTGCTATTGCTGTTGATGCTGGGAAGAAGCGGGCATGCGTTAGTTCGGCTGTACCCGGCTTCCGCTTTGTTTTGCGAGGCCACCGGGCGCATGTTCATGTTCCTACCCCTACGTCCCCTGACTCCGCAGCACCCGGCGCATCATGTTGGACCCCAGTACTGCAGCCTACGTGCGCACGCTGCTGCCGCGCAGCGCTGCCAAGTACTGGATGCAGCGCTACAGCCTCTTCAGTCGCTTCGACAACTTCGTGCAACTGGATACGGAGGGTTGGTGGTCCGTCACGCCGGAGGTGAGACGGTGCGGCTGTGTGATGCAGGAGGGCAAAATAAAGCGGGAGAGCATGGCCACGCGCATGGTGCAAGGCGTGTGCGGCGCAATAAATGCGAAAACAGAGGGACAGACAGACAGGAATGGTCCCGGAGCCCTCCGTGGGAGCCTTCAGGGCCGACCGTAACCTCCAGCTGGCATACGGCTTGTGGATCACCCCGTCCGCCGGTGCAGCAGCACACATGCCCAGCTCAGAACGGGCGACTTCCAAAATTGCTCCACAATGTATTCCTTGCACGAGGCCATGTCCAATGTATTCTGGAAGATGCTCCATGAGCCCACCGCTCGCCCTCCCGCGCATCGTAAAAGGATTTGTAGGGGGTTTTCTGATCCTGCATGCCCGTGTACCGGCTTGCTGTACCTGATGGTAACGGTATCCCGCTTCCTGGCATCGCCCGATGCAAACCCGCGGCCCTCCTGTCACTCTCGCCCTGATGTATCAGGTGCTGGCGGCACACCAGGCGAGCCGTTCCCGGGAGCTGTGTGCTCGAGGGCTGGTGGCGATGGACGCCTGTTGCGGCTGCGGCGGCAACGTCATTCAGATGGCGGGCGTGTTTCCCGTGGTGATTGGGGTGGAGATCTCGCCCAAGCGCGTGGAGATGGCGCGGCACAATTCGAGTAAGAGTGCGAGCTGCGTGTGGGCCGCGGGCTCTGGTCTAGGAACTTATACGGCCCATCCCACGCAAATCCGCCACAGGCCCTGCCGGATGTGGCTTTTCCCTGAGTTTATCCTTCTTCCCGGGCTCAGCTTGTCCTGTCATACGGAGTATATTATTTCTGTAGGACAGGTTGGTTAAGGTGCGCAGGCAGATAGTAATGCGCGTGTGAGTGTGTGTGTGTGTGTGTGTGTGAGTGTGCCTTTTTCCCGAGGCTATATCGGCATATACACATCTAAAGCTTTCCATGGCAGGCGCTACGTGGAGGAGTGGCAGTTCCACAGGAGCCTTCATGGGCCCGTGTCCGTAGTATTGGACCTTATGCAGCTTTTGCATCCTTGACATGTCGTTGCTGCCAAGTGCTGCCGCGCTTGCTGCCCCGCCGATCCGTCTCCCCAGGCGTCTACGACGTGGCACACAAGTGCCAGTTCCTGTGCGCTGACTTCTTCAAAGTGGCGCCTGGCCTTAAGGTGCGATGGGAGTGGTGGCGGGATTGATGACGTGTTGGCCGACAGCGACCTGTTCATGTCGCCATTACCAAGTGAACCAGACGAATTGGGGGGTCTCTCTGCGGAGCGAACCGCGCACATGATGCGTGATGCCTGGCTTGTAGATAATCGTTCCCAGGTTGTCTCCATCGTATCCCATGGCGCGAGTTGCTGCTTCCGATGCGTCCCGTAGGTTGATGCGCTGTTCATGTCTCCCCCCTGGGGCGGCCCCAAGTATCAGCATGTAAACACCTTCGACGTGTTCTACCCGCTGGTCGGCTTTAACAAGTCCCTGCTGCGGCTTCTGGATGTGACGTTGGACTGCGTACGGGAGCAGGTATGATACCCATCGGGTAGTAGTTGTCTGTTTGGCGTTTTCCTCGCTCACCCCCACTCTCTCTTTACCACTGCGCATGCGGCTGGCTGCAGGATGGCGTAGTGGCGGCCTTCCTGCCCCGAAACACCGACTTGGTGCAGCTGGCGGCAGTGGTTCCGGAGCACGCAGTGTGGGAGGTGGAGCGGGCCTACGTCAACAACAAGCTCAAGGGCATAACCCTCTACTGCCACCCGGGTCGCACGCCTGACCAACCCAATGTGAGGCTGGAAGCGGACGCGGAGTACATGGCGCAGGGAGCGCACATGGAGTCCTCCGCGGGGTAGGCGGAAGGACTGATCGCAGGATGAGGGGATTGCGACCCAAAGGAGAACACGTGGATAAGACCCAAGTGTTCAAGGCAATTCTTTTTCCCACGCCTTTTGGCGTGCTTTGGGACATCGCAAACAGAGCGAAAGGGTGCCATGTGGGGGCCATGCGCTGCCGCTGGGGCAGTGGCCTGAGCAGCAGACGTAAGAGGTGCTATGTTCGTCGTTGGGAGTGCAATCCGCGTGAAAATGTGTGCGGCGGCTGGTTTGTTCCACTTGGTCGCCTTAGGACGGAGAGCAAAACCTTGACCTTCCGCCTTCGTACCTTAAACCCCGCGCCGCGTGCTGCCATCAAAAACGAGAGGTATTGGGTCATGGCCCGAGATTTGCCAGCGCCTGGCGGCGGCAGCGCCGGTGATAGCGGCGGTAGCGCCATTAACATGTATATTTGTATGGAGAGATTTTTGGCGGGTTGTATGTCTTGAGAAAGAGCTCAATCAGTTGCTGTTGTGTGTATTGATGCCTGCAATTCAGAACAGCGCTGGGCCACCGCGCGGCCGAAGGAGGATGTGAGATTAGGGAGGGAACTCGTTGTTTCGTGTTTCGTTCATGTTTGTTTTGTTCTCTTTTGTTTGGGCGTCTAAATCTTTAGGCACCCTTTGTTTGATTACTTCACGCCGGGCATAGTCACCCAGCTCTATTCGATCTGGCTGTCCGAGAGCTGGCATATTGTGAGCTGTCAGGAACCTGTTTTGCGGATTTGAAATCCATGAAACAAAGGGATTGCTACGCTGCCCGAGAGCAGATCTCCGTAGGCACCCGGTGACAGGAAAGGCTTGTATAGTGCTTATTTGGGCTCCATTGGGCCCCACAGCGCGGAGCTCGGAGGGCCCCCTCCTTATAGCTCCTAGAAGTAGCGGTACTGGTCTGTAGCGTTTTTTTCTCCATGTGGTTGAGATGGGGATTGGGATGCACAGTTGGTTTGGAAGGTCTTCTTGCTTTGTTTGGCATAGGTACATGAATATGCTTTTGGGAGTTTCAAAAAAAGGGGTTGGCTGCGCATCCAGGAGTCGTCATTACCTATATTTCCATGATTTTCATATGTACACGCCTCGCCATTGTGCTAGGGCGCCTATGAGGTGCTTGGTAAGGAAGGGTCTCACCTTAGGTGAGGAGTACTGTATAAGGTTCGCTGGCTGGTGTGAGCGCGTGCGATTTTCTATATTGCGGTGTGGCTGCGGTGCAGCTGCGGCTGCTGCGGCCAACTGGCGGCGGCAGGTCTGGTGTGCACGAGTGGGCGCGAAGTGGCCAGGTGCAGGTAGGTAAGTCCTGCGCTGGCAACCCGGTAGGGGTGTTGGAGATTGGTGAGAGATAGACTGACGGAGCAATGAACTGGCAGCGTGTTTTAGGTGGCAGTAGTGTTGCGTAGTCCTCGGTTTGTCGTATTTATGCAGGTCCATAGGAGGCACTTGCGCCGGTGGCGGCGTTATCACAGACATACAGTACAGTGTTGGGCTCGCTGTGCTTGGCGGCGTTGTGTGCGGTGAGTCTCTGTACCACAGGGATGTTTGCAAACGGTAGACGTTGGACAAGCGTTGTCCAGTTCGTGTGTTGCCGACGACAACAACTGGTGTGGTTCAATGGTTCAATGGTACTATAGTGGCATGAGCGCAGCAGTGGCGCTGTTCCATTTCCGGTGTTTGGGGATCCTCCCCGTGTTTCACTTCTCATTGCGCCGGTTCTCGGTTTCATAGGCGTCTAGGAGTCCGTGCGGCAGGCAAGATCAATGCGGGATGTGTCGCGATGATTGTGTGTGATTTGAGGTGACTTGCTGTTTTGGTGTCCGGCCTTAGCGTGGCTCGTGCAGCGCACATGGTGTGCGTGTGTGTGTGTGTGTGTGTGTGCGTGTGTGTGAACGGAATGTCCAGCATGGCGAATCGGAAGAGGGTACTAAATACCCGAAACCGGCCACTCCAGGAGTGCGTGTTGGGGATTCACATTGGAAGCTGCTTGCAGTGGGTTGTCGATCGCAGGGTATCGTATCGTGCCACTACTCGTTGAGGAGGGAACTGCGCTGCAGTGTTCCGCATGGAAAGGCAGGGCACTGTCGTTGGAATACAGACATTGATACGGTGCGAGCGAAGTGGGTCAACCGCAATAAGAGCATAACACAGATGCAGAGAGAGCAATGTCCAACACTCCAACTGCCATCCCGTCCATGGACTTCTTTCTTTTCTTATTTCCTCTGTTTTCTCCATGCAACATATGGAAATGGTAGCTTTGCAGGGCAACGGCAGGCTCGTGAGAAGCTGCTTTTACCGTATTCGCCTGAAAGCGGTGCAGCGCCCTGCGCCGCATCGTGCTGCAACCAACATAAGGGTACTACATACAGTTTGGATCTCATCATGAGACAGCTGGACCATTGTAACATCCGATGGCTTCCTGAGCTCGCCTAGCGGCTTGACCAGCTGCTGCACCACATGTGGTGTGTGCGTGCGCACCCAGGTAGCACTCATTTCCCCGACGTCCTGTTCGCCACCTGGTTGGCGCCGATGCGGGGTTGGCGGCTGTGATGGTTTTGGACACTACGGCACAACACCACACAACACCATGCCGGACTGTACCTCACCGCATGTTTTCTACCCGCAAACTTCCACTCAGGCAGGTACGCGGTACTAAGAGACGTGTATCCCCCACCTTGAGCGTCCAGAGAATGCGGACGGTTGATCGAATCTGGTGCTGTTCGCTCGCAACGGGTAGCCATGGGCCCGAAAGCGGAGGCGGTTGTTACAACCAGCATCGCTGTCAAAAAGATTATCAGCAAGGGCGGTTGCCAGGATAGCACCATCAAGGAGATGCCGGGAAAGCCCGAAACCAAACCACCGAAATGGAACTGCCCTACATCGTAATCAGGAGCATGCGAACGGTGGCAAGAACCACCTAAAATGTGTGCACGCCAAAGCATAATCCGTCGCTCCTCTTCTAGGAGGTCCTTTCCTAGCGGCGCAAGTCACACGCTGGCGCCCTGCAACGGGGAAATCCCCCATGCACTTCCAACTCCACCTTCCTGCTGCTTGCACGCGCGCTCCCGGGCGAAAAACACTGCCCCAAAGACCCCGAAGCGAGGCCCTGCCCTCGGAGGGATTCCCATAATCCAAGCAAATTCTCCTAAGCCCACTATCTCCAACTAGACACAGCAACAGGACCTAGTGGGCCCCTCACCCCTAGGCGTTCGTTCCTTTCATGTGTTTGGTTCATGTGTTTGGGGTTCTAGTTTCAATAAGTTGCGGTTATAAGTCAGTTGCGGTCAGGCGTCCGCGCGCCAGCGAATCACTCGATCACTCAACCAGCAACCAGCAACGAACTGCATCCGCTGCATCCACGCGCTGCGTCTGCTCACGCTTATGTACGCTTAGCCATCGCGCCCCGCGCCTGGCCCTGCCCCGCCAGCACAAGCAGGTAGACAGGGAGGCTGGCAGGCCACAGCCATAGCGGCGCTATGGCCGTTCCCGGTACTTATAGCCCGAGGACATGCTATCCCAGCACGCCGGAACCTTCAGTCCTACATTGGCTCCTGCAGCTCCCAGATTTCTACTCCATGCCACCGCTCTCCCACTACAAGCTTCAACAGGGATACGCACACAGCTATGCTCGGTACGTTCGGGACTTGGCGTTTTTAACAATCCCCCAGTCCCGCACGCTCCGCTTCTCCCCTGCCCCTAGACCCTTAGCATGCACAAATGATGCAGGCCTTCACAAACAAACAAAGCACACAATAAAGAAAGCAGATGCCCCCCAAGGTCTTTAATCTATGTACAGAACGCGCCGCGACGGGTGCAGAACGACAACGAGCCCTCACCAACATACAAACCCAGGGCCTGTGCATCGGTCCGTATGTATGTGTCGTGCAGGAAAAGCATTTCCGCGTCTGCCGTTTAACATAAGTAGCGCTCCACGGCTCCCTCCACACAAGTCCGGTCCGCCGCCTTAAACCCATGCCCGCGAGCACGACGGCGGCATTCCCTTGGGGATCCAGCTACCGCCGGGTAACATAGCGGGTTCGAGTGTTTAAGTTACTTTGCGGTCACAAACCAGCGATGTCAGGCGCTTTTCGTCCCTAAACTTGGTCAAAGCCGAGAGGCTGGTCTAGTAGAAACATGGTGAAGGAAAATCATGAAAACCCACCCAGGCGAGTTTAGTTGTAGCCACCATACGCATGGGTTGTACGATACTGTACAGCTGTGTTGCATCTCACACCGCGCGACTGGCCTTGAGGCCGTGCGACGAGTGCTGCCTGCTGTGTCTATTTGTTCAGGAAGAGGTTGACCTTCCGCGCGTAATCAATGTAGCCTTCCGGGTTGACTTCCAATGAGTTGACCTGCTCATGGGGCGGGATCATGATGGGAAGCAAACAGCTGTACCGTACCGTGCCGTACTACGGTTGCGCGCCAAGGCGGAAAGGCACGGTAGATGGCGGGCACGGTAGATGGCGGGTTCGGGATTGGGCAAGCCCCCAGTCGGACCCGGACTGCTGGGAAAGTTGCAAGTGGTGGCGTCTGTATGCGTGTTATAATCTTTGAAGGCGCACAACATGTGCCTACTTACTATCCTAAACCCTGAATTCCCTTCCCCCTTTCCCTTCCCCCAAGAAAAGAAAGCTTACCAGCCGCATGACCTCCTCCTCCGGCATTTTGCCATTGCAATATTGGATCTGTACGACAGTTTGACAAAGCAACGATAAGGGCGCGAGTGGAGGATAGACAGAGGGGGGTTGTCAGCTTGCGTGCACACCCTCCCCCCCCAAAGTCCCCACGCAAGGGGATCTTTTGACGCAAAGCTGGATACCTAGCCAGGTCGGTTCATCCATTTCAGTTCAAGGCAGTTGCGGCGCGGTTAGGAAATTCCTACCCAGGTTTGTACAAACAACAACCCAATTGAATGGTTTTCTTTGTAGGGATTTCTTTCTTTATCCTTTCAGTCCTCCTCGTGTAATAGTTTCCCTGTTCCCACTTCCTGGTGCCCACCAGCGCGCGCTCCAACGCCTCCGGGGAGATGCAGCCCGGAGGCGCGTCTCGGTCCGCAAATAGCCGGAATGCGCGCATGACGTCAGACTTCTTGTACGGCAGATCCTGCGGCTTGGCCATCACCTGCAGACGGTAGCGTTTCCGTACATTGTTGGGTAGTTAAAATGCTGTGTGTCGTTCTCTCTCGGTCCACCCGTGTTGGTGCCAAAGGCCCTGGTGGTTGACAGACTGACAGACTGACTGACAGACAGACTGACAGATTGACAGACAGACTGACATACAACAGTCCCCCCGGAGAACTATTCGCAAATACTGCCGGGGCATTGAGGTCAGCGCGCTCTGGGTTCAGGTACACGACAAGCCCCTTCCCTTCGCCATCACTCGGAGCCCTGGCAGCCCTAAGCCTCGCCGCTGCCAGGCGTGCATGCCCAGGTCCAGTCCCGCGCGCCATCTCCCTTCTTGCATCGCCCTCCGGCCCACGTCCGCCTCACTTGCAGAAACTCCTGGAAGTCGATGTGGCCGTCACCCGAACGGTCAATTTCCGCAATCATCTGCTCCAGGTCCTCCTGCTTCACCTTCATACCCAACATGTCCATAAGGGTTTTTACCTGGAGGCGGGTAGGAGGAGGAGGCGAGGGGCCAGGGGGGGATCACGCGTATAGGAGGAAAGAAATCGGCAAGTGACTACGTGCGGGTGTTGGGGCTTCTGGCGGGGGCCCATTTTGGTGTGGGAAGGTGAATAAAAAGGGAATAGGATTGCGCAGGATCCAGGCGAGCCGCAGGGGTTGAGGAGCAGGTGGGAAGGGAAGGGGTATAAGGAAAAGCATGTGTGAAATCGACACAAAGTGCTTTGTGGGAAGGGTGGGGTGGGGTGGGGGGTTGAGCTCACAGGGACCGCCGCACCTCCTCGATGCTCAAGGTACCTCCTTTGTCCTTGTCCATGAGATCGAAGACCTGCAGTGAAAGAGGTCCCACGAAGGAATCGCCGGAGGGGCGTAGGGTTTGACTGGTCCCTGCAAGGTGCAGGAAGCAGGCTCCAACGGAAGCGCCAGTTCAGGAGAGAGCCGCTTGCCTCTTTTAAGTCTGAGATCTCTTGAGCTGTAAGCTCCACTTGTGCTCCCTCCTGGAGACCAAATGCAGAGTGGGTTATGGGTGTGGCCTCCATGTCGTCCAAACACAGCAAAACTCTAAGACTTGCTTATACTAACCCGATTTGGCATCTTCCTTTGTACTGAACAGCGGAAAACGTGCGGAGGATGTGGGCAATTTGGAGCTTGCGTATAACAAAGCTCTGCAGTCGAAGGTCCCCTTACGACGTGATAACAAAGAAATCTGTAATTATCTTAATGCTTTCACTAACGTAATAATTCACATTGGGTTGCACGCTCGTCGAAACGCTCGAACGTCGTACGTTATGTCAGTCTACTCAGGATGCCAGTTGGCTCTATCTGCAAGCCAGAACCTTTCCTCTCAGATAAACTTCATATTGGCTGCTTACCGACAATACATGTATGTTCGTCAAGAATGCATTGGTGCCACCAAGTCGCGCAGCATGCCTGTAACCAAAACAAGACGCTCCAGGCCGCCTCCGCTCTTCGCCGCAGGTACCGGTATGACATCATTTTATTTTGATCACAAAACTACTCACCGCTGGCCATGTAACTTCACCAAACCGGAAGCAACGCAGTACCGGTTGCACCGTCACTATGACATGCTGCACACTGTCAGCTAGCCCGTACAATCCTCTCACCGCCTGCGCTGCCCATACTCAACCCTAGGTGCGATGGCCAGGAGGATATGACCCTAGCGAAGCTTATCGAGATATGCAAGGAGTCTGGTCACCCTGTGTCCCCTCTGGCGGTAACGCGGCTAGAACTCAACTGCCAGCTTTTCACCCGCATAGGCGAATGCATCACCGAGTACAGGTGAGCTGCCATCCGCCTCCCCTTCCCGGAGCCTAGGCATATATCCCCCCCCCAACCGCACCATGAGCCCCAGGGGCCCCGGCATCAGCCTTAGCGCTCACAGACACCCTCTCCCCTTCGTCCCGCATTTCCCGCCGAGCAGAAAACCCTCGCCAATCAAAAGACCCCTTTCAACACGTACCCAACCAACCAGACACACCCAGTCGGCTGTTCGAGTGCCGCCGGGGTCACTGATGTTTTCCCCCTGTGGAACCCAACACCCCAACCCCGCCTCAACCCAGCCCACCTCAATCCCATCCTGGAGCCTCACCGTGTCGACCCCTCCCTCCCTCCCCCCCTCCCCCCCTCCCCCCCTCCCCCCCTCCCCCCCTCCCTCCCTCCCTGCCTCCCTCCCTCACTCCCTCACTCACTCCGTCCAGGGATGTGCAGCAGCTGCATCTGGACCGCAACCGCATCAGCCGCATCGAGAACCTCGCCGAACTGCGACACCTGAGATCCCTTTACCTGCAGGTGTCGGGGTCGTGTCGTGGGTTTACGTCGTCCGAATCCGCTCTGTCTGTATGTCTGTCTCTTCCTCGTTCAACATTACACACACATACACATACACAATCTCAGCCGTTCCCGGCGGTGGGCCCCTCCGCGCCCTCAACCTGTCGTAACTTCCAACTTCCAACTGCCGTACCAGGGTAACTCCATTCGCGTCCTCGAGGGCCTCGAGGGGCTGTCCCAGCTGCGGCTGCTCAATGTGTCCGGTAACGCCCTCCGCCGCCTCTCCGGGCTGGATCGGCTGCCCAAACTGGAGGTGCTGATGGTGGGTGCAACCACCACCAAGCGGTGGTAAAGGGCGGGACGGTACACGGATGGCCGCCCGGTGGGAACGATTTGGGATTGAACCTCCCCATGGCTCTGCCCACGTCCTTGATTCAATGCCCTTCGGGGCCCTTCGGCATCCCTGCAGGTGTCCGAGAATCGGTTGTCAGATGGCGGCAGCATTCAGCATCTGACCGCCTGCAGTGCCCTGTGCGAGGTCTGTGCGTGGTCGTGGTTGTGGTGGTGGTTGTGGTTGTGGTGGTGGGGGTGAGGAATGCGGTCGGGCTAGGCAGCTGGGGTTGAGGCAAGGAGGTTCAGGCGGGTGGGTGGGTTTCGCTGGGGTTGGGTAGGGCCTGCAAAACTGCATGGAAAGTTTATGAGTCTTATAATCGCTATAGCACGAGAAGTACCGGCATTGAGACAATGTTAAGTCTCTCAGACAGGTTACACGTGTACAAAGACACATACTGACATACATGCGTCCTCAGCGTTCTCCCCTTCTCCTCTCCCGCCCTGTTCACCCCGATCCCCGTTTGGACACACGCACACACACACATACCCTCGTACACGTTTGTACGGAAACGTACGACATGGTTTAATCAGTTGGATCTCGGCCACAACCAACTGGGTGATGCGGAGGCGGTGCTGCGGGTGAGTGTGGGGCCCGCCCTGTTGGGTTTGGGCAGTGAGGATATGTGACCCCCTGAAGGCATGGGGAAGGGAGTTCAAGGGTGGTGAACCGGGAAGGAAGGAAGGGAGGAAGGAAGGAGTGTTGCAAATGTTTCTCTTCTTTTCGGACCTTTCTCCTCCCCCTCCCCGGCGGCTCCTAACCCGCCTTCGCCTCCCCCTCCACCCGCCTTCCACTGCTGTCACCCGTCGTGTGCCTAACCACCTACCTACCTAACCACCTACCTACCTAACCACCTACCTACCTACCTAACCACCTACCTACCTAACCACCTTTGGATGCGTGATTCTGTCCATCTTGGCAGTACATGGTGATACCACTTTCCCTCGG